ATATTATAGAATAGGAAAAATATATTAGAATATAGATACTTTATCTCGGATTAAAACGATAGCAGATAACCTATACCCCAAGGAAATTAATACCCTATTCTAAGTACTATATAAATTAAAGTAAGGTAATATAGTAATACTTATGGTTTGTTATACTATAGTATGGAAGGTAAATTACTGTATATATTACTACTTTCTAGTATAAACGAGATTAGTAATAAATATAATTACCGAGGCCATAGCTATATTACTGCCGGTACTTCCGGAATATAATAGTACAAATTCGGTTTTAATAGTAACCAAAGTATATACTATAGCCTTATATCTCGATAAATAGTTTATGGCTGCTATTATCCGCAAATATTTAAAAGATAAAAGCTTTAGTAAACTATACCGGAATATACTCTAATACTTATAGAACTCGCTAAAGGTAGAGTAACTAATAACGTTTGAGTTCTTCTATTTTAATACTAAAACGAAATTATTATTCTTTTATAAAGATAATAGGAGCGAGAAGTTATATATACCTAATAAATTTATTAAAGCTATATTTAAGATAGCTTATAATAATAGGGTATATATTAGGTCAAATAAAACCCGTAATTATTTATAGGAGTATATCTTTATCCCATAACTAGTAAAATAAAGCAGAATATATATAGTATATTATTCTATTTATAAGGCTATAAAACCGGACTAATATATACCCAAGGAATTACTTAAGTCTATCCTACTACTAGTAGAATAACTAGCTATATTCTATATTAATCTAGTAATAGACTTACTATAGTTAAAGCAAGGCTATAATATAATACTACCTATAATAGACTAGTTAACTAAATAGGTACGAGTCCTGAGAGGCTATAAAGATTAGTTAGCCGAGGACTAGGCCAGAGAATACTATAAACGGATATATAAGGAAATAGGCTTACTAGAAAGAATTATATCCGACCGAGATAGCAGGTTCCTCTTGGCCTTTTAGTAAGAGATTTATAGTATAGCAAATATTAAGCTTGCCTTTATAATAGTATATAATATAAAAGCAGATAGCTAGTCTGAATAAACTAACTAGACTATTATTTATACCTTATACTATATAATTACTAGTAAATTTAACTAGTTAAACTAGGAGGACTTACTACTAGTACTTATATATACTTTAAATACCTTAATTAATGCCTCTATAGGATTCTCGCCATATGAACTTTGCTATACTAGATAACTACTATCCCCTTTTTCCATATAAGTAATATAGTTATTACTACTTATAAAGCAGGGTACTAAAGACTTTATAGAAGCCTATAAACTCCTGTTTAAGGATACTAGATAAGTACTAGCTCTTACTCAGGTATAAATAAAGTAATACTATAATAATAGGAGAAGAGATATCTAGTTTTAAGAAGATAATAAAGTATGGCTCAAGCTAGTAAAAGAAATCGAAATAGGATATTATTTACTAGAAAACCAGATAAAGCTATCTTTTAAAAAAATAGGGCTATATATAGTTAAATACGTTATCTCGCTATTATTATACGAGATAGTACTATTAGACTAGCTCAAGATATATCTAGTTATAGCTATTAAATATCTGGAAAAGAAGGAAAGTAACTTATACTAGAGAAAATTACCGGGACTAGGCCTAATTTAATAGGATAAATATAATAAATATATTATTAATAAGATTATATAAAAGGAGATAAAAAGTAAGGTAAAATAATAAGACAGGTATCCTTAGTACCTGGTCTACTATTATAGTTATAATAAAGAGAAATAGTAAGATAGTTTAATCTTATAGCAAGATATTCTATAACTCATATAGAAGTTTGAACGAGCCCTTCTATTAGGTAGCCAGAAATACTAAGTATAGTAATAAATGAAATTTTGGTATATAATATTATTATTATAAGTTTTGTTTTCCGTTAGTATTAGACGGAGGTATTTTTCCTTAGTACCGGATAACGAAATATTTTTTGCTATATTTATTATATAGTTATAATATTCTTTATTTATATTATATTCTCTTAACTATAATAGTAATAGCCTTATACTACTATATCTTGCTTTTATACTAATAATATATACGAGCTAAACATGGCTATAGTTATAATAGAGGTATAGAAGTATAGAATAGAGAAAGTTATAGAGGCAATAGTAAAGAAAGCGAGAATAACTCTAACTATTCTAAAAACCGTTATTATGGCTATAATTAAACTTTCCTTAATTCTCGAAAAGTTTGCCGCTCTATAATAATATACCTATAAAATATAGTTAGCTAGAGCAAGTATTAGAAAGAGATATAAGAATAGTAATCTAGAGGATATTAAACGGGATATCTTGGTATATGAGAGAATTTTCTGGGATAGTATATAAGATACGGATTTGAGAACGGACAGATACTATTTATATGGTATTAACCAGGCTACTATAGTCTACTATAGTAGTTCTAGTATTAACCGCTATAGTAATAAATACTTCTCCTATATTATTAATAACTTAACTTTTAATACCGAAGCTAACCTACTACGGGTTAGTAAGGGCAATGACTATAGGCCTATTAATATAAGAGTATATAACGATTACCTAGAAGCTATATAGTCTACTCTCGCTATTACGTATAATATTAATCTGTCTGTATTTTTATTCTTTAATATAACTCCGGATAGATATCTATATCCCGACCATACTTATTACGGAATAGTATATATACTATAAGTATATATTTATAACTACTTTTATAATAGTATTATGGGCCCAGATAGATATATTAGTTATATTTGCTATAGTAATAATAATTCAGATATTATCTTCCTTAGTAGAGAAAGCTTTAGTAGGGCATTAGTTACTAATAAGAAATAGGCAAATTTCTACTACTACTTTATTAATATTACTATAGGCCTTAATAGTAATAATTCTTTAGTTATAATATATCCGGAAGAATAATATTATTAAGCGGAATTTATAAAAAGCAGGAGATTTTTCTAGCTATTAGATATAATAAGCTCCTTTATAATAGCTATAAGTTCGCTATACTAATAACTCGAGTTTCTATAGTAGGACGGTAATTATATACTAGATAAATAAAGCAGGAATACTATCTTAGTAATAGTACTAACCCGAGATTATAATATGAATATTCCTATATTTGAGATATTTAGCCATGCTATACTCTTTACTATGACTGGCTAGGTAGTATATAAGATAGAGGCGGAATAGGAAGAAATAGTATTAATAGTTCGGAAAGAGCTTATCTAGTAAATAGACCAAATTATTAATACCTTGGCAGGCTTCTATACTACTAATACTATAACTTGCTAACTAATATTATTTTTTATAGCAGATCTAGGGATCTAGCTAATTAAGCTATAATATGATTTAGTAGATTATACTATCTCGGAGAAGCATTTTAGGCTTAATATGGGTCGTACTATAGCTAGTATTCCTATAGGCTTATATATTCTCTATATACTACCAGAATACGTTTTGCTATGAGATAATAAGCGAATAATCTTACTTATTATTATAGTAATTCAAGTAATAACCGGCTCCCTAATAATGCTAGTTATTTAAAAGTAAATGGACTAGATAATGGCTACTAATACTTCTAATAATAATACTATATGGAACCGACTACCTGCTATACCTAACAAATAGTATACTACTCCCTTTACTACGGAATACGGCAAGCGGTCGGACTATTTAATCCAGGATGCCTTAGCTAGGATAAGATTACCAGATACTCTAATAAAGAGGGTTAGCTTTAGTAGCCCAAAGCTATTGGGATTACTGGAAGAACTTCGGTATACTTCCTTATATACTAAACGGCAAGCTAATGAGAGCAGTAATAACCTTGGAAGTAGTCAAAGTAATATTACCGGCGAAAACCATACTAGTAATAATAACTAATATCCCGCTGGCTAATACTAGGAATATATATATCTACTGAATAATCCCAAATAACAAGCTACTATTAGAGCGGTATACAAGGAATTCTCCGTTAGTTATAAGGACTCAAAAAGCGATACCAAGATTATTCTAGAGGCATATGTTAATAGCAAGTAGCTTGGCTTATTAGAACTTGGGAGAAAGTATAGTATTATGGTTACGGTTAAGAGCAAGAAGAATGGGAAGTAGACGTTATAATAGAGGCAGATTATGGCAAAGCAGGTTATAGCTTTATGAAAGTTTTTATATAGATAGTTATTTCCTTTTTTCCTTTTTTTCCTTATTATTATTTTGCTACGAAGCTTCTGCTATAGGAGTAGCATTTTTTCCTCTTTGGCGGGGGGAGATGTGATGGCACGTGCGTCACGTGGTAGCGCTGTGGTATGGCGCTACTGCCACATTAGGTAGCTTCGTAGCAGTAGAATTGATTATCTTCTTTCTCCTCCTTCTTGTTATTCAACAATTCCGGTATAAGCGATACTCTTTCGAACAAGAGGCGCACTATGTCACACTCAATCGTCCTTTTCTAGAACCTCAAATAGTCTCCCTGCGTGGCTCGCATTGCGTCACACGTGATTCATGTCGAAAGAATATTCTCCGTCTCACGAATCAGGAATGATGAACGACACCAAAGCGGGAAGAGGAATTGCAGCCTTGCGCAACGCTTCGATAGTCGCTGAGTAAAGCACTGCTGCGTCCTCATCGCCTCGCTGAGCCCCCACCATCTTGAAGGTGTGACCACACAACACTGGGGCATGCTGTGCTGAGAACGGCTGGCAAAAAGCAAGTCATGCCCGTATGTAAGCGGCCGTCGAGGCTCACAGGCGAAGTCACGTACGCCATGAGATTGATGACATCTCATTGTACCAGAGCGATTTTGGGACATTGGTCGATATGCAACAAACCCCTCGAACTCCAATTGGTAATTCACTTGACTTATTCCTCCCTTCCACAGACAACCTTGGAACGAGGCCAATGGAAGGGTTTACGAGTATGGAGCTATTGTGAGTCAACTCGAGTCTAGTCACTTGAACAAACATTTACATGCTACTCGGCCTCGGGAGAAAAGTGTCAGCCCCATACGGCTTTCCAGGAATCCTGTTTTTATCTCGTGATCGAGATCAAAATGATAAGTGCCAACTGGGCTTGTTGTGTACATGGTATCATAACTCTTATCTAAAATGCCGCCCGCACATCTCAACTGATAGCTTTCAACCCGCCTATTCTACAACATCCAGCCATCTTCACTTTCATCCAACCTCATATATATGCATTCGTCTTTCCTATGCCAACTCCATCCAACTATCATACAAAATCTTTCTATTGCGCAAGCGGGCTCTTCCCGACACTGCCGCCTCCACACCAACATCCGCTCTCCCCAATCCCCTCCACCTGCACCACAACGTCCACGCCCCTCCTCACCAGGAACTCGCCAACCCTCTCGCGAACCTCGTCTAACTCACTTCCTCTCGTGGCTACAACATGCATTACACCGAACAGCTTCTCGCCATCTCCCACCGGTCCATCACTAACCCAGAACCGAGGCACAGAATAACTTGCTACGCCACGGATGTCAGAGACGCTGGATAAAGTGTCACGGAGTAAGTATTCAGTTTCATCCGGGACAGTGAGCAGCAGCTTTCGAGCGGAAGATTTGATGAGTGGGACGGAGGACATGAAAATCAGGATTGCGATGACGACGGAGCCGAGTGGGTCCCAGCCATTGAAGCCGGTGAGGTGGATGAGGGCTGTAGAGACCATGACTGCGGCGCTACCCATGGTGTCTGCGAGTACGTGCAGGAAGATGCCGTGCATGTTTTCGTTGTCGTGGTCGTGGGAATGGGAGTGTGCTTTTGGAGGGCTGGAATTAACTAAGAGGGGTGTATCGTGGGAGTGGGAGTGCGAATCGCTGTGCTCGTGTTTGTGGTCTTGACATGGCTCGTTGTGGTGATGGTGATGGCCCTCGTGCGAGTGTGATTTCTCATGGGAATGGGAATGAGAGTGCCCGTGGCTATGGCCGTGATCGTGTCCTGCGTGGCCATGATGTCCGAAGCATGCCATGCCAATCAAGTTGACGGCTAGACCCAGACCACTGACAACAAACAACTCCATCAGCCGTTTGGTTTCTCGGCCATCCGCAAGTCTTTCGGTTGCCTCGATCATAATTTCGATACTTATTAGCCTAGATGAGGTCAGTATTTAGCCACGGTTCCGGGGGTAATATCTTACATCAAAAACACACCATTTCCAAACCCTGAAAGACTCTCGATCTTTCCAAAGCCATACGGGAATCTTTCACTCTGAGGCCATTTGGCAGCGATTGCGGCAAATAATCCAACCCCTAATGCCAAGCAGTCAAAGAACATATGTATGCTGTCGCTGAGAAGGCCGAGGGAATCTGTAAGGTAGCCGTAACATGCTTGTACCACCATAAATGCAAAATTGAGGCTAGAATTGTCAGCATTGTCCCACAACATCCACCAATATTTCTTTACCTCATAAAATAGAAGATCCTCCTCGAGTCTTTCTCTGCCATTATGGTATGTAGAAGTGGCCATCTTAACACAAATGGCAGCAAAAAATTTGTAAATCTGGAGCGCGGTTCAATTGGCGGAGTATGATCGTGCGAATGTATATGGTGGCTGTGATATGATGGGGCTTCGTCTGGAGACGCCTGCGACAGTGCGGGGGAGAGTTCGTGTGTTTGATATGTTTGTTTTTCGAAGGCGGCGATAGGCGGTAAGCCATTGCTGTTCGGCGGAGTGGGGAGATATGGCGACGGAGAGTGTTCTCTACCATGGCTATGGCTGTGATGATGGGAGTGTGTATGCTCGGGCTCGATATGTGACATTGATAGAGAATGCGCATGCAAGCTGCCGTTCGACCGCTCGGGCTTCAAAGATCGAGGGGAGTTGGCAGTGTATTGTCGTCCTGGAGAGTGGGAGTGCGAATGGAGGTGGCCATGGCCATGGTTGTGGCCGTGGGTCATGGCAGATGCTGGCAGCGCATACGATGAGGCCATTCTCTGCTCAGCAGCAGATCTGGTCGAGCTTTGAAGCCCGGTCAACGATCTCCAGCCCCCGCATGAGTCTCGTCACGGCTGTGAACTCGTAATCTCCTTCTTTCTCCGAGCTGGAAGAGATGGCTGCCTGGTCGCAGGGCAGTTGTGCAAGGAAATGATGCTGGGCGAAGTCGTAGATGGTCGTGGTGTAATGTCGTCGCAGTCGTAAGAGAGGGGAAGGGCAATGTGTCGCTACCGTGGCGCTCTGGGGAAGTTGTGCTTGGTCTGGTGTTGATCTCGGCCCCTGGATGTTGTCTGCAGCCGCGTCTCAATTGGAGCCATGATTGGCTTGGGGCTTGGCTGGCTTGGCTGGGGTTCGCCGGGCCTGGGTTAAAGCGGGTCGACAGGGCCGATGGGATCTGAAGCTTGAAACCTCCCCTCCAAAGAAATTTATATCCCCCTTACAATCTACATTCCAAGCAGATTTCCCCGCAATTCCTTATCGACAACCTCGGGAATGGCGCCAAATATCTGGAGATGATCTGCACAGTTCCGGATTGATCCAAATTCCGACGACAACGGCTCTTGAAGCCACGTTACAATGCTAGAAGTACTTCTGATACTGGCCACAATTGCCTCAACCATATTCACGGCGATTCTTCTGTTGCTGCCGAGCCGATATGTCAAGCATTCGCCCCCAAAGGCAGTATCATCTGTGTCCGCAGACGAACCCAAAATCTCCGTCCAAGTGCTGGTTCTCGGAGACATTGGGAGGAGTCCACGGATGCAGTATCATGCTATGAGCATAGCAAAACACGGCGGGCGGGTAGATATGATAGGATATAAAGGCATGGAAGGCAGCCATTGATTCTTTCTGATGCTGACCGCCCTCGCAGAATCCACACTTCACCCAGGTCTTATCGACAATCCTCTCATCTCGATTGTCACCTTGCCTCCACCACCTTCCCTCCTCCGCTCAAAGACCCTCCCATTCGTAGTCATTGGGCCCCTGAAAGTCCTTTGGCAGATATGGAGCCTCTTCCATACCCTAGGATACCGCACAAATCCGTCACGCTGGCTCCTCGTCCAAAATCCCCCTTCGATACCAACCCTCTTCATCGCGATAATAATCTGCTTCCTGCGGAACACCCACCTAATAATCGACTGGCACAATTACGGCTGGACAATCCTAGCCGGAACGCGAGGCGAAAAGCACCCTTTTGTCATAATATCGAAATACTACGAAGCCTTCCTCGGCCGCTGGGCACCCACAGCCTCCTTCACAGTAACGCACGCCATGGCAAAGCAACTCAGGAATAAACCCTACAACATTCGCTCCCCAATCTTCACCCTGCATGACCGCCCCGCTGCCATCTTCCAGCCTATTTCCTCGCCATCAGCACGTCTATCCTTCCTCATGAATTTACCGGAAACAGCAAGGCACACAAATGATATTATGGGGGGAAAGACAAAGTTGCTCGTAAGCAGCACCTCCTGGACGCCGGATGAAGACTTCAGCCTCCTTCTCTCAGCGCTATGCTCCTACTCCTCCACATCTACCAGCAAGCCCCTCCCTCCGATTCTGGCCATCATCACAGGCAAAGGACCACAGAAGCAACTTTATCTGAACCGAATCGCCTCTCTCACCGCATCCTCCCAACTCAGAAACATAACGATCCTCACCGCCTGGCTCAGCGTAGAAGATTACGCAACCCTGTTAGCATGTGCAGATCTAGGAGTTTGTCTACACATGAGTTCCAGTGGTGTCGATCTCCCGATGAAGGTTGTGGACATGTTCGGCGCTGGACTACCGGTTATCGGGTATGGGGCCTATGAAAGCTGGGGGGAGTTGGTGAAGGAGGGGGTTAATGGGAGGGGGTTTAGAACGAGTGGGGAGTTGGCGGAAGTGCTGGAGGAACTGTTTGATAGGAAGGGGGAGGGGCAAGAATTAGACAAGCTGAGGGTGGGGGCGAGGGAGGAGGGGAAGAGGAGGTGGGATGAGGAGTGGGATGGGGTTGCGGGGAGGGTGTTGGGGTTGTGTGACTGATTCTCGAGAATCAAATAAAGTTTCCCTGGCAGCAACAGGAAAGAGATTTTTGATGCAAATGAGTGATGAAAAGAGATTCTAGTGAATTATGCCTCGAGGGTGAGTTTTGTTGCATATCGACTGATTGTCTGAACTCCCTTTGGTACAATGAGAATTTTTTTGGAGGGGTAGTGAATGTCGAAGTCGACTGTTTGTTGCACATCATAGGAATGTCCTTAATAATTCCGGTACAATGAACTTGAGCGTTGGATCTACAAATAGAATTGCATCTTGAGTCGATTTGAAAACTCTTTGGTCAAGTGTAAGAGCGCAATGGTGCGACTTGTGGGTGGGCTTTTTGAAACTGGGATGGTGAGAATTGTTGAGATTGATATTATGTACCAACTTGAGTGATACTATGTAGGGGGTGAGAGCAAGGCGATGTTTTATAAGCGATTCCTCCTTCCGATCCCTCGACACTCGAGTGGGGAAATCCAGTCAGTTCTTATTTTCACTGCGGCATTGCCGTAGCTTTGTCTACTTCAAACTTACCACGAAAGCCGAGTATATAAACTCCCCATTTGTGGACTAGCAGAGACATCAACCGAATACCTCAAGAATTTGGAGGCCAGGGGTGACGTCAGCAAGTTTTGGCAGGTACTAATTCAACCCCGAACCTCCTTTTCAAGATTGAAATTCAGATTGTCCGTTGATAAGCCATACTAGTTGCAGTGAGCATGTGGCTCTGTTTGACTTGTTAAGAGTCGAATGGGATGAGTGACAACAAGTCAGAAGTCAACAACAAAGGTTTGGTGTTAATTATCAGGATGATCCTCAGCTCATTTTTCTCCTGTTTCAAATACCTTCTCGATCCTGCCATATGGTTATTATGTCAAAGAATCCGCTCCATCTTGGGGGTCTTGAATGTATGCCATCTTATATGATCCAGGTAGACCGCTTGACAAGGGTTTGTGCCGGGCGTGAATGTGTTTGCGTCATTCAAATATTGCAACGCGCTTTTAAAGAGAGAGATATATACACATGAGTAAGCCCATAGAAGTAAGTACGGAAGATGAATGAGCGAGGGGTTGCAAAGAATATATCCGACTGGGCCACACAACATTGGTCTGATTGTAATCAAGGGGGGTTGTATTGGCTCGCTTAGCGTGCATTTCGGTTCGTCGACAACCTCCCAATCTCTTTACCTTCCTCCCCTCATCCCCACATCACACTGCTCAAGAATGGGCGTGTACATCATCACAACCTCATGCATCTATTAATCCAGCTTTACTTGATCTATCCAGAGGACCCACTCAACGCATCCCAATTATCCAAGCCACGTGCTGCCCATCTTCCGGTCCGACCCGGCAAGGCTCTCAGCCTCACCCCTACAGTGCCTCAAGATGCGCCTCCTCAACCTCAATACCTTAGAGCTCAGAGAATTTATCGACGCCGAGCGACCGCCCTATGTCATCCTCTCTCACACCTGGGGCGCCGAAGAAATATCTCTGCAGGAGCTTAAGCTTCCCGTCTCCAACGCCTCGTATCTCTCCACCAAAGAAGGCTACGTCAAGATTCTGAACTTTTGTCAAAAAGGCAAGGAGAATGGGTTTGAGTGGGGATGGATCGATACTTGCTGTATCGATAAGACGAGTAGCGCTGAGCTTTCGGAAGCTATCAATTCTATGTTTAGAGTAAGTCTTGTCGCTCGTGCTTATATCCCCTTTCCCATTTTCTTGTGTGAGAACTAAGCACTTGGGAGCTGTCATGACTCCTTTGCCTTCGTAATTCATGAGCAACACGACTCCTAAGCTTGCTGCTCCGGAGCTGCTAGTGTATAAAATAGTGCTAATATGTTTGACAGTGGTATCAAGAGGCAGATTCCTGTTATGCCTACTTGAGCGATGTCTTCAGTCGTGAAGGTGGAGAACACCAGGAACCCTCGCTCCAGGTCCAGTTCGCTGGCAGCCGATGGTTCACCCGGGGCTGGACACTCCAAGAGCTTCTTGCACCGTCGAGTGTCGTGTTCTACTTGCAAGACTGGACTGTATATGGCACCAAGAGTTTCTTGCACAAGGAAGTCTCTCGTATCACTGGCGTCCCCACATTTGCGATGACAAAGCCGAACAGTGTGAAAGAGTTCAGCGTCGCTCAGAGGATATCATGGGCCTCAAACCGGCAGACTACACGTCCGGAGGATATTTCCTATTGCCTTCTAGGGATTCTCGGTGTTCACATGCCTTTGCTATATGGTGAAGGGGCCAGAGCCTTCTCAAGACTCCAAGAGGAGGTGATGAAAAGTGGCACTGATCCAACAATCTTTGCGTGGCCGTCGAGTGATGTGGCAGTAAATACACGGGAAGGACCGTTAGCGCCAAGCCCGGCTGCCTTTAGGTTCGCTGGGAATCATAGAGTCTTTACCTCTGGAAACTTTGTAGAATATGGACCATGGTCAGTTACGAATCGCGGCATCCGGATAGAGGATCTTCCAATCCTCGAAGAATCTTTGGCTAAGGCTCTGCTTGATTCTGAAGGCTTTCATCTTTGGCCCAACAAAACCTATGCAGTAGCTTTAATTGGCTGCTACAGGGTAAAACAAGACGGCCAACGCATTGATAAACAGTTTGGTATTGCGTTGTACAAGCATGGAGACATCTACTATCGCTTCCGCACACCTGAGAGTCTTTTACTCATAGACCACCACGTCAAGATGTCAGCGAGAGTAAATTGCATCCTCCATTTAGAGCCGGTAGTTACTTATTCGAAATATAAAATACGTCCAGATTCGGTAAGCCCCAGGTGGATTATTCGTAAGTGTCCGGATGAACGACATGGTTTCACTATCTCGGACATCTGCGGACGCTGGGTGTGGGGATCAGACTTCAAATTCTTTTCTTACCCGGATCTAAGGGACGATATGGTCAGGCCCGCCTCTCGTAAAGCTATAATCTTCTCAAACAATACCACAAAAGAAGAATTCTTTGTGGTTGTCAGAGTCAACAAAGCCCTGCCCTGGATACATGTTTCAACAAATATAACGAGGGAAGCATGTTTAGATTCTCCGTTTGCGTTTGGGGTGGATCACACTGCGTATGTGGACCAGACCTCTTCAGCTCTAAGGAACGGAAAGGAGGTTATAGTGAAGGTGATTTGCGGTGTGGATAATGGGGAAAGGGTTTTTTTTCTAGATGTTTGTATTCAAGATGTTCAATAAGCGCATTCGGGGGGTTTTGGTAGATCTTGCCCAATCGCCGTCTAATAGCTATATTCACAGGCTTCTTTTCCTCTGCTCTAACTCATTGCATTGCTAAGTATATACAAGCTCCCAAACTCCGCGACCGGTAAACTGCCCACAAGATGATCCCCAAGAAAAACTGGGGGGGGCGGGGGGAGTATCAATGGTATCGCAACGATTGACAACTCAACATCGGATCCTGATAGATTTCTACGAGTGATACTCGAGTTACGGCTTCCTGCACCATCGTCGCTTGGATGAGTAGTTGTCTCCCTAAACCAATATTGGATGAGCGACAGTGACTCAAACCTTGATCACAAAAGCTGACATTCGCTCCTTAAACATGAATCACGACTCAAAATTTCTCTACTCTGGTTCCTTATCATCTCGTCACAGTTTCCTTGTTCAGAGAAAGGACCTTCAATCCCGTTTGTGACCGACTCTTGGCGAGAGTACTATATTCGTCAATTTCCAGTTCATTGACTTTCTATTGGTGTCCGGACTGTGCAGGGAGCAACACACGTATGATTCTCTCCCTTATATAGAGTATTACGGAACGGTTGAGCCTAGATATCCTGCTTTCCAAGTGAGAGATACATTATCTTCGAGAATCTTCTCACTTTGTGTTCCTAGTCATGATCGCAAAGTCTTAACCGTTGCTTCCCAGAGTCTGCTGCAGATAGTCCTGGGCACAAACGAGTAGATAAGGTCTCTTTCTGGCTATTATCCAGAATTCATCAGACGGATTGGGCCCATGGGGAGGGCTTGAAACTAAATGATGGATGGAACAAAAAGAGAGCCTAGTATAGAAGGGACCCAGCTTTTGGGAAGATGGACCTGTAGCCCAGAAATATTCAATCTCTCAAGCTGTGGTTTCCTAGCAATGTGATTGTAGGTTTCATATTTAGATTGGATTGCGCCGCAAGATGAATTGCAAAGAACCCGCGAACGATGAAGCGTAGGCAAACGACCGACTTCACTAATCCACACACTTTGCAAACTCTACGCGCTTGGACAGGCGTGTCTGAGATCCATGGAAGGCTATTTTAAGGACTTCGCTCCTGGGCAACACCAGCAATGATTGAGCTGAACTTCTGTGCAGCCTTAGATATATGTCGCTCCTTCAACGATTTGCAGTTCGCTAAAAATAAGGCAGAATTTCAAGTAGAAGTGGAGTGAACAGCGAAAGGGTATTTCATATTCTAGATTTTGAAAATGAAAATTTCTTGTTGTGGGTTACATGTTGCCCTCGAAGTATTTGGTCTTCATTCTTTATTTCAAACATCCTTCCTTGAACTGAAAACGTAGTTTTGACTCAATGAAGAGGGCTAGGGAAGCGCATAAGGACAGTGTCACACATGTCTCTTATTGACCAACTGGTTTTCGGTTAAGAAATATCTAAAGACTGAGTACACTATATATAAGTTAGATACATACAGAAAACTATCTGGTATTGTGGATTATATGCTTAGTATTTGGTCATACTCAAAGCCAGACAGGTGCTGTGTGCGGGAGCGTTTGTATTTAATTTCCCTGTAGTTTAGTAAACACAAACAGCCGGGGCTTCCTGAGCGGAATGGGAGTTTCAGTGAATGGTTCATTGCTAGCCTTGTCTATATTACATTCCCCCAGTGACCGCAAGGTATCATAGAACATTCAAGATCAAAAGTATTGTGTGCTCAACTATTCATTCCTTCCTGCTGTGCAAATAAGCGCATCTGAAGTCGAGTGTTGCATCTTTCCGTTGGAAGTGAGCTCATTGCTCCACAGGCTACGTAAAGCGTGGCTTTGTCCGACGTGTCCCACCTTGCACGATCAATGCCAAGGAGGAGTTGGACAACGGAGGATTGAACGCGCGGACATGGGATCTTGGTCACTTGGGGAATCAAGTGGAGGTTTCTATAATTTAATTGCTAGACCGTTCCTGGGTGCTGGGAGTTTTCTCTGACCTCGGAGATGTAAAGAAAAGAGGTGAGCTAACTTTAGAATGTGATAACATGTCTGACATTGATAATAAAGGTTCGCGTTACATTCGGGAGATGAGACTGAATTTCTGAGGCATTTCTGTGTTCCCCCATTCCACACCAATAACACCATGCAAAATACTTTTGAGAAGACAACAGAGCTCCGAACTTCACGAAGAAATTTTGGGCCGCACAGGCAACTTCCGACAGAGAATCTGTCGGCATCAAGAACAGGTATTAGTTCATGGTTTTCGATAGCTGTTGAGATTCACTTCGACGGGTGAAATTTATGGCACCGATCTCCGCCAATGCCATGGTGGTATTACAGGAAGACGGGTCTGGGTTCAACAGCTATCCAGTTGGGGAAGTCAGTACAGCGGCAGGGGATGCCCGAAGCCAATAGAAGTTGGTTTAGAGTTCCATCAACCCTACCAATCCGGCCCCCTCGAAACGACATGTCCGCAAGCCACTAGGTTCTAGACTCTTGTTTCAAATTTCAGCTGCGCCCAGCTATATGTACCGGGCGAGGGGCTGGCGGAAATGGGAGTCTCCGGTATGGCAACTCCCATGAAGGCGTAGAACCTGATCGTTATTGGAGAAAGTCAATGTCGCACAGCATATTCCAAAGTTTTACGCCAGCCAGATTCAAGAGCACTGCAGATCTCTGGTCAAGTGACACAATGAGACAGCTTCGTTTTCTTGGAGCTGAATGCTCTGGTAAGGTGTCCAATTAAACGAAACCTCACCAGCAGAGAATATGCAGGCGCATTCAGATCAGGTCATGATAAGCGGCCGCGCCTCGTTCAGTCTCTGAGTATACAAACACTGACTCCGCACTCGCTCTCTCAAGTCGTAAATCTCAACTTCTCGTTTTCCAAACTAATCTAAGCCATCACGACACAAGAACAACATGGCGCCGAAACGGTTGGTACTGTGCTTCGATGGTACAGACAACAAGTATAGCGCCAGCGAAACTGACTCGAATATCGTCAAAATTTACGAGTTAATGGATCGCGAATCCCTGGAGCAGTACCATTACTACCAGCGTTAGTTGATTTATTCTTCTTTAAATTAGATTCCGTACTTCTGCTAGCATATCCTTTTCCAAGACGATAAGTCGCTAATCCGAGCCTGGTGCAGCTGGTATTGGGACGTATGTCCCAAACAAACTCAACAACTCAACGGGAGGCCTCAGAGACAAAATCGCCATGCTTCGAGACTCAGGCTTCGGTACCTATTTCGTCAACCACGTCATTGGCGGTTACCAGTTTCTACTTCGCTACTACAATCAAGGAGACAAGATCTACATCTTCGGATTCAGCCGTGGCGCGTATACCGCTCGCTTCCTAAGTGAGATGATCGATAACATCGGGCTCTTGTCAATGGGCAATGAAGAAATGATTTATTTCGCATGGGAAGCCTTTTGCGACTACCAAAAGAATAGAGGCGCTGACAAGAAGAAAGAGACAGAGAAGGAAAACTTCATGAAACAATACAAACTCAGCTTTTGCCGAACGTGTGATGGAGACAAGGGTGAGGTGAAGGTACATTTTCTCGGTCTCTTCGATTGCGTCAATAGTGTCCTTGCTTTTAGTACAGCCAAAAGCATGCCTATGCCTCACCACCAGGAACACCCTGAAAACTCTTACCCAGCGAATTTCGTCCGCCATGCAGTTTCAATCCACGAGCGTCGTGGGCTGTTCCAGCCGGTATTGTTCGACCCAGAGCCAGGCGCACAAGAGGAACCTCCATCCGGCACCACACAACTTGTTGAACGTTGGTTTGCAGGGAACCATGGAGATGTAGGAGGAGGATGGAAGGCGCATACTCATCTTAAAGAGAAAGAGCCGTACCTTCTTTCAGACATTCCACTTATGTGGATGATCGAGCAAGTAAGAGAAGTTGAGGAGGCAGCTAGCGTAAGCCTACTACCCAGTGTACCCCAGGGATTCTTTGCCCAGTTCCAGCCGACTAATGGACCAGCAGAAACGCGGCGACAAGAACATACTTGCTTGGCGTGAGACATTCCCTCAATCAGCAGATATTGATTTTAAAATTGTTCGGTCGGGCAATTGGGAATCGGTTTGCGAACATGCTCAAAAGCAGATCAATTTATGGGACTTGGAGAAGAACGACACCCCAAAACCAGCGGATAGAATCCGAAAAGTCCAGCGAAGGCTTCACGACGTTCTAAAGAGTGGGACTGACGGACCAGGTCCTAAAGGACTGGAGGAATGGTTCAGGAAATGGACGAAGAGATCTTTTTGGTGGGTCACAGGTAAGCCAGCTCTCTATTTCAAGCCACACCTGATTCCATATACTGACTATCTCTGTCAAGAACATGTTCCCGTTCTTAGGTGGCATAGAGTCGCAGTTGGAAGTGAAGGGCCTCATGTGAAGCATTGGAGAATGTGAGTGGCCCAGATTCTTTTATTTTCACTCTATTTCCTATTAAGCCGAAATTCGATTCGGGAAACTGCGTCATGGTATTGTGCAACAGATGTCAATGTTCTTGTTCATCAGTGTTTTACTCAAATGGAAACAAACATGATTTAATAACTTAATGTAGGACACGGTCGTTGAATCATGGTCGACCTCGTGATATCCCTGAGCATGCTTGGGCGCACTGGAGCGTGCCGAAGCTCAGGGAGTGCCAGGTCAAGGGAGTTGGAGCTCTCGACCGGATGAATCGAAACGCCGAGAAGTTCAAAAATGTAGAGAGGGGTCCTCCCGAACAAGCAATTTGAAGGTTTTCTGGATAGAACCCCTATCTCGTTTCGGCTGTGGGGTTCCGTTTCAATAAACATAGAATTTCTGTCGGAACGCTTGAGGAATTCACCACTTTTCTTTGCATCATATTGATTAATTCCTAATCAGATATTTCACGTTTCCTTGGAGTAGTTTTTGATGTATCTAGCCCTAAGATATCCAAGCTGATGCTCGTGAAAGTGGAGCAATCACAACGCTTCACAGCGCTCGCTTAAATAGGGGTTACCCCGGAATGATAGTACACCACCAACACTTGAAAATAGTTCCAGATCTATATGGTTGCTAGTAAATCTTATCCATTCTAGAATGTTCGAAGATCAATATCAAATACAGTCATGGAAAATTTATGATTCATGGGTGTCAATGGTTGAGATGGGAATTGAATCCAACAACCGGTGAATTTATTGTGATTTTTTGCCATGGAAACCCTGGAATGACCTCTTGCTAAATGGTCTCTTACAGTACTATAAATGGTGGAAGTTCATCCTACTGAATCCAGATTTTACTCACAATGTTTATGTCGCCTCCATCCAATCTACCTCTTCTTGGGTCCGTGAGGCTCCACAGCTTTCCTTGCCCTGCCACGTATAAACCTCGGAGAGGATACTGTTAATCGGTTCAGTTCCGGACAATGACGGTTGAGTCGCACTCCGCTGAGATGAATGACAGCATTTTGGAAATTGACAACAAACTTTTGCAGTCAACGAAAGAGATCCGATGACACTTGATCGGGCACCCCCATCCAACATAGCTACCGCATGAAATCAATTTAGTTTTGATCAAGCATTCAAGAATGGGTGCCCGAGAATTCCTGAAAGCTATACGCTAACCCCTCACGAGCAATTGGCCAAAATACTTCTCCGGAGGTGATAGTAACAAAGAGTTGTCAAAATAGTGGAATCGGTCCTTTGCAGGTATAAAAGGACTGCAGAGTCTCTATACAATTATGGCATGAACTATTTTCCTATGCTGAATATCCAAATCTTGTAGAGGCCCTCGACCCTGAGTGTTCTTTACATACATGGAACATTGAACCGATTTGAGGTAGGGTGCCCTCATCACTCACGTTCACGATTTGCAAGGCCAGCGTATAGCGCGAGCAGAAGGCCAGGCACAATACAGGCACAACCCCATGCTTTGCAGATCGCAATATAATTTTATAAATTCAGTTGAACTTCTATCAAGCAATTCACCTTATTAATCCTTAACAGACTTTAGGCTTGTGTACTTCCTGTTCAAAGTCGACACTTTTAATAGTAGTACATCAATTAATAGCAATTAGACTAGACTAGATATCTTTAGGAATTAAGTATCTTTCATAACAAACTTATACTCTTTCACAGTGAAAATACTTCTGCGAAGTCCAAGAGCAAAACAGATTAGGGGTTATTGTTTGCTAATTTGGCCTCACTTTCCCCAGTCTTATATATCTGAAATTGACATGGACCCTCAAAATGCGGGCCGAAGGAATTAATAAACGCAAAATTTGTTTCTAGGCCCTGAGCTCAACTCAAATACATTGTTTGGCCATGATCCAAGCAACCTCTCCGCCAGCCCCCGCCGAGAAATAATGCTTTTTATAAGGTTTTAGCAAGAATTGGGAGGCCTCCAACTTATATATATCCCCTAACGAAAAAGTCTTTACCTAGTGTGGTGATGCTCCTTTCACTTTATTTAAAGTAACAGGTTGAATATCTTTGATACTACACGTAGCTTAGAATTTGAATCTTAAAGTTCTTGGATTTTCCATGCTGGCTGCAAGCTTTGAAGACCTGAGGTTCCGAATGTACCATGTAAGCGAGAACTAGATGGGCCGAAATTCCAATTATACCATAAAAAAGAGAAGAATAACATAACCTCTCGCGAATAGTGTGCCACCTAAGGGGGACATTTGGAATAGCCACTCATTCAATGCTCCGTGGAAAAGATGAAATGTGCAAGGCCCCTTTATATTCAATGTTTCTATGAGAATTAGGATCTCTGGAAATTTGGATTATTGATTCCTTGAATCTTCTGTAAAGGAGCTTATGGCTGGAATTTCCACAAAAAACCCGATCCCTAATTACCTTAAGCCTTAGTGTAGGACATTCCCCTCAATAATTGAAGATATACAAATCGAGATTTCGAGTCGACGTAACTAAACTGCATCATGCCTTCCCGTCACTGACGGCGGAGAGAATGACTTTGCTCAGACTCAATAATAGGCGAAAGAAGTTTTATCAAGTGATTGCCATTGAGATGTATATTCTTCTGTGTGAGTGGAGCGCCAGGAGGAAAAGCCGGAGAGTCATGCCGAGCCACTTGCCCAAAGAGGAAAGGGGGGCGAACCCCGCCAAAGTGGAAGCGAGCTCGTTGGCGATGACCTCTGATCATTGAATTACACAGCAGCAGCCCACCTTCTCCTTCTCCTTCCAGACCGCCAACTCCTTAGTCAATCGAGACGAACGCAAGTACCTAAAATACAACTGATTCGGGAACGTGCCGTCAAGGGAGAACGACTGAATTCACGCAGGCGCAGCTCGAGTCTAGACGTCAACTGACGAACGTTCCAGCCACCTCAGCCCCAACATCCCGCCCACCAGACATGTGCAACTTCTACAAATACAAATAGACTCGCCCTCGATTGGTCACCGCTTAGATTACGAGTTCAGCTTCTCTGCATCTTGCTCGAGTCCCCGAACAAACACGCCCCTCGCGCGCGCCCCTGCAACATACATATTCTGCTGTCCACGAAGAAGAAACATGCCTCCAGCCCCGGCTACCGGAGCCGCTGGGCTCCTGGCACGGCAACTGAAAGGCATACAGCAAGCAAAAGATCTGCCAGGAATATCTTGCGGCCTAGTAAATGACAATGTATTCGAGTGGGAGGTGATGCTGATGATCTCCGACGACTGCAAATACTACGGCGGTACCTACCTCTCATTCCCTCTCTTTGCCCTCTGCGACGTGGACTGACGAGGTCTTCTAGGGGGCAACTTCCGCTGCCACCTCTCATTCCCACCCGAATACCCCCTCCTGCCACCCTCCCTCACCTTCAAATCACCCATCCCCTTCCACCCGAACATCTACACCGACGGCCTACTCTGCATCTCGATCCTGCACCCGCCAGAAGACGATCAATACGGCTACGAGAGCGCGGCGGAGCGATGGAGTCCCGTACAGACGCCAGAGACAATATTGTTGAGTGTGGTTAGTTTGCTGCATGATCCGAATGATGAGAGTCCGGCCAATGTGGAGGCTGCGAGGCTGTGGAGGGAGGAGAGGGAGGGCTCAGGGAAGGAATTTAGAAAGAGGTGTAGGAAGGTTGTTCGGGAGAGTTTAGGGGAGGATTGAGGCTATTATTTGGGAGGAAGGGGGCATTATGGACGGGATATGGTGGTTGGGAAATCACAACACCTTGATTTGACGATGGAGTATTCTGGGTGCACGAGGCGCATAGGCGATTTGATTTGAGGCATCATCGACATGTTGTAGGTGGCAGACCTACCAAGTCAACAAGACGCCAAATATCAGCATAATAACAAGTCATGACCCAAAGCTTGTGGACTGAATGTCAATTCGATTTCCTCTTTCCAAGTATCGAATTGGACTACCCTAGCTTCAAACACCACATGTAATCCATGGCTGAGATAGTGCCTCGTCCTCTCTCCTACAGAGCACCTTAACATTTCTGATGGTGCAGGATTCAAAGTGTAGATCCCACATACGATATGAGAACACGGGCAAATAGCCCTCTTTCCAACGGTTCTCATAGGATCCCCGTAGCTCAATGAAAGCGTCATGGATCGAATCTCAAGGATTGCCTCTCGGTTCTGCAGCGTAGTTAGTCTTTGGGCCCTCGCTTCATGCACTATCATACATTAGAAGTTGGTAAAGTTGATTTTAGATGTTTGTTGTTCAGCCTTGCGGGGCTAACCTGATTGGGGCAGTCAGCCTCGCGCTAAACTTCGAAGTCACGACAACAGCATTCTTGTCGTCGGCGAGAATGATATTCACATCCTCCTTTGGGCTACCAAAGTACAGTTCAATACTTGTGTTAATACGCATGCCGTACTTGCAACGATTAAGACCCCGCCGAGGTCTGCCATCCCCTCATAATGCCGATCGTCGACGAATTCCTCTCCTCCATCTCCAACTTCCTTAGGACGAAGAATTCTTTACAACTGCAGCTCTTCCTACGAGTCGAACCTCCTCTGCCTGACCAATACTTACAGCTGAGCCAAGAGTTGAAGTCATCATATCGTGATGGCAACAAGCTCGAATTGCACATAGGGAAGTTGGTCCCCGAGGCCGATGATGGGGATGCTGAAGTAGGAGGGGCATGGCCGGGTTTCCTTGCCTTCTTGAAAGAGTATTTGGAATTCTGGAGAGATGTCAATTTTGGAGATCTTCTGGAGACACATACGCAATTGAGCAATTTAGCGAAGTAGGCGTGCTCACCTCCCAATGGTCAAACAAATGCTGACTGAGTCCGAATTCAGCGCATGCATAACTGCATTGTCCAATGCGACCTATGGCATCATTGTACTGCCAGCAACGATCCAACTATGTTCGACTCTTGCAAGACTTGCTATGATGCTTGACAAGAGACCGGATTTGACACGAAAGATGGTGAAAATTGCCGACGTTGATCAGGAATCAAGGAAGACATTGGTCGAAGGGACAGCAGAGTCTATACAGAGGGCATTTACAATGTGTTTGACGGAGAGGACAGCCAATAGGAATGGTATAGGCCGAGATGGGAAGCCAGAGGGAAAGAAAGTTGGCATATATTCTTTCGCCAATATGGTGCTGAGACTCCTCTTTCAGGTATGGTACATTTCAATCCTGAACTTGCATAATTTTAACAGAAACTGCAGTGCAAGAAGACACGACTAGCGAATCAGATGTTCACCAATATATCTCAAAATTCGCCTCCCCTTGGCTTGTATCCTGCAAGCCAGCGTGTAACATATCTTTTCTATCTCGGACGTTACCATTTCGCAAACAGCCACTTTTACTATGCAGCACAATCCTTGCAATCAGCATACGACCAATGTCACGCCAAGTGCCTGAAGCAACGTCGGAGTATTCTAATTGTTCTGATTGCATCAAACATGATCCTCGGCAGATTCCCGTCTCGAGCCTTCCTGTCAAGACCAGAAGCCGCTGACGTGCTCGACAAATTCATACCAATATCAAACGCTATTCAGAAAGGCAACATGATTGCGTTCAAGCAAGCAGTGGGACCAGAGTCTGGCAACGAAGAGTGGCTTTTCCAGCACGGAGTCCTCCTGCCTTTGAGATCTCGCTGCGAGGTATTGGTCTGGCGAACTTTCGCGCGTCGAATCTTTCTTCTGACGTATCAATTTCCATCGGATCCGAACTCCAGGAGAGCACCAACATTGGATCTCGAAGACCTGGTTGCAGCAGCCCAGTATTGCCAGAAGCTCCTTGAGGGCTGGGTGAAGCCTGTCGATTCTATGACGGCAATGCAAGCTGGCCGGATGCATCCGAACTCAATGTTCATGAAGACACCCGACCTGGTTCCGCCGCCCGAGGGACCGAAAAACCTCGGAGCACAAGACGGAATGATTTTTGGAAACACAATGCCCGATCTCATGGAAATGGAGGCAATTGTGGCAAGTCTCGTACAGCAAGATTTATTGCATGGATTCATCAGTCACAATCAAGGAAAATTTGCTATTCTAGGAGCAAAACAGAGAGGCGGACCCCTGAATGCGGGATTTCCACCTGTCTGGGAGACATTAAAGGTCAGAGCTGAAAGAGAAGTAAACAGCGGTGAAATACCCGGGTGGGTCCAGACAGAGAGGACGGGAATGATGGGTGGAGTTGTGAATCTTACCGGCATCGCCCGACCTGTTGGGAGTGGAGAATGAACCGAATTTCGCGATCGGTTTCCTTTCGAAAGTTGCGGAAGGAGTAGAATTGGACGATAACGTGTATGAGATGTTGCCACGGAACAATGGAGACGCGTATGTCACTCAGCGTCAGCACACCAAACTACCCCTCTTTTGCCGACATTTCAGACTGCTGATGTCCGATTCCCACCGAAAATCTCGAGACTTTATGTAGTGTGAGATTAATTGTGGGGTGTGTGGTGTGTGGGGTTCCCGAGCTGGGGTTCTGATGGACGAGGTTTGTCGGAATGTCGGAGTCAAGTACGGGTATCTCGGTTGGGCTTTTCTTCGAAAACAACTCCGGCTGCCAAAATTGCAAGACCGCCCGCTTGGAAAGAACTTGACGAAATGGAAAGGAAGGGTCACGAAGACAATCTGGTTTCTATTCTTGTTGCCGGCAGTATTGCTTCTGCCCAAATACACCGTTGCCACCCTGGCAGAATGTTCCCAAGCACAATATCGTTGTCTATGCCTGCTCTTTCTCACGGCTAACGAAGCCCACATTCAAATGCAAATACAGAACCCGAAGGCCTTCGAAAGTTTCAACTCAGCTCGTCTTCTTTGACTGTTTTCTCGCTTCCATCTCTCTCATCTGTGCTGCTATCTTCTTCTCCGCGACCCTCCTCATGGCAGCCTGTTGCTCTGCAGGTTCCTCTTCTGCAGTCCTCTCCTCCTCAGCAGCCTTCACTTCCACCGCTTTCTCCGCCTACTTCATTGCAAATTCTCGATTCCTCTTCTATCCCAATATTCCTCAAGCAGGTCACTGCTCACGTCTTCTTCCTTTGACCAGGAGTCTTTGTAGATACTTTCATCCCAGCGAAGCAGGTACTATCGAGCGTGCGGCCAAGTCATCTCTTGAGGCCAATGATTGATGACAGCGGCGACGTGGAATTCACATTCCTTCAACTGATCTCTGATTAACTCAGGCTGAGGCGGTCGAATTATGCGTCCATTATTTCGTCTCGGTTTCTGTGTGGCGTCGGATTTGGCAGTGATTCCATTTGGTGCTGCTGCGGTTAGCTGCGCACTTGTGTGGGAGTGTTCCCATTTGCTCCTTTGGTGATCACTGTACCTTTGTTGCGACCCTTTGACTGTCTTCGCCCAGGACTTTTCGCTGGCTGCAGCTCGATCTTCCTCTTCGAGTTAATCTCATCGTATTGAACCTTCTCGCCAACAGCTATCTCCGGAACCTGCTTCCAAACCGAGTACATATCCTTATGACTTGCATCATCATCCCCCAATTCGTAGAATTCAGCCACATGCTGAGCCCTAATCACCTTGAACCCAGGAATCCGAGTTTGTTTCCGTCAACTCCGGGAAGTCTGAAGGACCTCCCACGCCCTTAGTAGCTGATTTTTCCGTTTTTATGATTGTGAGGATGAGTAATTTCGTCCTCAACATCTCTCTCTGAACGTGAGAGTGAGATGAATGGACTGAGGTGCGGAGGGTTGGTTGAAGACTGTCCTTGGCTGAGGTGGATCTTGATCCTGTTGACGAGATCATCTGTAGTTGCGGAAACTCGGGAGTCGAATCGGGCTGCCGAAACCTCTCAGCATGGGCTGGTCTTCAATGTCAGAGTAGTCGGAACGGGAGAGGATTTTGGGAATCTCGTGTATTTCGAGAATAAAGTTCTCCGGTCCCGGCGAATTCGATGCATTGCTCGGAGAAGAAGATGATTGCGCGGTCGGATTCTTCTGAGTGTTTGATAACGGGCCAGCCGTAGACGCTTTGCGATTGGACATGCTGGAAGAGGGCCCGGCTGGATGGTGGTTACTCATCACGGGGAAGGGAGGTGACCTCATGTTGATGGGAAAACTCCGATCTGCTCGATCGCCACTGATGGTTTTCTGTGTGGAGCCTCCAAGTTCTCGCCGAAATGATTCCGTGGTGTGTGTGGTCGTATTTTCAGACTTGTCGTTGTCGCTCCGATCGAGAAGTCGGGCCGTCGAGCTTGAACCACATACCTCTTGCCTTGATGCTGGAAAGTTCTCCCTCGCTAAATGTACAAAGGACATTGTTTTGAAGAAACCTCTCTCCATAGTATTATAGTCTCATACTCAGATATCTCCAATTGAATGGTCGAGTCCGCCAAGCAAGTGATGAAACGAGAAGCTTCAAGATTTGCAAGCACCGAGACAGGAATAATGACTTGACCTGCAGCTGGTTCTCTTGACGGCCCACAGGAAAAAGACTTTATTCTGTGCACGCTGCAAAACGCCAAACATAATGATCGCTCCTAAACCAGAATCCAAAGGAAACACCTCCAAGACTCCAGCCTCCGTTTCACGTCAGCACCTGCGAATTTCAAGGGATTTCTACTCTTTCACCACCTCCTTCGCCGTCTCCCTGGTGAAAGATTCTGGATCCACCTGGAACACCGTCGCAATCCTCGCCAGACTGTAGTAAAACCCCTATCTGAAGTAAGATCGAAGTGTCGTTCTTTGTCCAGATGGAACTTGCCTGCATCGTCACCACCTCCACCAAAGCCTGATCACTGAAGTATTTCCTCGCCTCTCCGAAAACTGCATCGCTGACCTCAGGCCCCTTGAGAACTTCATCCAGAAATGCTAGCAAGACTCTCTCGAGCTCTGAGAACTCATCTCCAGTAATCTGATCTGCTTTTATAGCCTCGATTTTGGCTCCTGGTACTCCTGTCGCTTTAGCAATTTGGACATGCTGCTTCCATTGGTAATCGCACGACAGTCTGTGTGCAGTCAAGAGACAGACGAGTTCACGATTATGCGGTGAGAGTGAAGTGTCCCGAAAACAGGCTGTTCCGAGGGAGATTGCGTGAGGTAGAGTTGAAGGCGAATGCGCCCACATGAGGAAGAGATTTAGGGGCGGAATACCCTTTGGAAGGCACGAAGCTGGACGGTAAGGAATCCGTGCCTTTGGCATGTTGAAGGATGCTGGAGACCTTGAATGGGGACTTCAAGCGCGCTCACTAAAAGTGCTGTCCGCGGCTTTAATAGTTGTAGCAAGCACTTGACGATATCAATATTAGGTTTTGTTTTGCTAGTCAAAGCATTACCAATAGAGGCGATATTGCATTGTTGCGCATTACAGGCCGTGTATGATCAAGAGCTGAACGGCGGTTATCCAGCCAAGTCGTCGTCCGCCCAGAGCAGCGGAGGTATCACTGTCTTAGCACAGTGGCAACTTCCGCCCAAGCAGCTGGGTCGAATGACTGAGCCTGACCCCCAAACTTAAATTCAAGCCCAATCACTCCCTTACTACACTTTCCCGAAGAGACCTCGGCGTTCCGTGCTATTCCCGACGAACTGCTTCGCGCTCTTCGCCCCTCACATGATCTGACGGCATTACGGCCCAGCCTTTGCTGATGCCCCACTGCCTGCAGAGGGGATTCGTATACACCGGCCGCTGGAACTAGACGGCCGTACTGTTCTTGCGCCTTTCTGCGAGTCTGCTTAATAAAACCGAACGATGTGCTGCATAACGCTAGCTAATTGTTGACGGGCTTGAAGTAAAAGCCAATCTCAACGTTAGCTTGCCTTTCTCCACGGCAAGATCGCCTACAGTCCTACCACACAGCTTCAAGACCACGCAAACTGCGAGATAGCATGGAGGAAGCGCTAAATTATTGGAGATATTAATTACTGTATGGAAGTATTGGGGGCGGCCGTCGAGGAAACTCCGCGCAAGGGCCGTTCCTCTAAATGGGCAACTTCACACTTCCCACTTCTACATTTAGACAGTGTGCAACCCAATCATGTTTCTGGAATCACGCCTTGGCGGATCTCATCACACGCTGCTTTGTGTCACATACTTGAGCTCAACCCCTATCCAACCCCTGTCTTCAAGGAAGCGGCGTGGATTAATAATCGTGGTGCATTGCTCGTTCCTGCATGACGACCGCTCCATCCGGCATTCAAAGAAAATGGGAAACCAAACGATGGGCTCGGAATCTCCTTATAAGGCCGTAAGTTTCGGTACTTGAAAATAAAACGGAGATACTGTATGGTGAAGTAAACATATATACCGCGGCAGTCGGCTGGTAAAGCTCTGGTGACATCAGGGGTTGTTTATCGATCACTGGATGCTGCGTCGACTTGGAGAAAGGATGCTGAGCTTAAAACCTTGAAATACGTGGTCCCGAGCTACTAGCTCAAACGCAGAGTGGTCCCGGTTCATGTTTTAGATGTGCTGCGACGCAAATATCGTACCACTCTTGCCTCATTTCGCTCTTCGTTTATTACAAGGAGGCACGCGTCAATCTGATGTTACAGAGTGATTTCCAAGACTTTTCATCGACAATTATCACGGAAAGAAACTCCTATGGATTGCCAAGGAAGGAAGTCGATATAAGGTAAGTAAACACTACGTTAATAAGGGAAGGAATTCACAATCTCACTGCAGGCACAAGACAGGGGAGTAAGCTGCCTGAGTCTCCATTGATTCTCACAACACCAAGCAGCGTTTCAAGGTAACGAACAGATCATCGCACAATACTAGGCTCAACCTTTAACAAGAGCATAATCATTCACAATAACAGTATCTACCTTACAACAATACCACACCATCCCACCGCAAACCAAACCACCAAAGGCCAGTCCGGCCCGCCCAGGTATCGCTCAGAAGGATCCCGAAACACCAAAATCTTGAGTCGGAAGAAAGGAAGGTCAGAAAAGAGTTCAGTATCCCCAGACTCCCAAGCATCAGTGTCCCCGAAGGGCCCGAACATTAAGAAAGACCTGGCATCCGAGTGTCACGTCCCCGAAAGAACGGACTCTTCCGCCCAGCTTCATTAGAGCCTCAGCATCCCCAAAGGGATCGAACAACTCGTCATCCACCGCATTCAACATCTGCGCTATCAAGAAAACCACGTCCCAACAAATAGTATGCCGAAGCACCAAAGGACTTCCATGTCAGTTCCTCCTCTCACAGGGGCAAACCCCCAGGGTCAACACCATCTCTTGCACCATCACAAGTTGCACCCCCACAACGGAGGTGCGCGAGCCATTGGATCAACTCCACGGGACACCTCACGTAAATGTAATGGCGGATCAGGATCAGATTCCGCGCCGACGCAAACATCGTTCAACACCCGTCACCCACAACCTCCTTTAGAAGGCTGTCCAAACGTTCCCCGGGCCGTTGGATCATCTCCGCCGGACATCGTATGGTCTGAATGGTAAGGGTTGTGAGATCGGAACTCCGCTACGCAACGCTGAGATTCGAATAAAGGATTCTCCCGCCGCTCTCCCTAAGGCCCTGTGCCGCCGAAGAAACGAGACCCATCGAGAAATGGTGTGGGGACACGGAAGCGTGGACACGAGAACTAGAAGGTGCCGCAGGCTAGTTGTCCGCGATACTCCTTTCCTGGCCTCCGGTTGTGAGAGCTATGAGGAATTCGGGTTTCAGCTTTGTGTTCTCATAATACCGTCCAGCAAGGGAAGGGATCAACTTACTTTTCTCAGCACAGGTCCGGATTCCCCCACACCCAGAATCCCGATGACCCCGCATCTGCATAGCCGCGTCGGACCTGGCTTGAACATTGGGCGAAGTCCAACCAACTCGAAAGATCCACTCTAAGCAAGACTCACCGCCCCCAGTAGCTCGATTCTTCCGCAATCTCTCGCCCTGAAGGTACCACGAGACTCAACGTCGCTCCACTTGAACGAACCGGCCCGTCGGAATGCAAAACCACAAAACTGAAACAAAAGTACATCGGAAAGTACATACCAAACAACATCAAGCACATGAGCAACCCCGAAGAAGTGTGGGGCAAGTTCGCAGAGGAAGGGAGGTGCCTTGATCCGAAACACATGTCTTTGGCACCGATGATCAATCAAACATCCGAGATTGTAGCCGCTGCTGCTAATGACTGTGCATGATGATTGCAACAAGTCGAACAGCGAAGCAATAGATGAAGCTGCTGTTTTGGTTGATTTGAGAGAGACCATGCATGGAAGTTGCGACAGTCGGGCAGCAATGAGGGGGATGGTTTCGATGCGAGAAGGCGATGCTTTTCTCGACCCTTTGGGAGAGATGTTGATTTGGGAAGTGGACGTGTTCTCGATCCCCGTCTCTGCCGTCATCAATCTTTCTGAACATCATGGACAGAGGGTGGCTAGCCCATAGTCAGAGATGCAAAGTCAGACAGAAGAAATCCGACAGTCAAAGAACGTGCTGGTTGACGGTGGATGCTCATGTGCTTGATCTGCAAGTTGTTAGCATTGTGAAGGTAAGTTAGAGAATGAAGTGATGTTGCGTTGTACTGCTTTAAAAGCAGGCTGTAATGAGAAAGTGCGGCTGAGCAAGCAGCAGGCTGCTAATGTTCTTGCAGCAGAATGATTGGAGAAGAAGCAAGTGCTGGTTGCGAAGGTATTTGCAGAATAGAGACTTGGTGCAAAAAGGTTTCGAAGAAAGAGAAGAAAGCAAGAGCTGGTTGCAACGGTGCTTGAAAAAGCGTGAAGACTCGATGCAGCGATGTTTTTTGTTGAGAAGGCTTGCTGGCTGCAAAAGCGCTTGGAGAATTGTGACGCTGCAGCATGGGGCTTCGGAAGAAGTGGTTTCTGCTTCTCGTTAGAATTGGCGAAATGAAAAGGCAGGAGTTGCAGAAACTGACCTTTGTTGCTTGCTCGGCCGCGTTTTGGAGAGGAGAGTGCTGCACAAGGAATCTGCCTGCGGCCGGGCGAAACGAAACTACAAGTCGTTAGTTTCAATCTGCAGCTGGGAATCAGACCCAACTTACTTTGACTTGTGAAAATTCCGCTTTTATGCAGAGGGAGCAAGCTGCTCAGTCACTTGTAGAATTTTGAGGGTTGCGAGAATGCGATTTCACTAGATTCTTATTTAGTGTGAAGAAAGGTTTTGAAAAAGTGATGTGGGGGTTGGAAGAAAGGAAGGTGTGTTGATATCGAGGAGACTTGTTTGTTTTTTGTAGAGAGAACAAATCAGCAGAGGCGGCGAGAGCTCTGCGATGCGAGTCGATTGACCAGCGATTTGAAGCCTACTTTGGGATGCCAAAGAAGCCTTTCGTGACCTATATTGAGATCAGAACCTGTGGTTTGAGCGGAAGGGGAGAACTCCTTTGGTTTGATAGCCTAACTCGCGAACACAATGAAATTTTGTTCCCCAGAGACCTCGAATTTGATCGTGAATTGATGATATCACTTCGAGAGGTGGAGGTAAATGGAGAGAAGCTGTCTCCCAGATCGAAAGGAGGCCAAAGCTAGCCGCGAGAGCTGTGAAACTGATCAGATTCTCGGATTTCGGAATTTCAGACGGAATGGAGAGGAACTTACATGGAATTCAGAAATTACACCATTTGAGAACAGATCTGGAGTCGATTCAAGATTGCGGTTGCAGATTTTCGAATGGAATTAAGCTTACCGAAGGCTTTTTGGTAAGATTGTTCGTGGAATTGGATGGTTGCTCGATCGTGCTCGGCGTGTCGAACGTATGGTTTCGTCTCGAGGGAGCATTGGTTTGAATTAGATGAAAGGACTGGAGCTCGAATGATGAGAAAGCTCTTGCCTGAAGTTCCCAAATCAGCCCTGTGAACGAATTAAAATGGTGGATGAAGGGGAAAGAAAACATGAGATGGTGCGAGGGTGGGAAGCAGTTTCTTCTGGTGTCGAGTCGCCTTTGAGTACGAAGAGCATTTTCTCCAAGTACAGCAATGTAATGGGGACATTATGTAATTGTGATTCAAGACCTCGAAAAGCGGGGTAATCGAGGTTTCAAGTAACCGAGCTGTGGAAACAAGAAATAACGTCAAAGAAGCGTACAAAAGGGTCTGAAAGGCTTAAATACAATTGATTGCATGCTCAAACCGTGCTTTGAAGCAGTAACACAGCGATTTGGAAGTGACTGATACCCGTCTCTTGTCGTCATACCTCGAGAATCTCGAAAGGGATGAAGTGATGCTGGGAATGCGAGGGAAGTGAGGAAATCACCAAAGTCAGCTCCGACGCACTTGCGAGCGCTCGAGAGCGATGAAAGCAACCCAAGAAATTAATAAGATGATGAAAGCAGAGGAAGAGGCGGTGTTGTGATGCAAAAGCGAGGAGGCAGAGCGTAATCAAGCCCAAAGAGGCGCTTGACGTTGAGGGGGTCGTGGGAAGTTTAGATGAAAAGGAAAACATGCGGAGGAGACTTCTCCGATGTTGTTTCTTACCTTGTATTGGTATGCGAGACAGTGGAGGACATGATGTCATGTTATAGATTTGCCTTGGTAAAGATGGTTAAATGAAAGATGGGAAAGGTTTCAGGAAGAGAAAAAGGGAAGGGAGGAAGGTGTGGTTTTCCACAGCAACAGTAAAATAAGTGTTTCCGAGTCTGAATATTAAAATCAGATGTTTAACAAAAGTCTCTAATACTTTGGATCAAAATAACTTGTTGTTGTGGTGGTGGTTGAGGGGGATTTCGTTTGTGGGGTGGTTTGTTGACATTCCCCCTTTCTCAAAATTCGCGACCACGTGATATCTACGTTGCAACGCACATGAAGCCCAATAGAGGAGTCACAATCAGATCATCTGCGGCAGTAGTCACCAAAAGGTGAACTTTAGCGTCGAGCTAGTCTCCAAATCTACAGTTGATCCATGACAGGGGTGGAAGTTATTGTGGATGGAAGCGAAACAGGACTGTGTCACGTGCTTCACCCCCCCAAAGCAATCTTTTATGTGCGATTCGGAAGTTCATCACCTTTGGATCAGCTGTACAGAGGTGTAGGCATGTCTCATAGCTATTTAGGAGTTGGGAAAAGCTTCAGATTTATTCTTTTCAATGGAAGAGGGTAATCGAGGACGGCTGCCGCTGCTGGTGGTCAAGTAGAAAGATCTCAACGCTTTCACTTGCACATCACGACAAGAACAGTAATCTCACCGCATCAAGATCTCAAACCAAGTCTAATTTAATACCTGGATGACTTATAAACGTGAGATCTTTCAAGAATGAGCTTCAATGAACCTCGAAAATCAAGTGTTCCAGTCTTCGATTGAGGATTGTAGGAGTAGTTCCAATATCTGGTTAGCAAACTCAAATCAAGCTCAATCCCCAAAGGAAGTCGTAGCACCGCCATTCTCCATAAGAGGAAGAGTTCGCTCTTCAAGTTACCACCAAGTTCTTTCAGAATCCACAAGCAGTGCAAATGATCTCAAATATTCCTAGAAACATGCCTTGAATATCAAAATTATGGTTTCTCAGTAGCGCAGCACTTCCAGAATGGCTTTTAAATCAAGTGAGGTTGTAGCTATGTGAGATGGCCAGCAAAGGTTCGAGATCTTGATTTAGACCCCACGTAAATAGCACGAGCGGGAGCCAGGGAGAATTTCCAATGCATGCAAACATCCACTTGAGGCCTTCCAGAATACTCCCATTTATTCCGAATAACTGTGCTACATTTCAAAGCTCGAGTTTTGCTGGTGATGAGTGATCACACATCAAAGTCGCAATCTCCTCAAGTATCTTCAAGCCCATAGATTTCAGCATCAATGACGCACGCAACCTCCAATTATTAATTTGTGCTCTATCAACAATTGGATAGCCTAAAGCCACTATAATTGCCCTTCCCAGTAAATGGCAAGGGTTTTGTTGTTTAGTGATCAAGACCCTGAAAGCTTGGCCAAACAGACAGCCGCAGCCACTGGGGCTGCATGCACAGCTCCGTGTAAGAGTCGGACTTACAGCGCGACGCTAAGTCCGACTATTGCCACTCCTGCCCCTTAAGTGCGAGGGTGGCAATAGGATGCCACCATGTACAATTGCTGATAAACCAAATTGATTATATCGGTCACAAGAGGTAAGCCAAGGGGATATAAAGCAATGTTCTCTGCCTTGTTAGAAAGGCATTTCATTTTCCAAGTGGCATTGATTCAGTGATCGTGTTTTCCCCGCATCATCCCCGAAAAAGTCGTTCAAGTGACCACTCCTCAAAGACTAGAATTCGCAAGAAAAGTAATTATCCAAGATGGCAATTCCTCCAAGCAATGGCAAGACGGTGCTAATTACCGGCATCAACGGTTATATCGCCAGTGTCCTGGGATTGGCGCTGCTCGAGCGAGGATACACACTTCGCGGCACTTCTCGACGAATAGCATCCTCGGAGCGACTTCTGAAAGGCCCATATGCGCCGTACGTAGACAGAGTCAAGATCTACGAGGTCTCTGACATGACAATCGATGGGGCATTCGATGAAGCTTCGAAAGGTTTGCATTCCATGTCCTGGTTCCAAGGTTTTACGCTAACGAAAAACAGGAGTCGATGGCATCTTCCACACCGCATCACCGGTTGATTTCTCCATCACCACCTTCGATGAGATGGTCATCCCTGCAGTGAGGGGAGCAGAAACAATCCTCGCGTCAGCCCTGAAGGCAGGATCTCAGTTGACGTCCATTGTCATTACCTCTTCATTAATCGCTGTGGTCGACCCCGTGGAAGGCGAGTATGTCTTCACCGAGAAAGATTACGCTACCTTTTCGCTGGAAAAGGCTCTGAAGGATAAGGAGGTAGGGGTATCAACTCCTGCGGGTGTATTATACGGAGCCAGCAAGACGGCTTCAGATCGAGCTGTGTGGAAGTTCCGGGATGCGCACAAGGTAAATCCCCCAAATACATCACAAACTTTTGACACGTTCTGACAAGATATGAAGCCAAAATTCTCCATCTCAACAATCAACCCCTCAGTCGTAATGGGTCCTCCAATAATTCTCCCCTCTTCTGGCTCAAAGCTGAACGAGACTCTCCGTCCAATCTGGGACATCTTTTCCGGCGCCACCACCGATGTGCCTCCCTACATCGGAACCGGCTCCTTCGTCGACGTGCGGAACGTAGCTACTATGCATATCTGGGCATTTGAGAACGCAAAAAAGTCAGACGGGGAGCGGTATCTCGGTGTCCAGGGATTTGGGCCGATGCAGGCTGCTGCTGATATTCTGAATGATGCGTACAAGGGGACGGAGATTGGAGAGAAGATTACCAAGGGAACACCAGGGGAGGGGTACGTGGGATATGATAAGGAGACGGGGAAGGTGGATACTATTGGGCCTTTGCCTGGTGCGAGGAGGATCAGTGGACAGAAAGCAGTTAAGGAAATGGGGCTGCAGTATATTCCTTTCCAGCAGAGTATCGTTGATACGGCGAAGGCATTGGAAGCTTTGACTTGACATAGCTAGAAAACGATGGATTGTACATAAATAGTCGAAACCTTGTTTCTCAATTCGACCAGCAGATGAAAAAGAACAAGTGCTTTTTGTGGATAAGTGGTTGTGAAGTTTGATTTGACAAGTTCTAGTTTCTCGCGAAAAGAAAAGGGGGAACAAAATGCATTATTGGCTGCAGTGCCGGGCCACCGTAGCATCTGCATCCCCACTGAAGCTCACAACCCCCGACCCTACCACGACACCTCTCTGCGAATTCGGAACCAGCACGTTCAGAGCGCGCAGCCTCCTTGAAGATGGTCCTCTCGTTCATCCTGATTCAGAACCGGCAGTACGTTCCCTCCTCTCTCCATTCCGCTGGGTCTTGTTGAATTGCGCCTGCTTAAGTTCGAGTCTTGATTGCTGATGAATCGATCGAGCAGAGGTAAAACCCGCCTGGCGAAATGGTACGCGCCATATAACGACGAAGAGAAGATAAAACTAAAAGGCGAAGTAAGCTCCCCTTTCCTTCCTTCCTTCTCCTCCCATTCTCTCTCTCCATCTAGCCAGCCCCCGCGCCAGCGGCCTTCCTGACCCCAGCTAAAACAGCAGCAGGTCCACCGCCTCATCGCCCCCCGCGACCAAAAGTACCAATCCAACTTCGTCGAGTTCCGACAGAACAAGATCGTCTACCGGCGATACGCAGGCCTCTTCTTCTGTGCGTGCGTCGACGCGAACGATAACGAGCTCGCGTACCTGGAGGCCATACACTTTTTTGTAGAGGTGCTGGATAGCTTTTTTGGGAACGTGTGTGAGCTGGATTTGGTGTTTAACTTCTATAAGGTGTGTGCTGCTTCTGCTTCTTGGTTTGGGAGGGATCTTAGGTAGCAGAGGGGGAGAACGTAAAGGAAAATTGAGGATGGGCGATGGAGGATAAATGGAAGGAGGGGCAGAACAGGGCTAATTGTACACAGGTCTACGCTATTCTCGACGAAGTTTTCCTGGCGGGCGAGGTAGAGGAGACGAGTAAACAGGTTGTTCTTACGCGGCTGGAGCATCTGGATAAGCTGGAGTGAGGGGTATATTCGGATCACACACAAACATAAGGCGCATTTGGGATAGGCACATTGCATTGGGCGGCGTTTTTCAACGTGCTTGGAGCACATTCACGGGATCTGGAAGGGATGGCACGCATGGGAGTCAATTGGTATTGTATTTGGCCCTGCTATTCATGGTCAATCATGCAAGCAAAGCCATGCCAGATTTCTCGCGGAAAACCGCGCGAGATGGGTACAGCTAAAGAAAATCTAGCCATACATGAGGGTACTTATACGTAAAAGGCGCGGGATCTGCTTTTCCATATTAACATCGGCTCCCTCGGCTGGAATGTCTGACAGCCCGGCTTCACCACCATTCTTAGCCTCCTGCACCACAGCGCTTGGTGTGATCCAAACTTGGCTGATTCACAGGGCTTTGTAAGTCCGCTGCATCCGAGGGGGCGGACATCTTGTGCGGGAACCAGGCGTTGTCCACTTGTTGTATGGCCTCATTATCTTTAGTCTCGTAACTCTGCATTGTCTCGAGGCTTTGGCGACCAGCATAATGAGGGAAGGGATTTGAGGTCACGGGCTTTATCTTCGGTGGCCGGTCCCCAGGGAGATTGACTACCAGACTGCCGAAAGAGTGCTCCGAGGCGTGAGAAACGGGTCGTGCATCTGGTGCCAATCCCTTGATATTCTCTTCCGTCAACTTCAGGGCAGAGCTTGCTGCTTTAACTCGAAGGCTGTTGAGTGATTCCTCCGAATTGATCCGCTTGAGATTCCTGGCATTTGCTGTTTGTTTTGTCTGCTTGCTGGGGGAAACCTCTTGTGACCGTGGAGCCAAAGCTCGATATGGCGACACAGCTCTAAATTTGAAAGACTGAAGATCTTCAGCAACATGAGTAGTCAACTCCTTAACCTTCTCAATTGCTTTTTTGCCAGTGTTGCTTATCGTTCGGTGGAGGCTAGGTCTGTTTTCGGCGCTGCTGTTTTTCCGTGGGGTGACCTTCTCGTCCGTTGGCCTCTCATCGCAAGCTCCGTCAAACTGAGCTCTGACGTACGCACCAGATGGTTCCGAGGTATTTGATGCAGAGGCTGATTCCTCGTGTTCGGACTTGAACGGACTGTATGGTAGTGGTGGCTGAACTAGATCAGGCATACTGCTTTCGGTTGTAAATACCGTTCGACCCTTCAGAAGCATATCCACTTACTTGGCATCCATTTCCTCTCTTCGTCGTTGATCATCTAGCCTCCACATGTCTACGGCCGTCGGTCGTTTCTTGACTGCATTGACTACCTCGCTCATCTCTGGTCGACTTAGCATCAGCCTTCGAACGAGGTTGGAATACTGCTTCGGAGGTCTGGAAAGCTCAATATCCATTTCCTCCGATGTATCTGTATCGCTCTCACCAATGCTCAGCCAGTCAGGGTTTATCCTATGCTCGGCGGAATTACGGGGGCTGCTGCTCTCTCTCAAGCCGGCATTATCAGCCTCAAGATCATCTGTGTCGCTCTCACCGATGTCCATTCCATCGGGATTCATCTTCTGTTCCTCCAATAGGCGACGATAGTTCATTCCCTCCAAAGCGGCATTACGAGCCTCTTGATTATGGAAAAAGGGACAAAGCCCAAATTCGGCATGAGTACACGTGTACCCGTTATTGAACTGCTTGCAATTCTCAACGGCACATCTTTCCTCTTTCTTGGTGAGAGGACGACCTATGGATTCGCTCTTGACTCGAATTCGTTCCTTTTTCACATCTTCTTTCCGTGCCTCTTCCTCTTGTCTTTCCTTGATATGGTTCTCTCGGGGTTGTCGCATAAATTGCTGCTGCGCCTTCAAATCGTCGTAAAAAGCGGCATCGTTATCATTCTTTGCAGTACTCGATTCGTTGCCGGCCTTGACCATGTCAACCATCTCAGTATTGGTCTGGATCCTTGCGAGAGAGTGGTTGTCAGAACGAGGAGTATGGATCGGACTCTCAGCCATTTCCAGCGTTGCCCGCGGTGAGCTTGTGACCTTGTTGCTGTCACTAGTCCGAGCCTTCTTGCGCATACGTCCAGCGAGGCTTGGGACAGGACTAGCACCCCGCGAAGAAGAACCATAATGATCATCCAAGCGGGATCTTTTTCGGTCGTTGTCATCTTCCCTATCATATCGACTTCCCGCCATGATTTCGTTAATATCGATAGATTCGCCCTTGAGAAGCCTTGCTTTCTTGTCCTCAGTCTCCTCCAATTTCATCAATCTTTCGGACTTCGGAGTTGGAGAAGGGCTGGAACTCGCAACAGAGGCATTCGATGATTCTTGCGTGAGTCGGCCCTCGCGGAGTCGTGCTTTGCGTCGTTCTGCGTCCTTTTGATCCTCGACCTCGTTTTGCCGTCCACGGAAGATTTTGCCCTTGTTGGGTTGCGGTGTCGGGATGCCCTGCGCTCTACGCTTCTGAATGATGGAAAGCGGGTCGGTGTTTCTTGGGCACAGTGACTTGAAGTGCTTTCCTACTGCCTTGCAGATTTCACATTCGTAGTCGTCTCCAGGCGGGCTATCGAAGGATGGATCCAGGTTGGTGGGGCAGACTTGAAGGTGATGACCTGGATATTGGATCAGCAATTAGGACAGGTGCTAGTGGTGGTTATAAAGGTGAAAATATTGCCTTGGAAATGCAGAATTGGGAGAAAAGCATCGCATGGCTGGAAAGGGCAAGGTTTGAGAATGGATCAGCGCGGGCTCTCTACATACCTTTTTTTCCACACCGATTACAGATGTAATTAGGAGGTGGCTTGCCCTCATAGTTCTCAGGATGATGTTTCCCCTTCTTCTTTGCTCTATTTGACTCAGGTCGTGACCAATGTGGTGAATCGCCAGCTCCATAACTTAACTCCTGATCCCTGTACGAATCCCCCAGTGGACGATCCAGCCTACCCGCAAGATCACGCTCTCTACTCCTCTCCCTCTCCCTCTGACGAGTCCTCTCCATCTCCAGATCAAAAGCTTGCGCAATCTCCTTCGGGCTGGGCGGGTATCGTCTCCACTGCGACCGAAACGGTCCGTTTGCGTCCTTCCAATCCTCTACCGCTGCTACGATTTCGTATTCTCGGAAACCACGTGAGCAGAGTGATTGCGTCCAGTGCAGTAGCGTGTTTTGCCAATGCTCTGTGCGCTTGGTGGGTTCGCGGCGGTGGACGTCAAGCCAGCACAGGTAGATGGAGAAGGTTTCGCGGGAGGAAGTGGTTTGCGGGAGGGCTTTGGAGAGCTGGGCTAGCGAGATCTCGAGGAGCGCGCTGGACGACATAGAATCAGGATCCGTGATAGTATATTCTTCACAAGAGTATCTTGAGGACCCCATCGTGCAGCTATGAGCGGAGACACACGTCTCTGACGATGTTGACGCGGGGGAAATTCAATGTCACGAAGAAGCAGGAGAGTTAGGCTGGCTGGATACGGAAACTTTAGCGAGCTCCTGCTTCGATGTCAACATCACACTTCACTATTTCAACAGCAGCATTACCTCTGATGCATTTGAATCTGATCTACTGTATGATCACTCTTAACCTCTGTATGTGTGATAATGGTGGTCATTACCTTTTGTTGAAGAGCGTTGAGGTTGGGCTTTGATGGAGTACAGTACAAAGACAAACGACAATGCGGTGGAACCGAAGTTTTCCGGAAGAGACGTTAGGCTTCCCGCATGACGGCCCCTCGACAATCTCTCGGAAACAACCTTGCGGGGGATGCACAAGCTACTATCTGCGCAATGTCACGGTGGCTTCTTTCTTTAAAATATTCGGATCGTCTATTAGTTTCTCTCTATCTAGGACACAACACCGCTGGCCTCCGCTTCTTTCTCCTCCTCCTCTGCACCGTTGACCTTCGTACCTTCAGAGTGGACCTGCTCCAGAACGTTTAGCATCTCTTTCAAGAATCTCGTGACTTCCTCCTCCGTCCCAACCGTGATCCTCAGGCATCCAAGACACCCATGCTCCTTGCCCCTGAATCTGACCACTACCCCCCTATTCTCCGCTAGCCGTTCGTAAACCATCAAGGCTGTCACATTATCCGGCTTCCCTTGGGTATCTAATATCTCAACCAGTAAAAAGTTGCTTGCTACCCCTCCTCTGAACCGTCCTATCCCAGTGACCTTCGGCAAATCCCGCAATAATCTGTCTCGTTGGTTAATGATCTTCTCTCGATTCGCCTGCATTACACTCAATCCACCCTTCTCCAACGCTTGAGATGCAATCGCACTTGTTGGGCTGCTGATATTATACGGAGCCTTCAGGTTGTTGAGCAGTGAAGCAATGGGCGGCGATGTGAACGCAGCGCCGAGCCGTATGCCTGCTAATCCAAACGCTTTCGACAGTGTCTGCATAACCACCAAATTCGGCCACTCCGCAACCCACTCCGCAAGTGACGATCCCTCGGGAGCAAAATCGATATAAGCTTCATCCAAAACCACCACTCCGTTCCAAGTCGAGTGTTCCAAAATCTTCTGTAAATCTTCCTTCTTGATTAACTCACCCGTAGGATTGCCAGGCGAGCAGACATATATGAGCTTGATATTCACAGCCTCAGGCCCAGATAAGGCGGAGATGATCGCAGGTACATCGAGTCCAAATTCCGGCGCGGAGAGTAAAGGAACCTTGACGAGCCCAACGTCGTTTACTTGTGCAGAGACGGAGTACATCCCATACGTTGGCGGACAGACGAGGATCTTATCCTTGCTGGGAACGCAGAAACAGCGTAGCAGAGCATCAATTGCTTCATCGCTTCCTACTCCTACGAAGAGGTTCGCGGATGTGATTCTTTTAGGTGTGTGCGCGTGGGTATTTCGCAGGTTGCAGAGAAGTTGTTTGAGCTCGTGCTGGTGGGGGTCGGGGTAGCGGTTCAGGCCGAGGAAATTGATCGAGGGGTCACTGGGGTTCGTAGATGAAGTTCTCGAGGTATCTAGGAAGAGGGAAGGTCCGTATGCATTTTCGTTCGCATCGAGGAGGATATTTGTCCCATTGTCTTTGTAGTCGCTGTGTAAAGCGTGAGTCAAACATCATTCATGAGGGATTGAAATTCTTACTCCCTAGCACAGCGATATGGTTCCAAAGCAAGGATATTTGGACGGGCACATGTCTGCAGATTGAAAGGAAATTTCTTCTCTGCCATTTTCTTTGCGGATGTTGAGCAATTGGTGGTGATCATGGACGGGTCAACTTTTATTTGAAGTTGCTGCTCCGAGAACGGAAAGGTCGATTGAGGGGCGGAATCAGCCAATCACTGATCGGCAGCCGGCCCTTGCCTCAGTGGCTGAGCCCAAGCGAGGCTGAGAATCTTCTCAACGTCCATCCTTCACCATTCAGACAAGTTGCCAAGTTGGACAACAACGTCACTGCTCGCACAGTCTGTTTTTGCATTTATTCTTGTTACTTTGTCATCTTTCATCAAGCCTGTGACTTGAAAGTGAAGATGGGCAGCGACATCACCTTCCTGCGCTTTGGAGAGCTTCCCTTTGAGATCCGGGAACAGATATGGCAATATGCCTTGCCGGATGGCCAAAATGTTGTTATCATTGGAGGACCACTAAGATGGGATTCCCGCTATCCCTGTATTAAGAACCCCTGGAATCAAAAGGATCCTCACAATGGAAATCTTGCCTCTTACCAACCTCCAGCTTTACTTCACGCCTGCCAGCAGTCTCGGGCTATAGGATTGAAGACATACCCCAGATGCTTCAACAAGCAACTCGGCAAACCAGTCTTGTTCAACTTATCTAGAGATCTCCTCCTTTTTTCAGACGATTATTCATTCAACCGTTTCCTCAAGACAACATTCAACACGTTTGGCATGAATGACTTTGGCCTTCCCGTTGACCTCCGCTTTTTGGGAATATGTGGGCCCATCCGATGCGAACCGGCTCATTACGAGACTACTCACAGTCGACTCTATCTCTTTGACCGTCTTGAAGAGTTGATATTGGAGAATCAAACACCACTTCCAAATGATGAAGTAGATCTCCCGTTTGTGGAGGACCTGAAGGAGGTATGGACAGCCAGAAGAACAAAGTCAGCAAAGAGACTCAAAGGATATATCTCTGAGCAGGATCTTAAACTTCCAAAGGTCTCCTTTCTCTCCTTGGAGGAAATCAAGCGAAGGGCAAGACAAGCCGCATAATAAGCAGAGAAGGGAGACTATCGGAAGCCCAAGGTCTTGTAATTATGAGAATTGCGAGGGCGTACCCACCAACAAGGCTGTAGTCCGGGTCGGCGAGGATCTTTATCCCACTCCCCTTTTGTGAGCCGAGGCCGATCTTTTTCCAGCACCTTCACACCTTCGCTTCCTTTTCCAACCAACAATCCAGAGCACACGATCTCTTGAGAATCTACTTCCAAATTTTCATGACCATATGTCTACTTCTCTGTACACCTCATTCTGGCAGGTTCGCAGCAGCTATTTGCTTTTATCGCCACCGCCTCGCTCAATTTTCCTCAATGCGCTCACAACTTCGCTCCCATATTAGTCTCTTTGAACATCAGATGACAGGAGAGATCGACTGGGCATCATCCCAAGTCACAAATTCGAGCCTTCTTCGCTCCGGTCATTTTACACACAATAAAAATATCTTCGGTCGCGCCTTTTACCATAACTTGTATGTCAACTCCTAGGACAATCTGTTGAAATTGGTACGCTACCATAGCTAGCTTACCAGTCCTTCCAGCACCAGGTTCAACCACTAATTTAGGGTTCTCCACTCTCATTTGTCATGCGTCACTCGCCGAGCTTACCAAGCTTACTAGTATATCGTCATTTTGATTACCTTTGGTTTATCAGCTGATTGATAATGTATCGGAGAAAGCGGGTTCGGTATCACCGGTATCGCCGAAGGGTAATGGGAATAAATCCCTTACTTTGGACATTTTTCCTCTGTTTCCAGAACTCACTCTTCTGTATCTAGTCATTCTGCAGTCTGTCAACCTTCAATAAATCGATTTTCCATCAATAAATCGATTACTTTCTAATACAATCACAGCAATGGCAACCAAGTTCACTCTGTCTCCCCCAAATTTTCCCCGGAGATTAGCAGCAGCTAGTGAATGGCCTGGACTCTTCTTATTACATCGTGCAGTTGGTCTCTTGTCCGAATTTGAGTCTGTTCCTAGGACAAAAGCTACCTTCCTAGTTTGTGAGACGTGCCTGCGCTTGGGGAGAGAGGAGGGCGGGAAGTTAATCTATTTGGAGAACTGTTCGAAAATACATTGAATAAATCTTTTGAGAACTTCTTTGTTGTATCATTTCAACTACGGTGGTTAATATGAATAGATAATAGGGGGAATTGTTAAGCTGGAGGCGGCATTTCGTGCTGTTTGCTTATTTTGTTTTGACACTCTACTCTCAATACTTGCAAGTCTCGACCATTTTACAAAGTGTAAGGCTCATTTTCTGTCTATTTATAATTTATTAATTCGGTTCAAATTGAGATTTTGAAATTAGTGTAGTGATATAACATGTATTTGTTGCGAACTATTAAAGTCTTTTAATTAATATTTGGGGATGGGTGGATGTAATAGTATAACTATTAAGTTCACCTTTTCCATACTCTCTGAGCACAAGTTTCACCTCCAAAAGAGATATATTTAATTGAATGAGTCACATTCACTTATTTATAATTATGAGCCTAAGAAGTTTCTAAATTCGCAACTGTATATCAGGGTACGATTATTAAATTTATTATAGCTTTATCTTGTTAAGGCATTAACTTGCCTTATTAAAACTATAAGGCACCCATGTTATACCCTTCCAAAGCTGCCTTTTGCCGAAATAACTCGGTAATTTCCTTTAGCTCAATAAAGTCGCATATAATAACGTTGCGAAACCACACAATTTAATTTGTTTTTTTTAATAAAAAAAACTAAGCTATAATTATAAGCTATAGGCTTAAAATAATTAATTATTTTATTATTATATATATTGCATTAAAATATATAGTCTAAATGTGAATTTGAAATAGTGCCAGGGCAGGATTTGCTTCTTAAAAGAGTGAGACTTCTGGCCTTATATGCCTGAATAATAGAACTAGTTGGTCTCGAAAATACCGCTATAATAATCGTACCATAAATCCCTGCCTATTTAAGCTTTAACCTTACAGGTCCGAGAGCCCACAAACAAATACCCTTCGACCTTAGCCTTAACCTTATCCAGGACAGTCACGTAACGGTGTCCCATTAACGTGGTTCCTTTACAAGACAGGCAACGACCTTTTCGCAGTCTCTGAGTCACCATAGTAAGTATTGCCGCGTCCATTTGTTCAATGTACTCCCGCAATGTTCTGATTGCGTACGCTGACAGTCTGCTCGCTTTGCCAAGTCAGCATCAACATGGCGAATACTATCCAAGTCACTAACCTTGAGTATACCGAAGAGCTCCAAACATTCACCTTCTTTCCGGAACTCCCAGCAGAGATCCGGCTTGTGGTCTGGAGGTATGCCTTGGCCGTCCAAAGAATCTTCGTTATAAAGCGAGACCGACACTGGAAGTTCGGCACCAAGATTAAGCCCTTTATCGTCAAACATCCTCTGCCCGCTCCGGCTCTTCTTCATGTCAACCTTGAATCAAGATGCCTCGCCGAGAAGGCTTACCAACAACCCGCATTCAATTGCCTCACCAATGCCCCAAGATTCTTCAACTTCGAGGTCGACGCCCTCCATATTCGCTTTCCCTCCTCCTTTCCATTCTGGCATACCCTTATTCGAGCAGTTATGAAGGATTCCACTAGGGTGCAACACTTGGCTATCTATGGTGATGCCCGCTTTGCCTTCTTACTCTTACCCCTGTCTCATCTTGAGAAGGCTTTTCGGGCTTTCAGGCAGCTCAAGACGTTGATTCTTGTTCCGCACGATATTCGGAGTAAACAAGAGACAGCGGTAGCTAGGCTTGAGGAACTCTGGAAGGAGCTCAAGACGGAGGCTGAAGCTAATGGTGGTCCTGCTTACCAGAAGCCTGAGGTCACTTTCATGTCTCACCGTGATATTGTAAGTGCGGAGGGGAGAAACCGTCTGTTGATGATGGCGTAATTGGAAGGGAATTTGATCCGAGAACTAAAGCTTATGCTCAACCGTGAGCTGAGGAGACAACTGATCAGTTATAGCACGGAGTCATTGGCAGATATTGAACCCGTGTGCATTGGGAGATTGGGTAATTGAGAGTCAATTGCAACCACCTTCAGCTAAATAATTCACCCTCCTAAATTCTGTGTATTTTTGGTGCATCTTCGCGTGACCTCGCATTTCCCGAGGCAACCCACTCCCGCTCGCAACTTCCCTTCCTCAACCACATTCCCTCTCTCCGCAAGAATTAACAACACTGCCTACTCATTCCAATCCTAACCTCTTGAATTCAAAGGTCAGCCACCTTTGGAATTGGCTTACGATTCGAAGACTCGTAGCCTGGAAAGTGGACGCTGTCTTCTGCCAGATTCCAGAACTTCGAAGGTGAACCGAGACTCTTCCAACGTAACAAAGGCACCGAAACAAGCTCAGAACACAATCAAGTTTCCTCCCATTGTCATCCTCTCAACACGGCAAGGTGTGCTTCTATTCCACTGATGTACCTGGGGGTTTGAGAGCAGTCTTCTCAGTAAGTGCTCCAAAGTCGTGACCGCTTAAACTGAACATTGTACTAATCGTCTTACAGGCTTATCATCACCTCCATTTTCTCAATCAAACCGACCCCCGTTGCGTCAAGTTCCCCATCCAGTCCTCAATCCACCGACCTCGAGAAGCTTTGTAATCATGGACAGTGGCAATTCCAGCACTGGCTCAGAGGTCGTACAAGCTATCCCATACATATCGTTCACTCCCTTCCCCAAGAAAGCTGAAGAGAGAGACACAGAGGATGGAGAGCGCCAATTCGCGGTCTTCCCCAAACTTCCAATAGAGTTGCGTTTCAATATATGGAAACATGCATTGCCTGAGCCTCGACTGGTTACACTTTCACATTTCTTCGACCACTCTGTTCGCGACTATGACCACGAGTCTGACTATGACGGCGAGTTTGACTATGACTCTGACTCCGACGATTTCGATATAATTGGTCTCAAAACTGGAATGAGAATTACTTGTCAACATGTCAGTATCGACATGCGGCAAGTCAATTCCGAGGCCCGCGCTGTTGCGTTGAATAATTATTCCCCTCGATTTGAAGACATTCGTGGAGGGGCCGTCTTCTTCAACAATGAACGGGATGTTCTTTGCCTAGAAGAAGTGAAAGGATTGCATTCAAATTCAAGTCTGTGGGACCAGTTGGATAAAAAAATCACGCAATCTTTCCAACAGAGTCTCGGACTCGTTCAGAACGTAGTGTTGATCGACAAGGGCATAATGATTTTTAGCTATGGGCATGCCATGAAATATCGCATAGGATCCTTCTTCGACGACCTCCCCAACCTTGGCGTGGTCAAGGAGGTTGGAGACCGTAACTACTTGGAGCAGGAGATGATGACCGAGTTCATCAAGGGTATGGCGAAGAGGAAGAAGGACGGACTGCAATTTAAGTCCGATGTGAAAGACCCTAGCTTCCTCAGAGGTTTGGAGAAGCCGAAAGTGTTCTACTTGACAAGAGAATCGTTCAACGATCTCGAGGATGACGGCAGCATTTGGTCACTTTAGCCATGCTTCCGTAAATTGGGGTTGGAATGGCTGGCCACGTACATTGGATTAGATGCAGCCCAGAAGAGGTATTGAATAGAATATCAGTGTGCCCCTGCCAACCCCTGCAAACCTCACTGTTCTGTTCGCGTAGTATTCCCAAACCATGATTGTCCGCCCAAAGGGGTAATAACGGGAGGCCAACTCTGTAAGCACCCTTTCAGGGCTGCCATGAAAGGGTGCTGATCAGTGTGGGCTCCGATAAGCTCGATAAGCGACGATTAGATAATCGCGCTAATTTTTCGATAATCGATAATCGACCATCGATTACGATAATTATCGAACTAAGGCCTTGGCAATACTACAGGGCCACTACAGGGCCAATGCGCTATATTTATAGGCCTCATACCACCTTTTCTTTACTATAGCAGAATTCCGATTTAGTAAAGGCGGTATAAGGCCTATAAATATAGCGCATTAGCCCTGTAGTAGCCCTGTAGTACTACCAAGGCCCTGGACCCACTATTATTAATAGATTTAGTACTATAAAGGCGGTCTAAGGCCTATAAATACAGCGTATTGGCCCTGTAGTGGCCCTGCAGTGGCCCTGTAGTATTGCCAAGGCCCTGGGACCCACTATTATCGATGGAATTATCGATGGGCTCGCTTCATGGCTGGCTGGGCCCACTTTTATCGATTGAATTATCGATGGGCTCGCTTAATGGCTGGCTGGGCCCACTTTTATCAATGGAATTATCGATGGGCTCGCTTAATGGCTGGCTGGGCCCACTTTTATCGATGGAATTATCGATAACTGAATTAAATACTAGCTAGTCTATGTTATATAATAGACTATTAAATGAAAAGTTAAAAAGTCTAATAGTATAGTAATAATAGTCTACTTTTATACTAATCTTAATACTAATCGGTTTATAATTGAACTAGAAAGCCGTAATGGGGCTCGTTTAATGGCTGGGCCCACTTTTATCGACGATAATTATCGATATCGATCGTTTATCAATCGCTTAGCCGATAACGATTACTAATCGATAATTTCGATCGATAATTTATCGGAGCCCACACTGGTGCTGATGCAAAGAGAGAATTGTTTTGCCCCTCCTGACCTCCCACATTCAAAAATTGTCGATTCTGTGGGTTTTTCTATAAAATGCCCTATTTCTTATATGCTATCTCGCGGCCCTACGTGCGTACTCGCCTCCTTGGATATAACGCACGTTCACTGCTCATGCCTAGGGTATGCCTTTCGCCAAGCCTTGCGAATAGCTTTATATTTCTTGTACGTAGCTCCGCACGTAAATACGCTTCGCACGTGAATGCACTCTAAATATAAATATGTTCTAAACATAAATGCGCTTTGCACGTGAATGCGCTCCGCACGCAGCCGTGCGCGACTGCGTGCCCCTGGCCTCTATGGTCTCACTATTAGTAGAGATAAGCTTTAGAACTCCCAGAATTAGTATAACGGCTAGTTGCCTTTGACTATTGAATGCAAAGTGCGGAATCGCCATGGTTTGTAACGTGCATGTCTGACTTCTGTCATTCTTTTCCCCAAGAACATTGGTACCGGTACTTGGATATTTCTCACTCACTAATAGTCTGTTTCCAGTTTGGAAGGAATGCCTCGGGTTTGAATTTCCCCTCTATGCAGGATCGCTTATTAATTGTTTATTGCCAACCACTTGCTTCGAACCTTCTTTCTTCATTCAACTCGCAACTTTTCCAATCTTCAACAAACGCCTCTCTGGTCCCGTTCCGGCCAATTGCATCAGAACCCTTGCAGCCGCGATTTCGTTGAGCCGTAGAAATCTTGTGAGTGTACGGATCCTCCCGTCGTGACCGACTCTACTGATCAAGCCGCAAGGTATCGTCTCCGTCCCTTGCCAACCATTCCCTAGCAGGCATTGTGCCATCAACTGGCAAACTCCCCCATCATGGTGCTGGTCAATCCGAACACGCTCGCGAACAATCCCCCTGCTATTCGACACAGGACTTTCTGGCCCTCCATCGATATCGATTGGCTCGAGTTCACCAAGTTCCCTAAACTTCCCCCGGAACTCCGTCTTAGGATTTGGTCCCACTCACTTCCAGATCCTAGGATCGTGACAATCGAGCAGAGCCTGACACGAGCAAAGGACTACCGCATCTCCTGCCAAAATCGCGTCCCTGGCACTTTGCTCGTCAATCGAGAGTCACGTGAAGTTGCTCTGAAACGATACTCCCTCCGCTTCACGACCTTGGAGAATGTTTACGGACCTCCTGTATACTTCGACTTCAACCGCGATGTCATATGTCTGAAGAGATGTGACAGAGCTTGGTGGAACAACTTCAACGATGAGTTTAATGAAGATCTGAGCCTGGTGACTAGGATCATGATAGAGAACCTACATTGCTCCCTGAACCAAATGATTCTCCGAGCAGAACCGTTTCGTAACATGTGCAGCTTAGGTTTAGTTCGTGAGGACCTTCAGCCGCGGCTGACTTTGAACGAAGAAATGCGGGTTTTCTCGGGTCTGAGAGCATGCATACATAGGGCGGAGGGATTAGGCGCGAGGTTCAAGGAGGGGGACGCAAAGTTACTGGAGAGACTGGACGTTTACTTCATTTCCCGCTTTAGTGTGTTTGATCTGGAGCAAGGGGTGAGTGATTGGGAGCCTTGAGACTCTCTCGAATCGACGCAGCGTTTCGCCTTCCTCAGGACCGAATCCTTCAGTCTCACGCCAAACACCATCCACATCTACCGACCGCCCATTTTGTCCCTCGATCGTCTTCTCATCAACACACAACCTCGTCGATCAACATTTAATAAATGGCCTTTCCACAAGCACGGTTTTCTGTCACAACGACTTAGCCGCTCCCCCCGAGACCATTTGAGTCAGTATTCCGAATCAACAAATCATCTTACCTTGATGTGGGCTTTATTCGGCTTCGCAGAGAGTGCTGGAGTGCCACCTAATCAGTGGTGGAAATTTTGTACTATGCTGTAATTTCGAGATTATTCTTGAGCCCTTGCTTCCTCAAGTTGCTGAGAAATCATCTAGCGGTATCAATCAAATAGATGCATTTCAGGAGCACACACCGCTCCACTGAGATGATCATAGAGCTTGCGCTGAGTAGATGTTGTACGTGGGTGGGTGAATAGGGAGATCGGCGAAGCAGAGTATCTAAATATGCATTGTGACACGAAGCCGTCAACAACCTTGCCATTGGAATTCCAAAATTGCGAGCTGCGTTGATCTACTGAACACTCCGAACTTTTGATTACCGTGCATTGCAAACAGCCACAGACGCTGATTATCAGTGGGGGACCTTCCAGCTATAATTTCATTTGTACGCGGCCCCTACGATTCATCAGCACCAATATATACATGCCAAGAGCCTCCGAACACCGAGTTGATTGAGAGCAGATTAAAATTGACAATGGCTGAAGAAGTTATCTGGTACCGTCCAAATGTTTGTTGAATACTTTAGGTTAAGCTTCAAAGGCATTTTCCTCTCAGTCTCTTCTCAAGAACTGCCTTATATTCCGCTTCGAAATTTCGAACAGACCATTTGTCAAACCCAACTCTTCTCAAGCTCACATCTACCCTCGGCAAACACCTCAAGATGCATCTCACCTAGTACCTCTCATTGACCTTCTATATGAGCATTGGAGTCCTCTTTCCCAATCCCAGATGAAGTACTCATCTCCTAGCCCATAGCTAAGATCATGTTCTAACTAACTCACAGCATTTTCCCCCAGGAACCAGGGTCGATGCCTCTAAGAGGAATCTTGGGTTGGTAGTTCTGGGGAGGGTAATCCCTCCATTTGGGACCCTTGTTCGCTCATTATAAAGGGCCACATCATTTCCTGCCAAGAAAAGACACAATTCTCAACCTGACAGCACACGCGGAAGCCGAGAAACACTCCTCTCATGCATCAGATCTCATATCTTATATCGAAACCCGTAACACTTCGACTGCACCCGAAACGGAGGAGTCTGATGCGTGACCCGAGTTTCGATTAGATAATTTCGACGAAATTCCTTACGATGTCCTCGAACAGTTAAGCCAGGAACAAATAGAGGATATAAAGAAGTCATTGCAAAAGGACATTGACGGTTAAAACGGGGCCTCTTCGCTAGCTCCCGCCACTGTGGTCAACGACGACGGGGGGGGGAGTGCTAAATAGTGAGGATTTGAAAGAACTCGGTTGCATTGAGTTGAAGGGGGTTATACTAGAAGATCGGCCTTTTGTGACGTTCTCCTGGCCAAACCGATTCTAGCCTGCTCGCTATTTTATTATTTACCAGGGCGAAACGCTGCGTGAGGGTGGGAAATTTTGGTTACGATGTTCCCTAAATTGCAGAATATCAAGAACGTATCAGGGAAAGTTGGTAGCACTTGATTGAATTATCAAATGCGGTCAAGGTTGTGTGGGATGATTTAAGTTCTCGGAATCTTGGAGATTGTTCAACGCCTGCTGTTTTTCGCCTCGCTTAAAAAGGGGCGGCTTCCCGATTCTGACAGAACAAATCATGGACAAGGAAAAGCTTGAGGTAACAACGCAAAATTGTTGAGTTGTTCTCCTAGCCTTAGATTCTTTGAACTCATAGAACATATGGAAAACAGTGCCCCATGTACCTGTTTTACTTAGCAACGGAGATCGTTTGCGTTATGCTGTTCTGTTAAAAATTGGCTGTTCTCCATGCTACCTTTGTTTAATACTCAAGTATAAAGTTAGACATCAATCTTCATGTCCTTAACTCTCAAACTGATTACTTGTCTCCAAATCAGAAATCACAACAGCAAATATGGCGGACACACTTTCCACCTTTACGAACTTCGGCGTCCTGCCAAAAGAGCTCCGTCTCTTGGCGTGGGAGCAAGCCGTCAATAGCATTGAACCGAAATCCGTGGTCATCGAACCGCTGTACACATTGAATCACGAAGGTGCAGTCATTGTTGATACCTTCAGAGGATACAAAGCCCGTCCATCGGACGTTTCTCCTGTAATGCTGCAGACCAGCTCGGAAGCACGAGCCGTAGTACTGAAAAGCTACCGTCGCATGTTTGGAGACACAGACCCTCCAAGCTTCCCCATATACTTCAATCCCGATCGCGATAGTCTGCACCTACGAGACTGCGACCCCAAATGGAAAGGCAAAATTCCCGACTGGTCGAAGGCCCCTGAAGAGCTCGCTCTCATCAAGAATCTTGTCATTTACTACAGCCGTGACTCCCCGCTAAAACTGCCTGCTTCATATCCGTTTGGCTTGGCTGCTTTCGAGTCCCTCGAAAGTCTGAGTATACCCAGCGGTCGAGGCGACCCTGCGACTGCCATGAAGTCGCTCGTGGCTCGGAGGGAAAAAGAATCCCCCAAGGCTGCGGAAATACTTCGCTCTTTCCCTCTTCCAGAAGCAGAAGATCCTGCGTCTGTGGAGCAATACGAGAATCAGGTCACAGCTGCTATGGCGAGCTTTTGGACCACAAAAATGCATCCGATACAGATTGGGAGAGGTAAGCCGGTCACGCCTCCGCCGAGACTTATCTTTCTGACTTGGGAGCAAGTCGAAGCTTTCAATGAGAAAACGCCTAGTTTGGACAGAACCCGAAACACCTATCCGCTGGTTATGCAGAATTTGCGTTCCTTTATCGCTTCTCGCCGTGCAAGAGCCTCTAATAACAACGGACAACTCCACGTTGACTATTCTGGACCAGTCACGAGGATGGTCTAGACTTAGAGATGTCTTTTAGACGCGTAAAAGGACTTACTAATTTGGTAGTCGAGCGCAACTTTTTCTTTCTTCGTCCTAAGGTCGGTTAGTAAGCACGCCGCTTCTACTCAGGCGCTAATCACCCTCTCCTTACCCAGCTCACCTGAGCAGCTCCTGAACAGTGCCCACTTCTCACTCACGTACTTGATCTCTAATCAGACTGGATATAGACTAGAGCCTTTTCATTTTATTTTTGTCAAGTTTTGGCGATAATCCCTGGGAAGCCCAAACAGGCTCCTAAGGATCCCGAACTAGACCCTCATGAAAATAGATCCAAGTTAGGTCATGGGTAATTGCCCATAACGGTAGAGCATAAAGGTCTCATTTAAAGAGAGGGATTTACTGCTATTCGCTATAAATCCTCTCCCCGCCGCTATTCACAATTATATTTCCCCGCTCCAACCTAACTACGCCATTTTCAATCTCCCTTTTCAGACACTTACAAGCCACACCTCTCATTTCTCAATTTTTGTTCTAATTTATCTATATTCTTACTATCACTGAAGTCCTTACAATGCCCCAGGGCAAATCACCAGAATGTTTCTTTAGGAAAGCCCGTGAGAATGGCTCCGAGAACAACGAACATATTATTACTGGAGAAGAAGTAAAGAAAAGCTCCAACCAGGTACTTTAAAGAGATAAACGCACAAAATGGCCCTTTGGAAACAGTAAGGCCCGACTTCCCACTTACCGGCACACAATAGACCAGGTAAGTCCCTGGTTGCCGTAGTCACTGTACATTTGCAGTAGTTCGACGATTTGTACACTGTAACAAAATTTGTAAATAAGTCTCACCCAAACCGAGATAAGCCACAGATATTTCAATCTCTATATTGCTTGAACCTCCCTTCCCCTCCTCCGCCTCCCGTCATCGCTAAAGGAATGGCCTTTTCCTTTGCATCAGCATTCGCACTTCTACAACCTATCATATAGAAAGCGGCAGTGCGCTTATAGCTACTGCTACTGCCGCTCCTGTAGAAGTACCCTCTCTCTGATTGCTATATCTTAATTTATTTAGTTAACACTAAGTTATATAATAAACTAAATTATTGTTTTGTTTGAACTCAAACCAATTTGAACTTCGACTTTTCCCAGCTGGAGTAACTATTATTTAACGGACATTCCTCACTCGGCAAGACGCAGCACCCATCTCTCTCCCAGCTATCGTTCCCAACGTATTTCAAAATCAAGCATCTAGATGCCGATAGAAGTAATAGAAGCCGTGACCCAGGTGTGGTCTCAGTGCCGAACCAAGTATACTTCTCCTGCAATCCTGAGAGATGATCGAGTCGGATCGTAAATGAGCCGTCGTACTCGGCTAAAATCGGGTATGGAGAAGGCCAGTAATCTGTTTCTTTCTTTGGACATTTAGGCGCTAGGTTATATGGGTACATTTTTTTCGAGAAACCTTCGAGGGTGATATAGGAGCCTTCCAAGACCTGCCCATACTTGTCTGATGTAGCCAAAAGCATTTTGTAATCCACGAGCTTAGGGGCATATCGCTCCTTCCACACATCACTAGCAAATGCAGCATCAGTAGCAATTGCTGGCCGTGAGGAAGCATTATGCTCCACTCGGAAGTTCACTGGTCCTTCGCATGATGCCCATGACCAGGATGGAGCTCGATAATCGCGACATTTGAAGAAGGGTCGGCTGTAGAGTTCTTCTCTGGCAGTATGGCGAGCCCAGAAGAGACCAGTACCCAGGTCTTTCGACCAGATTCCTGCAAGGTATTCGCCCATTGCGGGGTCATGGATTTTATATGCTAACCCAGATAATGCGGGTAGCTTGTCGGATGCGCGAGTCAATTGCCTGAGGCTATAGTCTTCTACGCATCCGCACCATGTGTTCAGTCGATTGCAGACACTGTTGATCAATAGCGAAGAAGAATGGTCGGCTCTCGTCGGTTGCTCGCCCTTCGGATCGATCTGTATGCTCGAAGTAGGCAGGGTTGAATCGATGATCCGATAAAACTGCTTCTTCGAACAGCTGGTATTGGACGATACAACAATGTTGGCCCCTTCATCTTTAATGCCGTGGCGACACTCCCAAGACATTCGACTACTGCCATACAGCAAAAGGCGCGGAGCGAGAAGTGCCTCCTGGTACGCCCAGGCCCGGGAGAAGAGAGGTGAGATTGTCTGATCCTTCCTAGACGTGATCTTCTCCTGCAGGAAATATTTGCTCACGTCGCCTAGCGGGGGGCCTTGAAGGAAGTTTCTGGGATTTAGAAAACCTTGAGTACTATCTGCCGCGGCAACAGCACCAATCACAAGTGTCGCATTTGCGTATACTGCTGCCATCTTAGAACATTCGCTTGCCCAATCTTGAACAGAATCTTGAATAATGCAAAGGGAATCGATCCATAGATACTTGAATCCTAGCATTTGGGCGATATCGATTGCATCTCGGAAGCTTCGTGGTAAATTTGTCAAGACGATTTCGCTTTCATGAGCTTTGATTGTGTCGATAGTTGTTGTTACTGGTACTAACCCTCCCCAGCAGTGACTAAATGCGATGTACTTCCCGGGTATCCCATATGTGGTCCATAGAGATAGATTCGTCCCTGGCATGTCCGGAATATTGATTACCCTCGTTGGGAGGGGTTGCTCGGTTTGAGGCGGACAATTTTCATGATTTTGACATTCTCCCAACCACTGTGAAACAAGTGAGACAGACTTCGCCGACCTTGGATCTTTGTTAATATGTTTGCTCAGTTTCGTGTTGTCGTATCCTATAGATGAATAGTCAGTATTGACAGCTCAAGAAGTTTGAGGATTTGATGAATTACCATCGGCATTACAGACCACAAGGGAGCAGCTTGCCAAACTATATGACCAGCCCATAATCTCATATACTGACTCCAGTTTCAATAGGCACTCTTCTTGAATGCCTTCGTCGTAGAGCATCAGTCGATATCGATGTGGGAAACGCGCCGTTTTAGAACTGTCAGGGCTGAAAACCGCTTGTCGAAGGCAGCCTAGCATAAACTGGCAGTTTCCACAGCCTCTTGAGGCCTCAAGCGCTATAGTATCTACTAGATTCATATCGTCGAATTCAGACGTTCGAAGGTCCGTTCGAGGGCATTGAGTGGTTGTATATATCCATCTTGCCAGCATCTTACAATGAATACAGGTATAAGATGTCTGGTTCCAAGCCCTAGTCTGGAATAGTATCGGGAAGATATTTGATAAGTGTGTCGGTCGACGAAAGCTTGTCGACTTAGAGGACGGCGATGCGGTAGCTGGGTTGGTGCGTATCACCAAATCATCTCTAAGGGTAGTTTGAATGGAGGACTGTTGGTTGGTACCAGACTGAGAAGTAATATTTCCTGCCTGTCTCCGGGGATTTTGTTCATCATCGCTCATATATTCGTTGTCGGTCTCTGAAGCCTCAGGTGACGAGGTTGTGGTAAGATTGTCATCCACAAGGCGCGGCCGAAGGCGGATAATTAGCTCAAACAATGGCTCCATAATAGAGAAGCAGGGCAGACGAAATTCGTAAGATTCTAAAGCCCAATATTTTATAGTTCGTATATATCTCAAAGGCTTCGTTTCGACTCATTAGGCACCGCGTGGCATTCTTTTAAACCTGAGGCCGCCAGTGGCACGCACTCGGTGAGCCGATTCTGTCATAGGCAGAATTTAGCCAATTGCTGGCCGTTTCTCGACCAGTCGGATCAGGCCATTGTTGCTCATATGCTCGACTTGCTTTCGTCCCTTTGTCGCCGATGGTACAGCTCAACGAATGTTATGACCTTCATGGACTTTCGGCCACTTAAAACCGTAGCCTGGTATTAAGCCGAAGTCGGTAGAAAGCTCACTTGCACGTGTGATTCCATCACGTGGCGAGTGGGCTGGGGTATAAGCGTCGGCAGGGGATCATACGGAGTATGTAGCTAGCAACACCAGGGCAACAATCATACAGTACTGGGTGTGAAGCCGATTTCGAACCCTACTGTACAAAGAGAATAAATTAAAGAGAAGAAGAGAAAGGAGAGTGCTAGCCTGAGCTTAACTCGTACGCGTCAGTTTCCCGGGCGATGGTAAGGTCATATGAAACAGGGCATGCTCCTGGTCATGTGATTCCACTACTCCGTACTCCGGCTGTACGGCTTCAACTCTAGGGTTTCGACCCAGTACACGTGATAGAATCACGTGACCACAGCGCCAGCTTGAGTCTGTTGAAATTAGGGGCCTAAGGCCCCTAATAGGCTTAGTAAGCCCTGGAACAGAGCCTTAGGGGCTGTATACTAATGGGGCTTAAGCCATAGGCTTATTACTGAAGTAGATTATGCCCTGTAAGGTTGATACAGGGCATAATATGCGCTGTGAGGGTAAATCGGTTCAGCTGAGGTTGAATGGTTCAGTATAAGGCTCTCTGGTTTAGGGGTTTAGTGCATGTGACTTAGGGGGTTCAGGGCTATATATACGGGCTACTTACCACTGTAGAACAGCAGTCAATTCAGTACGTTTTACTTGGTTTACATTGCAAGCACGTGACCCTAGCTATATTGCTTTAGCTAGTTCAACAGAGTCGTCACTATACGGCTCCGACCTAGCTTAGCGACGGCTCCTAGCCGAGCTCTCCTGTAGGGGTAAACCCTCACACTTTCTTGCTCTAAGCAGTTAAACACTGGTTAACATTTAAAGCACCCTGTCCGAAGTAGGCAGCTATAGGCAATAAAGGAGACGTATTGTATAAATTATCATATAATATAGAGAGGGGTCCAAATTTGTTCTAGCAGGAACCTTACAAGGGAGCGGAAACGGATTCCCGGGCAATCCGGTAAGGAAACTATGACTAGGGCATATAGGAGGCCAAAATGAGTTCCACATTATGGTACGCGGGCTAACCCAGGGAGTACTCAGAATGTTCGGGATGGTCTGGCTCTGCTCAGGCATACTCAGGCTCTGATCAGGTACGCTCACCCTTGGCTCAGGTATGCACACCCTCGGCTCTGGTATGCTCACCCTCAGCTCAGGTTAAAGCAGCAGCTGCTCACGTCCGGAGACTAAAACGGATCCGGCGAACGTGGGATTAGAGTCCGACTTTCGTGGAAGTCAAGTGAAAATTGACTTGCAAACTTCATAAAAGCCATCAATATCACTATTCTACACAATTAATCTTCTATTCCTAGCGTGCCTTGGCCAGAGCTACGATAACATAGAGCGAACGGCAGGTGTCCTCCAGAAGGGGATTGAAGTGGCACTCTACCCATAATGGAGTGTAAGTAGAGAAATATAACTACATTACAAAAATAGCACATCCCTTTGACTTCCAACTTTATCGCAAGAGTGACAGGTGAAACATATTCCCTGGTCTCGGAGACCGGGTCCCCGAGTCCTAACTTTCCCCCTTTCAAGCAATTCATGTTAAGATATATAATAATTGGTCACTCTCAACTTCTCGAGCATGTTCAGTAGTTCTTGACTAATCCGCTTCGTATCATCTGTGAAATTTTTAAACGCATCCGAACACCCTTCAGGAGCAAATATTGAATCGTTAAAGTGATGGACATCATGCGCAACGGTGTCCAAATTGATGTGGTCCTCCGACGCAGGAGATGCCGACTTGTAAATCTTCCGCGACTCTCCGATAAATTTGGCCGCGAAGTACATAAATTGCACCACCTTGACGGCCACTCCCAACCCGAAAAGCGGGTCAATAGCCATGTCGTTCGATTTAACATTTAGAAACGGGACGTCAAGAGACACATCAATGGCGATGGACCGTATTTGGGGCCTCGAAGAGGCACGCAGCACAAGGCCTAAACAGGCAGCCTAGTCTAGCGGAATGCCGTGTCCCAGCCACAGCCACAAGAGAAACAGTGCGCGCCCTGTAGACGCTGGAGAGCAGTTGTGCTTCACAGCCAAGGCAGCCATCGAACCTTTTGGGGTCTACGCAGTACACGAGACAACCGCCACTTGCAGCACGGGAAAATGTAAAATGCCGATTAGAGGTGTCGATTGGGGGCTAGGGTGTTGACGACCTGTAATTAGCTACTTAAGCTCTTTAAAAACCTCAAGTTAGATTTTCAATATAAGCATAAGCTAGTATATTATATGGCTGATAATGTAGTTACGTGATTCTTAGCTTATAATAAAAAGACTCTTTAAAATAGAAGTTTAATTTGAGGGAATATATATATTATTTAATTGAGTTTTAGTTTTTAAGCCCTATAAAGCCCGATAAATTAGGGGCTTACAAGGCTCTCATAGCTTGTTTTAGGGACTTATTCGCTAAATTTCTAGGCTTTTTTAAGCTTACCTGTAGGATGAAATATGAAATCTGTACCTTCTTTAATTTATAGAGCTATTACTAATTCAGATTTTATTTTAATAATTTTATTTTAAATAGCGCTTGGTTAGCGCTATAAGGAAATATAAAAAAAGTATTGAATTCTATTAATTCCTTATAAATTAAATTAAAATTAAAGAGAAAGCTAATTTTTGGTGTTCCTAGCCGAGCGCCTCTACTTTGGGCCAGTGGCCCCAATCGACGCCCCTAATCCGACACCCCGGGGGATGGGGGGTGTCGTTTTTCTTTTTCCTCTCCCACCCACCAATTTTGCGGTTGACCAATGACTTGGCTGCTGATCAATGCCTAATTTTACAGGGCCCGGCGCGATCCTTGTACCCCGAGATCATTTGTTTTTAGAGGAGCCTCTCCCCTGAAGTTCTGAATAAGCTAGACATGCACCACCTGAGAGAGAACTATTAAAAGGAGCCAAGCTGATCGTGCCTAAGGCAGCTAGGGGGCTAGGAGATCAGTAGATTTTGTACTTATATTAAGGGGCTTCCCAGCCTTCGATAATCAATCAAGGCTTCCAACCCTCAATTTGACAAGAACATCTCAAGAACGGCTTTTCTCGCAATTGAAGGGCGTTCAAAAACAGCAGAGCAAATACCCATCTCATCTTTAGGCTTGTCTCTAGTCAAGATGGCACCCAAGTCTTGCAGTGCTGAGAACCAACACACGAAGAGTGACGATATCGCAACATTCTTCAGCTTGAGATATGATGGACGAGAAGACTGGTATCGCAAAGCACCCAATAAATGGAAGACACAGATCGACCTAGAAACCAGAAGAATCAGCGACTTGTGCAAGTCGATTGCTTCTGATAAAAAGTATTCACGACTTGTGAATCAGGTTGAGACGCAGCGAGAAAAGTTCACACGGACTCGCGCTGGCTTAGGAAACGATACCGGGCCTCCTCGAGCTAACAAATTAAACCCAGCGCCGTCGCAAGGAGAAAGGAAAACGCAATCAAGTTCCCTTGGGCCGCAGGCATCCTTCATTTTATTCCAGGACGGCTTAACCATTCGAAGTACTAGTCCGAAGTGCCAAGGGAACTGTCCAAACAAGACAGTGCCTATTTATGAGCTCCTGGATGATGAGGACGACAGCCCGCTTACGCAAAAGTGTCCGGAAGGATTCATCCGTTACGTTCACCTAACAGCAAACAATATGAGCTGGGTTGAGGTCTGTCTGTGATCCGTAATTCTTGCCCTTTATGCATATGGTCAGTTGACATTTGTGATAGAAAGCTATGTCACGTTACTATGAGGAAGATGGTTCCGAATTCAATGGCTACGTGCAACACTGCTCCAAGAACAGAAAACAGGCAGAAGTCTTACTTCACCATGAAGGTTGGTATGGTAATGTTCAAGGCCCTCCAGGAGGATTTCATTGCTACATGAGACCGAGATGTTTCAACATCACTCCAGAACAACCATCAATTCCTGGTCCGAGGGAGCCAGAAGCCAGCTCTGGCGGAATAAGTGAGACCCCCGAAAAGAAAAATGTCCAAGACAAGTCTACGAAGCAGAACATCGCATTATATGTAGGCAAAAACACATGAAATCTTGTTGTTCTCAGGTTTACATGTGGACAAGATGCCATACCTAAACTGGAGTATAGCTCTAAAAGAAAGGCCATGATGAACATTGCCAAAGACTCCGAAAGACGTCCCCTTCAATCTATGGACTTCACCATAGATTCTGAGCTCATAAGTCTTCGTACCGCAGATTTCCGAAAGGGCCAGAGACCTGAGAATCGAGCAACAATATTAGGAAAGTATCTACTACAAATCGCGTCTTTGAGCAACATCATGGATGAATACATCGACGAGCTGGCACTTCGCAAGGAGATCTACTTGAAGTCAAATATTCAGTTGCGGCGCACTCTTCCACAGTCGAATAGGTGGGCATCGGACCGCTTCGGCGATGAGGATCAAGCTATATACCGAGGAACAAGGGCACGTAGTGACCGTGGCAAATTGCTCATGGTTGATCAGCTTAATTATTGAATTAGCCAGATACTTGTCGGGCGCTTGGATTGTTAGGTAGAATATCGCCTCCAATGCGGATGCATTCGTTGGTATGCCTAGAGCAAGAATCGCTAAACTCCTCCGACCTGAGGCGAAGACAGGGATATACCGCTGCTCTGGAAGTACCAAACAAAGACCAGACCAGGTTTTAAACGTCATTTAAACTTCGTTTGCTGCACGCCAGAGATGCAGTTTGCGGGGTACACACAGCAATGTACGGCACCGGGGTTGCTCTTCGGATGCCGTCGCCGTCGGGGTAAATGGCAATGTGCCGAAACGGTTCGATGTCAAAGTAAAATTCGACCGAATCTGCGACCTCAATCGTGCGATGTATGAACGAAGTACTTTTGGGGAACGAGGTAATGCTTCTTAGCAGTTGCGCAATATTTGCGCGGAATGAGAGCCTGTTCGATGTTTTTCTAAGAAAGGGTTCCTCACTTTGTAGACCAGAGGTCTTGATGGGTGTTAGTCAAAATACAGGTGCGAAGCTTCCCGTACATACTGTGTAATCTTTGGGTGGTCCCAGAATGTCTTCTCATTTCTAGGCCTTTCGCCCTTTCCTGTAGCGCCATTTCCTGTGGCGCCATGCGAATATCGTTTTGATGGTACAAGGGCGGGTTCTGTATGCCCATCCCCATGCAGACGCCAAGATTCCATGCCCAGTCCATCTACCACACATAACTCCATTTCTGTTGCCAATCTGAAATCGAGGACAATCAAATTATTGGTCTTTGGGAAACCATTTCCAGCCCCAAACGCCATCCATGATCGATGTAGAGGACCGGCGTCTCACTTTTTCGAAGACCCAAATCCCGTGATGCCCATACTAGCCATCATATCATCCTCATCATGCTCGCCCTCAATCCTGACGTCTTCTCCATATTCTTTCTTGACTTTGGCCTCTTCCTCCCTCTCCCGCTTTTTCTTCTCCACAAGCTCTCTCCTCTTCTCCCTCCTCAGTTCCCTCTCCTTCTCCTCCTCCTCCCTCCTAACCTCCAGCCTCTCCCCAAGCGTCTTAACATCCCCCTTCCTCTCCTCTTCCATCCTCTCCCACAGCAACCTAATCCTATCATGTACCTCCTCGACCGTGGCCCTCTTCACCTCTCCCGTCTGCCCAATCGCCCGTAAATGCTGCATGGAATTCTCATGCTCGACCCACTGCAGATTATCCTTAAACGTTAAGTCACAATCCGCACAGTAGAATCCCGCGCCTCTGCCTCTCTTGCCCGTCGCTGCGCCCGCGGGCATGAGCACCACCTTGCCGACATTGGAGGAGACATCGAGCCGTGATGCTCGTGCTTGCGTGAGCACTTCGTCGCCGGTCAAGGGGGCGTAGTATTTCTTGCCCGCGAGCTTGGCTTCGTAGCGGAGCTTGGATTCTTCTTTTTCTTTTGCTTCGCGATCAGCTGCCTTTTGGGCGTATTCGGCACGGTCGTATTTTTTGCGGAAGTCGGTGTCGGATGCTGCATTCTCATAGGCACCCTTCTTTGAAGACATGGCTGCGGATTCTGGTTTTTCGTTGTTTGTGGTGGAATGGATGGTGAGGGTGGATGTTCCAGAAGTTGGTTGTGAGAGGGAGCCCCAGATGGAAATTTTGATGGTGTTTGCTCTGTTTGCACGTGGGGCAGAAAATCTTCCCCAAATCTTTGGAACAACCAGCCACTTGATCTCACCAACAAACGCCAAATGCTATACCTAATAGGCCTCGGCCTCGGCGACGAGACAGACATCACAGTCAAAGGGCTCTCCATTGTGAAGAAAGCAGCGCGCGTCTACCTCGAAGCCTACACCAGCATCCTGCTCGTGGATAAGGCAGTCCTGGTTCGTCCTCCTAATCTACCCCGCCAAAGGCAGAGCTGACGCTGATGCGCAGTAGGAGCAATATTATGGCCGAGAAGTGATCCTCGCGGATCGCGAGATGGTGGAGAGTGCTAGCGATGATATTTTACACGATGCGCAGAATGTGGATGTTGCGTTCTTGGTAGTTGGAGATCCTTTTGGGTATTCCCCCTTTAACGTCCCTCCCCCTCCTTCAAATGACCATAATCTAATAAAAAAGTTTAGGGCAACGACGCACACTGACCTCGTCCTGCGAGCTCGCGCGCTCAAGATCCCAATAACCAGTATCCCGAACGCCTCAATCATGTCCGCGATCGGCGCCACTGGCCTGCAGCTCTATAACTTCGGACAAACAGTTTCCATGGTCTTCTTCACGGAAACCTGGAAACCCGCTTCCTTCTACAACCGCATTCGAGAGAATAGGGAGATTGGACTGCATACGCTGGTATTACTAGATATCAAGGTTAAAGAGCAGAGCCTGGAGAATATGGCGCGGGGGAGGAAGATCTATGAGAGTCCGAGGTATATGACGGTGGGACAGTGTGCGAGCCAGATGCTGGAGATTGAGGAGATGAAGAGCGGGGAGGGGACAGGAGGTGTATATGGGGAGGAGAGTTTGGCGGTGGGCGTGGCGAGGATTGGAGGGAAGACGGAGAAGTTTGTTAGTGGGACGTTGAAGCAGCTTTGTCTTGCTGATCAGGAGCTGGGTGGGCCGTTGCATAGTTTGGTGTTGTTGGGAAGGAGGACGCATGAGTTGGAGAGCGAGTATGTAAGGGAATTCGCTGTGGATAAAGAGGGCTGGGATATGATTTGGAAGAGGGATTATGAGGGGAGGCAATGATGAATAGAATAAAAATGGTTTCATTCTGGGTATCCCTATATGCTCACTGTTGGCCATTATAACCAATGTCCCGCCGCCCCCTTTTCCATCCAACGCCATGCTGAATATGTCATTCAAACCAAAGACCTCATTCCTGGGGAATGTTCTTCCTCCTCCCAGCAGTGCCGAAGAAGCCTCTCAATCCCGCACTTCTAGGTGTCTTCTGCTCCTCCTCGTCTGTATTTTCTTCACTTGTCCTCCCCAAATCCATGCTCGGAGCAGCCCTTTCCTCATCCCCACAAACAACTATAAACCACCCAATATCCGCTCCCTTCTGCAGCCCATCCCTCAACTTCTCAAACCAGCCCAACCTCCTACTCTTCCTCCTGATTTCCCTCGCACTCATCACACCAGCCGGTAGTCCAGGACTATTCAAATCCCCACTCGCGCCCACAACCGGCGTTCCCGGCGTGCCAGGAGATATAGGACTAGCAGGACTATTCAACGGCAGCTCCTCCGCCCTTTGCCGCGCTTCATACTTCGCAATCTCCTCATTAACAGAAGCGCCAAGCTTCACCTCAACCATATAATCCCCAACATACGCATATGGCTGGCTCGTCGAGGAAAGATCATTTGGATCATACTGCTCGACAAACTTCACCACGCTCCAATCGTTAAATGTCGGTTTGTTCTCTCCTTTAGAGTCCCGACTCGCAGAGGTTGTCCGAGAAGTCCCGGACTCCGAACTGGCAGTGACATGGTGTCCATTCCCATTCCCATTCGTCCGCTTCGCCTCCAACTTCGCAGGCCGGCTCTTCCGTCCCAACGAGCCCAAGCTCGCAATACTCCCCTTCTTCTTCGTTAGCGCCTTCGGCTTCCCATCTTCACTTTTGGTTATAATCTTCTCAGTCGGGGCAGGTAGAGGGTATGAAGCGGGCGGTGGGTTTGACGGAGGCAGGAAGTCGTAGAGGCTGTAGAAGGAGTTTAAAAGCGTGACGGATGTCGCGGGCGCGACAACCCATTCCGGGGCGGCGTCTTCGAGGTCGTGCAGGATGATGTGGATGCGGATGTTTTGGCGCTGCCAGCGGAAACCGTGGACGAGGAAGGTCGGCATTGTTATTGCTTTGCGTACTAGATGGAGGATGGGTTGACAGAGGGGAAGAAGCAGATTGATATGCGAGGATATTTGTCACGGAGACGCGTGGTGAGGTGCGGATCGCTGCTTCCCGGCTGATGCTCCAACGACTGAGGTGAGGCTTGAACACAGCCTTCCTGCACGAGTGCCTTGCTGCAGCAGTCAATACGAGCTCTGGCGTACGGAGTCTGTCACTTCAATGGATCTGATAGTCCCTTTCGATACACTGGATGCTCTAGGGTAGGTAAATGCTCAAGGTCGGCGAGCACTGAATATATACTCTGGTGTTTGTAGGAAAGAGGGAGCTCATGTTTAATTTGAGATGGCGGGGCAGATCAACGTGCAATTGGCTCCTTTGGGGATGGCGCCCGTTGCCATTGTTTCACCACGCAAATTGAGGGGAACTTCCTTCTTCTGAGCAATTTCATGAGATCCATCAGTACAAGTAGTCTGTTGGAGAGCAGTGAACTATGGCGGAGTGTTGAGGCTCAACTGCTGTTCTTGTTAGTTTGTCAAGTCTCCCTTGGCGAAGGTATCGAGAGAAGGGTGGTTACCGTATCTGTGTTCATGGTATCGCAACTCAAGTCATGGAAAGCTTGAGACTTTTGGGTTCTATATTTTTCTTCGTCTCTCGAATGCCGCACCTTTCGTACTCTTTCTCTGTGACATTCAAATATTCAATCCTTAAAGTCACACCAGAAATTGGCAAGCTACCAATCGCTGTCCAGGACTCATGGCGTTGAAGCCTGCAACAGAATCAGGTGTTGGGCATTTCAGTAAGAGGACAATTTTTTTGTGGAGGCATAGACTATCTTATCGAATTCTATCAAGATGAGCTGGAGTGAGCAGTGACGGGAATTTAATGGCGGTAAGGTTGACAAAGCGGGGCTGGGAAGCGAGCCGAGAAAGGGGTAAGTCACACACCTTCAAATTTCAGCGCTCCCTGTCAAAGAGGGCAGTACTTTGAGCTTAATAAATAGTACTGAAAGTCTATTCCTTGACAAGAAAATGGCAACCAATGACCCGACATGCCTCACAATTTCAAACCCGAACCGAATTCAGCGGGGTATCGCACGAACCAGGGTCTCATACTCTCCTAAAGTGGGATTGAATGACCATGAGCAGCAAATAGTCCGACCATCGAGGGCCTCCACTTCCAAACCATATTTCGGTTCCGCATTCTTATATATGCATTCTCAAAAGAAATTCAAGTCCCCTCAACATTTCGTGAAGTCTTTCAAACCAAAGATTCGATGGATGTCCCCACTCCAAGACAACCGGCGGCTGGCTCTGCAGACCCCCTACCTCGGGATCCTGCCGACGATGTCAACTTTCCAGTCCCTGGATGGCCTTCGCTTGCCAACCTGATCTCCGAAAATCGAGCATTGGAAGCATTCCCATCGTTTGCGGATCTAAGCATCAAGTCGTTGCTTTATTACCAAGCAGAGCTCGTTTATCTACGGAAGGCTCTACACAAAATCGAATACAGGGGCTACTATTACCCTTCCAACAGTGGGGACCCTTCTCATTTCTTTGCAGGCAACATAAGCGAGTTGCATAGAGTTAGGCACCAGGCAATACTAGCCAACAGAGATTGCTCTGAACAGTGGATCCTCATTGAGAAGATCCGCGCTACTCTCGACAAATACAGTGAGTTATTCTCAGACTTGGCTAAGAAAGTATTGGCACGAGTTGATTCGAATCGGAAAGACAATGCACTTCTACAATTCTCAACTGGGTTGGACTTCCCGCACACCGACAGCTTGAATGTTAATGTTCTGAAACACTGTGTCCGAAGCATCTCCAACAGCTCTTCCATCGTTGGGGACGGCGCCTCCACCTGGGGGAGTACATTCCCAACAGCGGAAAGAGAGAAATCCCTGTTATCGCTCTTCTTCGGTCTCTTCGTCTCTCCGGACCTCGGACGCGAGCATGTGCCTAACGAATTCCGAGAGCAGCTCATTCTCCCTCGCCCGGGAAAAACACACCTGACAGACTGATACTATGGATTGCCCACAGCTTCATGCCTTTCTACCACAGTCTCCTTACCGGTCCACGGGAATTCCTAGCTCGGTTTTTTCGAGGCTCTGTTTCACTCTGGCATCGACAACGAGGAAGTGCCGGCTTTTCAGAGAGCATCCTGACACCCTCTTCCGCGATTCCGCGAATCACATTATTCGCGTGGCATCTATAACCATCACTTTTGTAGCATGTCTGCTCCCCACCATCGCCATTATCGCTCTTTTCAAGATTAATTCGAGGGATTTGGTGCTTGGACTGATTACGGCGTTCACTGCTCTCTTTGCACTCGGTCTCATACTTTTCTCAACTTCCAGCTCAAGACAGGAGATCTTTCTGGCAACTATTGGGTAGGTGTTCTTCCGTCCAGATAAAGCTAGGAGCATGGCGCTGATCAGAAATGTGCAGTTTCTCTGCGGTTGTGGTTGTCTTTGTTCAAAGGCAGGTTGTTTCACAGTAGAATGGGCTACACGAGAAAGAAAAGGGTCTCCTAATCGCTCACATAATTTGTTCAAAGAGCTACGTTGACATTCCGTTATTGAGGAGACAGGATGGCAAGAAGATCTTGTTAATTGATAAGCTTGATTCACTTCCATGAGTGATCTGAATTATTCAACAAACTGAACACGTGATTGAGGATAGAGACCCTTCTATTTCTATTTGACCATCTACCCATCGAACACAGAAACCTCTCATCTCCCATCACACTCTGCACAAAACCAAATGCTAGCAATTATGCATACCGAGTCGCTGCAACGCCAAAGTCTCATGCCCAGTATCAATCAACAACCTACCCCTCGATTCCTGACCTCACCTCACTTGTCCACCACCGCGAACGGCAACTCCTTCGGCTTTCCAAATGCCGTACACGGAGAAAACCTCCACGCACCCCTATGCCTCCTCATATACCAATAGTGGCACATATAAGGAACAAAAAACGGAAAGGGAGGCAGCTGATCCTTGGCATACGTGACGTCCAGGCTCCCCAACCCGCACGGAAGGACTCGATACTACTCTCCCATTAGCAGTCCATTCTCTCAACTACAAGGAACAATTGGAAGACGCACCATATCCATCGTCCCATCTAAAATCCTCTTCTCCATATCATCCCACGCCTTCTTCAACTTCTCGCCCCCATATATATCCAACGCCAGCAGTGTCGGGATCTCCTCCCTCAAATGCTTCGTCAGCGCCAGCGTAAAGCTCTCTAGTATCCCCTTAAAGACTTCCCTATCCCAGTCCTCCGGCTTGCAACTATACACATACTCCTTAAACCTCTCCAAGCCCTCCTCAAACGCATGGTGTTGGGCGAGACTCGTGTCCATGATTCCTTTTTGGCCGGAGTACGCTTCGATGGCAGTGAAGAGGTACGTTTCTTCGTGGTGGTGGTGCGAGTGCACCATTTCGTGGAAGCATTGGCAGTATGTGAGGAAGTCGGCGATGTCGGTTACTTGGGTGAGTTGGTAGTATTGCAGGGTGACGGCGTTGAGGGTGCGGAACATGGCGTTGTGGATGCAGGTCATGCCGGTTGCTATTTCTATTGTTTCTTTGGAGATCTGTGTGCATTAGTTGCTGAGTTGTGAATTTTGGGGAGGTTGCGAACTCCATCTGTGGCTGTGGGTGAAGGCATGAGGGGGAACGGTTGGTCTGCCCATGGTTTCGTCATGGTGGATGAGCGGTTATCTAGTTCTATTTTTTGCAAAGAAAGCATATAGAGGGGGAAATTGAAATGGTTAGGAGATTAAAGAAAATGAAGGAGTGACTAATATTTAAAGATTGAATTCAGTGGCGATGGGAAGGATAATTCCATTTAGGAGTAGGTCTGGTGGTTGCTGCAACCTGCTGACGCTGACCAAAGTTTCAAATTCGTTGGCCACTCAGCCTTTGATATTTGCTTTCTCCTACAAGGGCGGCAGGGCTGAGGTCGATCATACGCGGTACTGGCCAGGGTCGTAACAGTACCCAATCGGAGGCCTGAAAATGAGCCGTGGAAACGGCTGCATGGAGCCGCAACGCCGCTGATTGGGATTTTTGCCGCACTTGCAGCTTATCTCACCCATGGAGTTAGGAGCGGCCGACATCATTTCGGGTTAAACTTTAATCTTGACAGGTGAACGCCGTGCCCGTTGCATTTCAGATTTCGGGAGAGCCGAGTGAAATCGAAACAGCTCCGATTGGATGTTCAGCAGTTTCCCAGAACGGCTAGCAAATATCAGAATGGTATCTAGATGCTCCCGAACGCCTTTATCGTCCGACTGTTTACAAAGACATCGCCGTCAACTGTTGAAAGGTATTTCTAACCTTAAACATAACGTTGCAAACCCCATGCCCGTTACCAGAAGATTCCAAGAGAGAACAGGCCCGAAAACAAGTACTCATACTGAAGCACGCGTATTTACTGTTCTGGCAGACGGTTCTGTCGCGACAGGACGAACCATATCCTGTACAAGCTCCTGTACAAACTCTCGCACTTGCGCCGTATCTTCCATAATGCCAGAGATAACATCTTCGAGTCCTTCTTTGTAGTGCTCCTGATCTTTCTTGAAACTCTCCATGATTCGAAACTTGGAGGATGTCTCCTTCTCAAACATTTGAATCCAAGCTGACTGCTGTTGTATGATCTTCAGCTGCTCCGTGGTTGATCTCTCGAAGACCGCGGCTAGCTCTGCACTCCTTTTCTCAAACATTGCTGCTTGCCGTTCCGTGATATTCTTTAGCTGCTCTGTGGTTTGTTGCTTGAAATCCTCCATCTGTTTTGCCGTCTGTTGAAAGTGCGCTGCCATCTGGTCAGCCATTGCTTTCTCGTCCTGTTGCCGGGCGTCTCTGAGCAATTGGTACTGTGATTCCAAATCGTGAATACTTTCTTCTTGTGCCTCGACCGTCTTCATAAGTTCCTTCAAGTCTCGAGTGTTCCCTTCAAACAGCGCTTCTAGATCGTGTATTTTTTCGTTTTGTACCTTGGTGATCTTCCCAAAAGCCTCCATCTCCTCTCTCCTCTCAGCAAGCTCTGACGACAGGTGGCTGTTCTTTTCATTTTCTGCATTTACGACCTCCCTTATTGCTCTGATTCCCTCAGTACTCTCAACGACCTGAGATTTCAGAGCGTGGATCTCTTCAACCATCTTTTCAAGACACGTCCTCTTTTCGGCAACCTGTGAATCCAGCTCACGAATCATCACATTTTGTCCTTCGTTGATTTCCTTAAGATCCCGGATTTCCCCAGAAAGCTGAGAATGCCGCTCCTTGGAACTCTCCTGAGACTCATTGACACGTTCAGCAATGTCTTCGATCTTGTTGATATTTCTCTGGTCAGACCGGGCGAGGAGAGTACTCATTTGTTCAAGTCGCCCTTTGGATTCCACTTCGAATCTTGCCATGCGACTGTCTATATTTTGCAACTGATCCTTGCTCTTCTCCTCGACCGAATTGATGCGATCGTTTACTTCCCGAGACAATTCTTGCTGTTTCTGCTCCGACGAGGCAAGAATATCTGACACCAACTCTTGCTGCTCGACCTTTTGTCTCTCAATTGCGGCAAGCGAAGCGTCAATACGTTCTTGCTGCTCTTTGTTCGTCTTCTCCATCTCCTGCACTCGACCCTCTACAAAGGATGCACGAATATCCTTCCGAGAAGCATCATTCTGAAGAGCCCTGCCAAGGACGCTGAACGCACTTGCCAAGTCTTGCGGTGACTCCTGTCTCTGATTGGCAAATACCATGAGTGGAGCTTGAGGCATGTTGAAATCTATGGTTGGAATAGTGGTGGGGATGCTAGGGAAATAGCATTCTGAAGGACCCAGCTTTTCCTGTCGGCGGGTGACATTGGTCAGATGGGTCTTGCTTCTCAAATGTGTCATGACACCGCCGATCTTTCGGTTCGCTGTTGGCTTGAACGTCTTCCCGTCACAATCTAAGCATTTGACAAGTCCATTCTCGGTTATAATCGAGGATTCAGAATTTTTCGTGCGGAGCTCAATGACTGCATCTTTTAGCCAATTTGGGGAGTTGTCCTAGATACCTCGTCAGATTTTCAACCCCCAATGGAGCCCAAATCATGACTTACCGTCCTCTCCTCCTTGACGATTCTGTGCTCCATATGCCTGGGGGATCTCTGCTGGGACGGAGAGTTGTAGGTGCCAGTGGGTGCAGAACGCCTTCTTGAGGCAGACAGAGGCGTACCTAGTCTGTTCATTCTCCGCCGCGGGGTCGAATTCGGATATTTACCCGGACTAATAGGCTCGAAGCTGCTCGAGGACTCACTCGCCGCGATCTCCAACACCTTCCGGCGCTTCCTGCTTGGTGTTCTGATAGGGTCCTCATCTTCTCCCTCTTCCTCTATATGTGTCTGTGGCATGGGTGCTGCCCCACGTGTGATTTCGGCATAAGCTTCTACATGCCCTAAATCAAAGAAGAAATTAGCATCGGTTTTCCGAAACCAATAGAAAGAGTCTCACTTGTTGCCTCGATTCTAGCAGCCTCCTGTGCCTCTTGCTGTCTCATTGCCTGAATGTCCGCGTCTTCCGCAGCCTGGCTTTCCTGGTGTGTTTCCGCAGGATTTCCCATATCATCTGGCTGATCTTGTTTCAGCCCATCCCCTCGGTTGTGAACTACTTCTTCGACCTGATGGACCTGATCTCTCTCCGTTTGGTTATCGACAACTTTCTCTACCCAGCCATCTTGCCGTCTCTCGCCCATGTCTAAGTCTTCCTCTGCCTGATCCTCCACTTGATTCATCGAATGATCCAATTGCTGCGCCAACTGCTGGTCGAGCTCTTCGTCAATGTGCTGATCCATATCTTGATCCTCAATGTCTGGGCTAGCTTCCCTCTCAAGAGCCTCCAACGCCTCTTGTGTACTCTGCGGGTCTTCGCTCGGCTGGCTCGCACTCGGATTATTCTTGTCCTTAATATTGAAGTACGGATCCAGACGAAAAACAACCTTTTGATTCCTGCTCACGGGCTGCAACATAGAATCCTCAACCATGCGCCTAATTGCCCCCTCAATTGACTTTTTCTCAGTTCTGATAGCCTCGGGATCCTGCAGGTCGGGGGAGAACCGCTCCAGGCACAGATGGATCAGGACTCGGCCTGGCAGACCGTCGTTCTCGGCGAAACCTTGGTCCTGAATGTGTCGCACGATGAATCTCCGTATGGCAGTGTAATTTTCGTACGACATTTCGAGCTACTGATGCAATTGAGTGGTTGTTGGTGGTGAGGACAAGGCGGGTGAAGTCGCGATTTGCGACGCGTGTGGTAAACAGTTTGGCGCGAGTTAGATTGGGACACGTGATCTATGCGAGCGATTCAAGGGCTCAGGGGTAAACTTGCAACAACACTTCGTTGCCTTCTCTAATCAAGTTGATAGATAAAATGTCTGAGCATTCTAGCTCCTATCTACGTTTACAATGGCTAAATCCCTCGAATCTGTATTGTAATTCAATATGCTCGTAATTCCCGCTTGAGCTTGTATTATATACCGCAACTAACCTATCTCGAATCTAAAATTTTGACGCTATCGAGGATCGCAATTTACAGAAGACTAGCCAGTAAATACATAAGGTTACGCATTCCGGACTTGTCAAGCCTGCTCTTTATTGTAGCTCATGGAACTAAGAGTATGTCCACTCCGCTCGAGTTCTTGAAGATCTTTCGAGTCCATTTCGTGGGTTACAGGAGGAACGCCAGATTCCATTCTGTATGAAGGGCTGGGTATTGCGTGCTTTGTCTCGAAGTTCATGTCGTTCATGGTATGGAGAATGTTCACTTTTGAATATTCCAGTTGAAATTTATTTCCTTTGACTTCGACGACGAATGTACCACCCAATGACCACAAAAAGAGGGAGCCCAAAGGCCGCTACTGAGCCAATCCCTAGCTTTAGATCTCTGCTCAAACTAGATGTTCCAGTCTTATTGAGTAGCGGAGAGCCTGTGGATGATGAGGTGATTTGGCGAGGCACCCCAAGATGTGGAATTCGGTGTAATATTTCTTGTTGGGTTCGAAGTGCGATATGAAGGTGATGTGGTTACCGGAGCCGTCGCGACTGAAGCGGTTAATAGTAGACTTAACAAGGCTAAATTCGCCTCTACCCAATGAACTACGTTTGGCCAATACCATAGACTCCCTTTCGCATAGACACTCGTCACAAGGCCATTAGCAGCGTAGGCCGTCGCTGTGAATGGGGTTGCAAAGCCGCCTCTGAATTCATCGGGGAGCTGTACTGGATCTACGGCGAAGCGGCTGTAAGAAAATGGGGTTTTATCAACTAACTCTATGGAGGGTAGGTACAGAGAGTTACCTGGAGCAACACTTTGCGCTACTAATGGTTCTGCCATTAAGAAGCTCGGAGCCGTGCGAATAGCTCTATAGAAACTTGGTCAAACACCGGGACTGTATTCATAGATCTCAAAAATGCGTGAATCCCACTCTACCGGTTGGTAACAGGCGAAGTTGGTAATGCTAAAATCCTCCGGTTGACTCCAAATCGCGTTGCCGGCGCCGAAATCCCCGTAGTTCACCCAGAGGGTCGAACACCAGGTAAAGACAGTTGTGAGGGCATGCAAGGCAATGTCAGACATCATGGGTGTTGGTGAGCTGCTGGCTGTGTCGTATCCAGAAGAAGAGATTCCTAGGCAAGGAAGGTGGGGGGTTACTTTCAGCTCCTCAGATTGTCAATAGTTCGGTGATAATCACTGATTGTGCAACCCATACACTGGCCGTGACGAAACTCTTGCACTGGTATTTGTTTCAAGCCTCGTTCTCAATCAAGAGATGACGCAACCTTGACAAGACAAAAGCAAAGTCAAGAATTGAGGGATAACAGTCACGTGCGCATATAAGATAATAAGCTTTTTCATTTCGGGAATGCCACAGTAGCCCATTCACCATCCTACACTGGGAATGGCGCCGAGTGGATCGGGAGCTTGATCCTAAAAACCAGAGCCTGGTTGTCAAGATTGAAGCCACTTGCATCCTTATACGGACTCTGTCCGAAATTCAAAAAGCCATCCTGGGTAATGAAATCGTTATCAGATAAACTGAAGACGAACCATTCGTCATCATCGCCATGCTTCCCGTCAACAGGCACCATTCCAATACTCTCCCACTTCTCATTCAATAGGAATTGATCCTGCACACCGCCGTTGTGGACGCCAAAGCGGTTAAGCTGTGCATTGATATTGAAATCGATGAAGGAGCAGTACTCGGCTGGAGTAATGCCAGTGTTGAGAACACCGTTTGCATCTGCGATGGCGCATGTAGAGCAATCATGCTGGCCTTTGATGTTGGTTGCGAGGTCGACGTTGAAGATGTCGATGTGGCGGTAGACGGAGGTTGGGCTGGCTTGTCCATGACCAGCACCGGAGTCTCGTGCGAGGATGAAAAAGGATCCATCTTGGATATGGAAGATCTCAGACTCGGCCGCAACTTTAGTATGTGCTGCGTTTTGGAATGGGAGGGGAACTACGTATTCACGGGCGAAGCGTGGTGAGGAGGAGACGGTGATGTCGTACTTCAAAAGACGGATATAGCGACGACCTGTAGCCTTAAGTCCACCTTCTTGATTGTCTGCTGCTTGGAGAGCAACGAATAATGTCTTTCTATCTCCACTCAATGTCATTCCCTCGAAACCCTTATTGTTATCGCGACCAGTGGGGTTGTCAGCTGGAATAACACCATTCCCGAACCCAGGAGGACCAGGGAAGAGGTACGGCGAGTTAGCCGAGAACGACTCGGTTCCATTCCGCATAGGAATGACTGGGTATGTTAGCACAGAAGATATGTCAGGGGAGAAAACTTACTCGCATCTACGGGTCTGATAGCTGTGATCATCTTTCCATTTGGCTTGAATTGGTAAACGTATGGCCCATACTCATCGCTAATCCAGAAAGTTCCGTCGTTGCCAAGTGCAAGACCTTCACCATCGATGGTGATTGCTCGCTGAATAGTATTCCCGTTACCCCATCCATCACCAAGAAACGTAGCTCCAGGAAGGGGAGGGAATCCAGGATAGGAAATGTGGCCAGTGGGATCGGCATCAAGTCCTGTACATGGAGTCTTCCCATCCGGCCCATAGAGAAGGGTGGTATCCATGTACGTGAAGACAAGATTAGGGCCGGAGGGAGCTGCGACGGTAGCGCTGGGCTTAGGTGTAAATGTAATCCCGAATTTGTGGATCCGGGGCTGGTAGTTTATGGTGCCCTGAGTATTCCTGTTTCCCGTTAGCGTGGTTCATTGGAATGGAAAGCTTGTACTGGCTTTGCATTGCGCACATGCAATGCAAAGCGATTCAGGATTTGGGGACCTGCCATCCTCTATCTGGGAGAGCGTATAGAACACCCTTGTAGCTTCCATCCTTGTTCTTCTCCCACATGGATCTGTCGAGAGCAATGGCAGATCCGAACCCTCCTAATGTATCTCCATATTTGTCTCTGCCATTGTTTGGAACAAATCCATAACCAGCGAGTTCCTCATATGTGTAATTCTTTCCACCACACAGAGCCGTGGAGACCTGCGCAACAGCGAGGTTTACAGTACTGGCGGCCAATGCAAGGGGGAAGAAACGCATGATTGAGATTGAGGACAAGATGATGAGCACTGGAAATGTGATCTTGAGGGAAGATAATGTCGAAATTTAAACATCTCTACAGCCATTTCTGTGATGGACTCATGACAGCTGGCGTAGAGAGAGGATGCGGGGAGACGGATTGCAATGTATCACGTGGGGAGCAACGTACTTGCCTCAGCCAATTGATTGATTGCCGTGTTTAGGCCTGAACGAATTACAAATTCCACAATCTGATCGTGATTAGTTTTCTCAGACGCCTTTCAACCAAACAAATTGAGCGGGCTTGTGTGCCGTGATCTCGACGCTGATTCTTGATAGATTGGGATGCCAAGACCTTGCGGCTGCATTAAAAAAGCCACAATATTGGACGCCACAAGATACAAGTGGAAATACGAATGGTCGGGTAAAGACATATCTGAGACAAATATTCAGCTTGACGAGTCACGCGCGGCAACCATTGTAAATGTCACCAAAACCCCTCAGATCTCGCTGCGTGCATCATGCACGGTGCATGAGGCGCGTCGGAGGTTGTAAACTTGGGCTGAGCACGTGATCTCTAAGCGAAACATTAAGGGGCTCAGGGATAGAGCTTGCAACAACACTTCATCAGCTCTCCGTCAAGCTTTCATATGAGCCTGATGAACCAGATCGCCAAGACCATGTTATATTTATCCTGGTTCGTCTGCATGCTATTCCAGGCTGGAAGGTCCGAACATCAACAGGTATGCAAGGGTTGCCGGCCCTAATTCCGCAAGGAGTCATCGGTTTGAATTTCAGGATCGCGCATTTCTTAACTCAAAGTATTCAACAAATTTTCTCTGGTAAATATGACGGGATTCAATGTTGCTTCACCAGCTCAAGGCCACGTCCTCTAGCCCATCATCTCAGAACTCGACACGGATGTTTGCGCTGGTAAAAACCGAAATCATCAATCTCGCTCTCACATACCGGTCAATCTCCAGATTTGTGAAGCCCGCCATCACCCGACATACCTGGTTGGTTATTCCATTACACAGGGTCGAACTCTTCACCAGATCCTTGGGTGAGAACCCAGCGTACGGCCATGGAATGGTGATGCTTTCGAAGAGTGTGCCAATCAACATCTGGTTGGGCCAAGCCAAGATTCTCATGCACTGAATAGGGGTTCCGAGGGCTCGCTTAGGTCAGAAGCGCCCCCAGTTGCGTCACGTGACGCGTTTTCATCCAGCGCCCCCTTCAGCATCGGAGTGATTTTCTCCATCGTTTTCTAATGGATTATCAAGCTGTTGATTTCCAGTATTGACAATAATGGCATCTCCGTGATCTGTATCGGGGTCGTCCGAAGTATCGGCGGAATCATCGTCAGAATTTGCAGCAGTTCCGACCAGTCTTCTGTATAGCTGGGACGCTGGGTTCAGGAGTGAAACTCCCTTGACGTGTTCTTTGATAGTGCAATGGTTGGAAATGACGAATATCCGCTTGCGCGGGTTCCAAATTCGGTATCCAGAACTAACATAGCCAGTAAAAATGCCCCTAAAGGCTTTGGCCATGTGTTTATGCCATGAAGCTATTTCCTTGGGTATATGAACGATGCCAAGGAAACGAATATACGTAAATTAGATATATCCGGTTTAGCCCTATAGAACGCTTCGCATAAAGTCATACCAATCTTGGATAGGTGGCACCGATTATAGGCGTAAATCCTATATATAGTAGCTTCCTCCCAAAACTCATACAACAAACCCAATTATTCTAGCTTCGTATGCTCTAATTCGATAATTATACGCATACTGCGTTCAGAAACACTATTCTGTTCAGGCGTATAGGTGGTGGTTGGTTCCAAGTAAATGCCCTTTAATTTGCACTAGTTCTTAACTTGACCCGATACAAATTCTGGAGTATTATTAAGACATAGGCGTTTGATCTTATTCCTAGTTTGGATCTCAGAGAAGGTTACCTGATCTTGGAGGTTCGTAAAATAGCTCTTTTTGTCCGAATTATAGGCTACCATATAATATTTGGACCCCTTGCAAGTAATAAATAGCATATAAGTATTTCCGCTAAGGGAAGCTACCCTTAATGGCCCCCACATATCAATTACAATATACTCCCCTAAAAGCAGTTTTTCAAGGTATAAATCGGTTATACTAGCCCTAGTAATCTTGCCTATATTACAGGAATTACAATCGAACGGGGTTTAATTTTTGAATTAGAGTCCATTAATATGGTTTACCGATTCCAAGATATATTTCGCATTTAGGTGACCATATCTCTGGTGCCAGGTTTTCAGGGAGGCTAGTATATCCGATTTTGGCGATTTTAGGGCACGCCCTGAACCAAATTGGTCAAGCTAATATAACCCTGTAGAGGAGTTATATGTACCAGTTGCTATAGTCGTTCCATCATCAATAATATAAGCTTTCCCAATGGAAAATTGACGCTTCCTCCAGCTTGAGTAATTTTGGGAATCGATAATAACGACGTATTTCGGAATTGGGGGCTATATAGTACGTTATTCAGCTGTACTTTTAGCTCAGGGGTAGTCGACAAAATAATGGCTCCCTTTCTCATACCGTCGGCAAGCATCCTGAACCATAAGAATATCGGAGCTGTAGCTGTCGAACTGGTACACTAGCCTGGCTAGCCTACCATTCCTTCCAGCACCAGGTTTAACCACTAATTTAGTCTTCTCCACTCTCATATATAATGCATTACTTACGGAGCTTATTAAATGCTCACTAATATATATTCAATTGCTTTATTAGCTAATTTATAATATATAGGAGAACACGTGCTTGGAACACTGATGTCGCTAAAGGCTAATGGGGATAAGAATAAGGTTTTGCAGTCCATTCTCTCCCTTTTTACACTTTACTCTGCCTGAATTTCAGTCATTTAGGCCTTGTCAGCCATCAATATTATCGTCTTTGCACCTCCATATTGCTCGCATTTCACTAAAAGTTCCCACAGAGAATTACCTCCAGCTTTCTCTTGATGACCCTCTTCGCCCAGGAGTTCTTGGCCTAGGGCAGACAAGAGCAGTGTTGATCATATATTTCTGGTTCGTATACAGCTACAGCACATATCTGGCAGGGGGCCTGTTGGCGGACTGTTGGCTCGGCCGTCGCAAAACGATCCAGGTCGGATTCCTGTAGGTTCACCAGCGGTCTGGCTCAGCCTGTAGATAGAGAATAATGGTTCAGAAACTTCAGAATATACGTGTAAGGACTCAGTATCGTCGCTGCTACAGCTTTGGCGCAGTGAAGTTACGGCACCTGCGGCCTCCCTGGCTTCATAATTGGCATGCTTCTCGTCGGCGTTAGCACAGGAACTGTGAAACCCAATATAACAGTATTCTTGAGTAGGCATTGGGAGCTGGATGATTTGATCTTCACAGGTGCTGATTATCAACAGTTGACTAATCCCCTGAAGAGGAACCCAAAGTCGTGGATTTGAAGAATTGGAAGTCAGCGATAGTGAGCCGCGAACTCATAATTCTGTTTATATATAACGTAAATTACTGGCATGTTTTCTCTCGAGCTTGCCGCGCCGGGGACTTGCTGATAGATGATCAAACAGGATGATCAATATCGGAGGTTTGTACGGCATTATAACAACTAACGTAGAGAGGTACGCCTATGCCGACTTTGGGTTTGCCTTTCTTATCTGCCTTTGCTTGATTACCGCATCTGCAGCAATCTTCCAAGCCAGATACACGGAATTCGGTGAGCGATCCGTTGCCCTCTAACAAATATGATGCGTCCGCTGTTAATCAATTCTTAGAAACGGCAACACCGTCTGGAAACATTGTTCAGTGCATTGCGTCGCCGCCGAAACCCGGCCCATCCCAGGCCAGATCAGACAGAAGTTGCAATTCAATCGTCTGCTCGAGAGGACGGCTCTGCAACTCCAAGTAAAGACGAGGCCATAATAGCTGATGCAAAGTCCGCCCTCCGAGCTTGTTTAGTCTTGTAAGATATTCCTCACATAAAATCAGCACATGAGGACCGCAAATAATTCTGGGGTCATTACATAATTGAAAACTGCGATCGGGGTCCCAGTATACATTGAGCAAGGGGGGAAATTTCTGTAGAATAAGAGTCAAAAGATTGTAGGGAATTTTAAATGCATTTGAAAAGATAATAGAAACGGCCAGTTGATATTCTGTTACTTGAGTAATCACTCGGTTCCTTTATGTGTTTTGTATCTTGCTTAATGTGCCTTTATCCGCCAGTCTCCAGACTTCACCTTACTTGCGGGCCACGTTCTGTTTCTACTGCCTTGTGAAATTTGGAGTTGCAGTCGTTCCTTGGAATTCTGAATTGCGCAAGGACTAGCCGTCACAAGATCCTATCGATTTCACAGGTCTGTATCTGACGTAGCTTCGTTCCACCATTGTTCACATACATGTTATCCACTAGACTTGGGTGCTAAGTGTTAATATTACTTATTCTCCGCAACTAAGGAGATGCTGGGAGGTTATCTAGGACCCATTTCACACCATCAACAATAATTTCCGGCTGAGTCATTTGGACAAAGTGTCCACTCTCGGTGGCGAAAACAAGCTCGCTCTTGGTAGAAAGTTTCAAGAATTCCTTCATGAGATCCTCATTCTTCGCATCGACCGTCTTGATCAACTCTCTCACATGGCTCCTCTGCTCCTCGGTCCCGTTCCCTTTAGCAACGCCCACCTTGTACAATCCACTCCAATCTCTGCTTCGTGTGCCCCCAATCACATAAACCGGTTTGTCTCCAACCAGTGGCTGCTTCTTATCCAGCTCCTTCTTCCGCAGCGTCTCGAAACTTGGCATGTAGTTCTCGTCCTCCTTGCGCTCAATCAGCTTGAACTTCTCAGTTGTTTCCGCCGCCCTGAACGCGTCCCACTCCTCCTGCGTCAACTTGTGCTCCGCCTCCACCCCCCAGGCAGAGTATGGCTCAACACCCGCAGCAACAGTCCAGAGAATTGGATCGTTCACGTCCATCACCAGTGGCGCTGTCTCATGGTTGACGTCCACAAACACCAAACCGGCGATTTGGTCAGTTCCCTTTAGGGCGATGTACTCGTGCGTAAGCACGCCGGCCCAGGAGTGCCCCACAAGGATCAGAGGGTTTGGGATGGGCGCCTTTTCGATCAGAAGAGAGAGCTCCAGAGCAACGTTCTCGGCCGAGGGAGCGAGAGGCGAGCACTCCGAGTTGTGATAGCCGGAACGGTCGTAGGTGTAGCTTCGCAGCGAGGGACCCAGCAGCCGCACCACGGCTTGCCAATTGAGGGCATCGCTTGCCACACCCTAGATAAATAGTACGACGGGATCTTTGGGGCTGCTGGGCTCTGCGCCATGAGTGTAGAGAGCCAGAGAGTGAGTGTCGATGTTGACGAGGCGGCCGTTCGAAGGGAGGGTTGAGGAAGCCATTGTGGGGTGGTTTTATGAGTTCTTAAGGTTTGTATATTTCTGATGAGTGGTATTCAAGGCCGTTCACCAGCCGAACCAGTTGCAATATATCGCGGTATGAAGTGGCAGAGTGATAGAGGGGTAAAGTGATGGAGGGGCAGAGAGTCTTTGAGAGGGAGGAACGCAAGAGGATCGCCAGTTGGCGCTTCAGCTGGGTAATTTACCTCCAAACCCCTGAGACCTCATTGACCACAAGGCAGATTTCGGCCCCATCAATGTAATCCCTGCAACCGAGCTACATATCCAACCAGAAGTGGCATCCAACACGAAACCAACATTTCGGGAAAATGTATGAAAGTTTCGGCAGGTTGAATACTTATCTATGTACCTCTCAGAATCCACTTTCAGACCCGTACGTTCGGCACCACACACACTCGATATTTTCAAAGGCTCTGATCCCATATATGTCCAAGGTGGCTCGTAAACACCAATAGCTCGTAAGCCCACCACTCACAACGCATGACTCTTCCTCGCATCATCTTCCGTTAACCCACCATGTGCCTGTGATATCGATTGTGGCGATCTCTGGGGCGACGGCTGACCCGGTAAAGCCTGCCCTCTCCCATTCCCCGGATGGCTCAAAATCGGCGCTTGAGGCGCCGCCCATCCTGTCCCTCCGACAGGATTTATGCCGAAACTATTGATATCTTTCTTATCACTCGGATACGGATATTCTTGCCCTCCTGTAGTAGCACCCATCTCGATCCTCTCTCCGGTAGGAGCCTCCGGCTCGATTTTCTTATCTCGAGGCCACTGCCCACCTTGCTTGATACTGGGTCCATCCGTAGCGGATACGGGAGATGTATAGGTGCTTGAGTAAAGGCTGAAATAGGCTTTTCCGAACCCACCTCCTTACGAAACCACCGCTGGAAATTTCAAAAGACCTCCGAAATGATTTGGTCCACTTATAATTGAGAAGACAACGCTGGATTTTCTTTAGCTAAACTGAACTTGTCTCTTTGAGGGAGCGGCACATCCTTTGACTGACGTCTTCGTGCTCATGCGCTGCTCGTTATCGAAACCTGAAGTACGAACTAAGATTTACAATTTGCTAGGAACAATAATCGAAACAGGCATATATGGCACACCCAAATGCTCAAAAATCTGATCCCACCTATCATTTCCAAACCAGGCTTTCCTCTTCTCATCACTATTCACACCCACAATCCACGGCGCACCAAAGGCCCCAGCGCTCGCCGTCTGATCAATAACCCTCTTCTTATTCTCTGGCGTCACTGCGCTCTTCAGAATCTCTTCCAGCTCCGCTTGGCTAAAAATTCCGTCAAGAGCTTTGATGATTCCTTCCGGGGTAGAGACATTTATCCCTTTGCTCCAGTATCCAGACACCAGAGACTGGAATGCAGCTTCAAACTTATCATCGGGGTAGTGATCCTTGATCCAGGTCGCTACACGCACTGGCTGTTTTCAACATCTGTCAATCACACTTCCACTCCCCAAACCAGTCCCGATGCACTTACGAACAACGAAAGAATAGGAAAATCTTTCGGTGGCACGATCTTAAGTCCTAACAGACGTCCCGTGGTTTCACTATCCTGCTTCGAGAACTCCTCTTTCCATTTCGGTGTCGGTGTCCACGGATTTCCAACGCTTTCACGTGCGCCACCCAGGAAGAAGGGGATAATGTCTACAGAAACGCCATGGGCGTTGAGCAGCGGTCGATATTTAATGGTGTTGGTGAACCCAAACCAGGAGTACGGAGATACTGAAGCTGTTAATTGTGGAACGGGAATGGGCGAAGTGAGGGGACGAACCGCAGTCCACGTAGACGTTGAGCTTTCCGCCCTTTGGTCGGACCATAGCTGCAAGATTTGCGAGGATCAGTAATGATATTTTGGCTTACTTTTGCTTCCTTAACATATCTATCAATAAAGAGATGGTGTACATGAGAAAATGAAATGAACAGTGTCGTGGAACCTAATGCTGATGCTGGCTGACTTGCCGAGGTGCCGGCTCTCTGAATAGTAATCACTTACTTACGTCCGGAACATTTCCCCACAACCCCCAGATTTTGAGTTTCGGCTTCAAGAAATGATTTGGGCGTGCACAGTAAGCACGAAAAGCAAATATTATTAGGATTGAATTTCGCATTGATGCTGTTCTCGGGGTGATTTCGAGAATTGAAAGGCCCGAATGGTTTTATTTAACGGAGCCAACCATTGGGCCCACCAAGCCGGGATGTAGCACTTGAGACAACTGATAGAACTAAGAGATGCCTAAAAGTGTTCAGTAATCTGGAGAAGTGGTTATGCTTACTTCGGGATGAGGATAACCACCAGGACCGAATTAGCTTCGAGCTACCCCAGACCTGGCTTATTCGACCTTTCTCCCAATTTGGTGAAGCTTAATAGATGATTACTTACATAACTCAGCCCACCATGCCCTGCTATCCTTTGATCCTAAAACTTCTTATAGATTCATTTGACCACAGACCTAGGGAGTCGATGCTCCTTCCTCCGTCCAGCGTTTTGCAAATATGCCTACCCACTCCCCTCATCCTCCGATTTCAATCCCGCCAGTTGATATCTGGTCATTCCTATTCGAACAGACAGATCAAGAATATCCTGAAGACCATGGTGGGACTCTCTCTGTACACTTTGAGAGTTTCTGTAAATGTGCTGACATCTCCTACAGTAATCTTCTCAGACCTCGCAACCCAAAAGCAACACACCTTGCACTCTCTCCGCACCACCTCGGCCTCTCTCGGGCCAGGGCTGCTCACGCAATGGAACTGGCAAAAAGGGGACGTGATGGCGTTGTTTACACCGAACAGTGCAGATATCGCAACAATCACTTTCGGAACTCTTTGGGCTGGCGGCGTGGTCTGCCCGATGAACAATCTGTACACAGTTGGCGAATTAGCATCGTTGCTGAAATCCTCTGGTGCTAAAGGTTTGACAACGCATTTAAATTGTCTTGAGGTAGCGAGGGAGGCGGCTTTGATTGTTGGATTGCCCCTGAACCGGATAATTCTGATTGGGGAGTCGGACCCAAAGGGAAGAGTCAAGCATTTCTCGTATTTGATAACCGAGGAAGGAAGCATTGATGGTGAAAAGAAAGCTATGGTTAATCCAAAAGAAGACCTAGCGTTCTTGGTGTATAGTTCAGGGACAACGGGGCTTCCGAAGGGTGTCATGTTGAGCCACGAGAACATCGTTGCGAACATCTTGCAGAGCTGTACTCCAGATCGAGAGATGCTGGATTGGAAGAATGATTCGATGATCTCTTTCTTGCCTATGTTTCATATTTATGGTGAGCCCAACCCGCTCCCTTTTGGGGGATCTTTCATGTTTTGGAAAAATGCGAACTCACTGGAACAAAACCTAGGTCTCCACGCCATGATCTTCATCCCCCTCTACCGAGGACTTACAATGCATATCATGCAGCAATTCAATCTGAACCAACTATGTTCAACTATCCAAGCAAGCGCAATCACTGTCGCATACGTTGTACCACCAGTGGTTCTTCTTCTAGCCAAGAGCCCCGTCGTGGACAAATACGACCTCAGTTCTCTCCGAATGATGCACTCTGCAGCCGCACCCCTCTCAGACGACTTAATCAATATGTTTTACAAAAGATTGAAGGTGCCAATCAAGCAATCATACGGCATGTCAGAAGCATCTCCTGCAATCAGTAGCCAGGTACATCCTCCCCTCTTTCCCACGATTAGAAGTTGCTAACAGGTGGCTCAGAGCTGGGCAGACTGGAACAACCCCACCGGCTCAGTCGGTAAACCTCTGCCTTCTATGAGCATCAAAGTCATGGATGGCACCTGCGAAGTCTCGAGAGGCAAGGAAGGCGAAATCTGGATGCGTGGGCCAAACGTGTTTAAAGGCTACTACCAGAACCCTCAGGCTACCTCAGAGTCCATGAGTGAGGGCTGGTTCCGTAGTGGTGACATCGGGTATATCGACAAGGAGGGAAATGTGTTCCTGACGGATCGGTACAAGGAGTTGATCAAATATAATGGGTTTCAGGTTGCGCCGGCGCAGCTTGAGGGGTTGCTTTTGGGGCATCCGGCGGTGGCGGATGTGGCTGTTGTGGGGGTTTATAGCCGGGAGAGGGAGACGGAATTACCGAGGGCGTATGTGGTGGTTGCTAAGGGGCATTATGCTGGGAAGGAGCTGGAGAGGGAGGTCTGTGAGTGGTTGCATAAGAAGGTGGCTCCGCACAAGCGGTTGCGTGGGGGCATTAGATTCATTGATGCGATCCCGAAGAGTGCTGCAGGGAAGGTATTGAGACGAGTGCTAGCTGAGCAAGCTAAGAATGAGGAGGATGACAAGAGGATGAAGCCCAAGCTTTAAACTGAAAACTGGATGAACTCTCATCCCCACCCTCTTCATCTAGTTCCAATACCAACGGCGGTTCCCCTCTACTCTTCCTCCAATGGTTCGTAGTCGCAAGCAGTTCTTTGCACCCCACAATGTATTTCCTATACTTCCTCGCAAACGCCTCTTCCACCTCCCAACTCGACTGCAACCATGGTTCCCCCCAAGCAATCAACCCCGTCCTGGAATTCAGTCCCCACTCCCTCGTACTATAACAACTCTCCACCCCATACAATAAATCCAAACAATACTGCTCAATCGGATACGTCGCCCCATACCTAATCCTATTATCCCTAAACTCGGGGAACGGAAAGCAGTCAACCTCGGGATGATGCGGAGTTGTCATCTGTAATTCCGTCGGCTGGAGCATGGGAGGCAAAGCGTCGATCTTGATCTCTGCTCTTTTCTGAGGGTCTGCGAAGGGGGATTCTTGGTCCAGACTCATGTCATCCGGATCCAGATTCAGGATGAAGACATTTTGCATTAGTGCGCGCACGAGATTGAAGTGCAATAGTGTAAGTAGCTTTGGGTCTGATGGCAGTGGAGTTTGGAGGAAAGACCCGAAGTTGGGCGCCGATATGACATGCCTCCTTTTGTAAGGATTCATGCATCTCTGGAGGGCATTCCACTCTGGACGCTCGACTGGGAAGCGGCAGTAATCAAAGTACCACTGTTGTTCCAGCGCGGTCGCGCGTTGGATGATGGCTGTGTACTTTGAGGCAGCAGCTTCTTTTACTTGCAGCTTTCTTCTCCCTTGGATACGTCAGAACCTAGTGGAAGATGGGGGCAGGGGTACACATACGAGCAGCTCTTTGATTCAAGCGGTTTTGAAGCTTCCTCCTCAGTGCGCTACTGGTTTTCCCAGTCCAGTCTTCATTGCTGTCTCTGATCTCCAATCTTTGGGACATGGGAAGGAATTCAACCACCGGGAGGGCCAGATTGCTGGGTCCGTTTTCCGGGGCAGAGGTTTGGTGGGTCATCACGGCCCCTCGAGACATCATAACGTGCGCCATGGCAATGAAGAAAGTGGTGAAGAGAATGCAACATGCTGACGGCCAAGTTTGGTGGGGCGATATATATTTGATCTCTCGAGGTAAGCTGACGAAGGAGAGTTGCAGCTGCAGCTCAGGGCTGAAGGACTTCTGACCACACTCATGCAACCTTCTGACAAGCTAGCCCGAAGCGGAGCAAGGTCAACTTCCCCTGTCTCTATCTCAACATCCACTTTATCGGTGACGAAACATTATCAGTTTCGTCGTCAAGTCTATCTCAAGTTATTAGCTGCTAACAAATTAGAGGAGTGAAATCGACTGTATAGTAAGCCAACCACCCGCCCAGAAATAACGGGTGAGCCCTTCAGGCTGTAGCGGATTTACAACAGCCGAGCTTCCAACCCAGTGGAAATCATATACTTGTATGTGGTATTTTGGAGGAAGGACTAGAAGCAAAACTAGAGGTGTAATATAACGATACTCGTCGGATATCAATATGTTGAGAAGGATTAATTATTAAGCCTTTATGAAGTGAGTTAGTAAACAATTACATTAATCTTATTCCTAATATTATTCCTTAGCTCATTTTAATAATGCGTGGAATAAAATACCACTGGTCTATGCTTATAGTTGTATCTCCTTTTGTTTGCGATTATGCTTGCCATTCTATTTGCTTTTCTACTTCCTATGATCCATGCTCGGATGCTGTGATCGTTGTGTGAATCTGACGACGTGCTCTCTTGCAACTCTACTATTAACAAGTAGGAGCCATCCACAACCAGAGGCAAAGCCTCCTTCTATACCTCTCATTTTTGTGCCCGTCGTCCAACTACAGCTCCATCTATCCAAACGCCGTGCGACCAACTCCTATCAATTCGCATCTTCTTTCACGTGGAATGTGACCAAAGTAGCAGGTTGTCCCGAGCCGAGGCCTTGCAGTATCTTCAGAGAAGCCCATGATTTTGCAAAGACTGAAGCAGGGACCAGGTTCGGGTCGATGTTCAGAATGAAGTTCGGGTGCTCCCAAGTCAAAAGAGCAGCTGCCAATTCAGTGAGATAATTATCTCCATCCGCATGCTCGTCGGCAATGTTGCAAAATGAGCAAAACTCCTGCCTCACTACACTCCCGCCACTCAGTAGACGGGAATACATGATATCCATAGCTTGGTTCTGCAACTTAGGGATCAATACTCGATCAGCAAGGATCCATAGATGAGCCAGAGTCGGCAGGTCAGGCTGCTCTCCGCTGGCACCAAGGATAACCTGATTGTAAAGCCAGTTCACGAACAATCCAAAGGCGTTGAGATCCATGTCTATGGTCATCTCTTGAGTAATTCCTTCCTTGAAATTGCTATTGAAAGCAGCGGAAAAGAAAGGGGAGTGATGGCAGATCAAGTGTTTGTGGATGACAAACTTTGGAGTTTCTGGTTCGGAGGTGGTTTGCGTGGTAAGGGAGCCGCTGGCGCTGGCTGGACTAGGGAGGGGCTCTCGTGCTACTTTCTCTTGGGAGTCAGACGATTTCTGTGCTGTGATGTAGATTGCTACGGTTGTTTGAGGCTCGCAAAAGCTCACGACTGGGGCCTTGTCGCCGGAAGGTAGCGCTGTCGCCATCGTGTTGATGACTGAATGAATCGAGTCGAGTATGTTGTCAATGTAAAAGGTTAAGCTGGCAGAATATTGTTTTGTGGGTTGTGGTTGAATGGACAAGGTTTTCTTTCGATCCATTTCCTGGAGATATACCTGCGAGCGAGAGACGGTCCAAACCTGCGCTGTTCTAGATATCGCAGCTTTAAATTTTTCATGGTCTATTGGTTACGAAAACTAAAGTTAGCAAATGGTCCCATAAGAGGAAAGAACAACCGAACAGTACTTCAAGAAGAGGGTTATTGTTTATAGGGGAAATTCGAAGGTTCACTTGGATATAGTGTTCCTTAGACTATTCAATTGACAATACAACCTCTCTTCATGTAGTCCAAGGGTTCAAGCTCTTCGTTCATTTTCAAGCTTAATTTTTGCCAGAGTTATACTAGATTTAAGATAGTGGACTCAATCAATACCGCGATATTTACTATTTTCTGGTGTCAGACTTAGCCGGCATCTGCCTCTCAACTGCACAGCGCTCTACCGCCTCAACGCTCACGCCTACACAACCTCGTAATCCATCTCTTCCGCCGAATCTGCCGTCACCTCCATCCAAGAATCCTACCCTCACCCTTCCCGATCCCTCTCTTTTTCTTCCTCTTCCTCCAAAGGTGGAGGAACCGTCTTCTACATCGTGATGGATTTCCCCGACCTTTCGAACATAGAACCCGCCGCTGATGGCTTCCTCTTCTAGACACCGCGCCACGCCGCTTCCAGACAGCGTGTACTGGTCTGACTTGAACCTTGAGAAGGAGAGGGGGACGGGAGAGAGGGTTTGGGGTGTTTGTGAGGAGTTGGTGAAGGAGTTTAGATAGACTTGCTTGTGTACCTGGGTGTACAGAGCTCCAAACTTCGAATAATGGTAGGATGGGAAATACACCATCTCCATTCGGACCTTTGAAAAAGCGAAGAAGAAGAACAAACCCAGATATGTATATATCCCCAACGCTCACCAACCCCAATCTATAAACCCAGAAAACCCAGCCCCTCAAACCCACTTATCCCCCCAATATCGCCCATACAGGCATCACCAACTAAGCAACCGAACAACCCATCCCCCAGCTAGCCTCTGATCCTTTCGTCCTCCCACCTTGCGAACGAACCACCATCTCATTTTCATTCCCCACCCCGCCAGCACCAACCCCACCCACCGGCTACAAATTCTGATAAAACCGTTACGCTGACCCTCCCCGCCATCTCTCTCCCCTCGATCCCGCCCGCACTGGCACTTCCCCGCCCCCCACAAACCTGACTTCCATCCCCGGGACAAGGAGAATTGCAGATTTCGTGTCCTTGCATATGGGTCTGGGACCCGGAGGAAGGAGGAAGCGTGTTGCTGCAGAGACAGGTTGTACCATGCAACCCTGCGAACGCGTAGTGGCGGCAGAATTGCAGGCAGGAGGTGAGGCTCGTGTCGGGGTTTGTGACGTTGGTGCAGGGGGCGGGGAAAGAGGTGGAGGGTTTGCAGCCTAGGTGTTTGAAGCTTAGAAGGGTGTCTGGGGTGGTGGGCGAGAGGATGGGCGAGGTGAGGACTGGGTGGTGGTTTGGGTTTGTGTTTGGGCTTGGGCTTGAGGGGGAGAATGGTGGTGCTATGGGTGTGGGAGAGCTTGAGGTTTGGTGTTTGGATGTCGATGCTGGCTTTGATGAGGAGAGGTGTGAAGTAGTCGCTGACTTCTTAGTTGAGGTTGAGGATGAGAGTTTCGTGCTCGTGCTGCTTGTACGTTTGCTTGAGGACGAAGAGGCTGGTTTCGAAGTTGAACTCGTTTTCTTGAGTGATGAAGTCGTGCTTGTGGTCTTTGGAGTGGATGATGCCTTTTTGGTAGATGAGCTCGATAGCTTAGATGACGGAGTCGAAGTCGTCGAAGGAGTAGAACGTGAAGCACTTTTAGACGAAGAAGTTGTACTCTTACTCGTCGTCGGCGCAAATCCCAAAGTATACACCTCAACGTAATTAATTCCCCAGTACGACTCTTCAAAAGCTGTCGGATTTTTTGCAACGAAATCCACACATCCATTCCCATCAAGCGGGGCACAAGAAGCATCATAAGGCCACACAGCACCGGCCCAGTGCCCACAAAATGTGTTATCAAATACCAACTGTAGGTTGCTGAAATGAGTTTGCACGTCACAGCCCACAAAATTAGCTTGTGGCACTCCCCATGTCGCTGGATCTTGCAGGTTTGATGGGATACTGTTGCGAGGGAAGAACCAGATTAAAACAGAGGTGGGAGTTATTTGAGTGGCGTAGACGCCACCACCTGCCTTGTTGAAACCTGAGCCTAGAAGATTTGTCCGGTCAGTGTTTATTTATTCTCCTGAAGGGTAATATTTGGAGTGGAGCGTGCGAGGTAGGAACAATTCCGAGAAATCACAAGACATACCATACGAACGCGAGTCGCCAGACGTCACCCCACATCCTGAGTTATAGTTTACGCTCGTATCGCAGTTTGTTGTTGTGCGGCTGCCCGACTCCCAAGAACCCGAGTTTACCACGCAACCTGGTGATCTAGCAGTTCGTCATTAGTCTCCTTTCTTTTCCCACGTCCAAGGACACTTACGTATGCAGCGACATGAGGTTTTTCGTGTTGCTATTAACCCCTGTTCTCTCCATCAGCTCCCACTCTCCAATTCCTCCAAAGCAGCCTCTTTGCAACAACATAAAAAATCTTACCTTCAATAATATCAATCTCCCCACCCCAAGGCCAGTTGGGGCCAAGCAACCACATTGCAGGCCAGGCCCCACACTGCCCCCCGGGAGCATGCGCCAAATCAACCACAACCAGGCTCCCCGTCCCCCAACTCTTCTTGCTACTAATCCTTACGCTATCCCTTCCAACTCCAGCATAAGGGTTAAGGACATTCATGTAATCGACGCCGATGTAGACGCTTCCGTCTGGGGGATGTCGAGTCAGGCCCCATTGGGAGGCGAAGGGCGCAGTGACATATCTGGGACGTATTAGGTAGGGGAGAGGGAAGAGTGAGGGAGAAGGGGAAAGGGGGAGAGGTACGTTACGAATCCGTTGGTTGGGTCGTGGCCCTATGGTTTGGTCAATGCAAGCCATCAATTTGGCATATTCGATGGGCTTAGTGATTTCTGAAGCAAGCAAGTGTGGTGTGAATTGCGGGAGATGGGGGGTGGCTCACAGTGAAGAAATTAAAGTTATCGAAAAACGTCGCCCCCGAAAATCGGGCGTCAAGTTGATATGTCGCACTCGCGGCCGTCGAGGCGGATAAAGACAACAGAAAAAAGAGGGAACAGAAGGAGGAAGTCATTATCGCACTCGCAAATTAGCATAGAGAAGCAAGGGGAGAAAATCACTGAAATGAGAAGGGAAGGGAAGTCATCGCCAGAAGAGAAGAGACTGGGGGAATGCGTTGTATAGGTGGAGGAATGTATAACGACAATCTTTCTGAAACCTTGACCATCGGTTCAGATGTGCCGGATGTCTTGCATTAGAATTATGATGGTGGAGGTGCGGGAGTTGTGCGCAAGTCGCGCCAGCCCTCCCACCCCGAGTTTCCTCTCCATCCCCAGACGACAGCATAATGTCGTGCGAGCATTTGCCACTCTTCGACTTCGTCTAGACCTTCGAGACTATCCACTCTCTCCTTTTCCGGGGCGGGGATCCACTGCTCCCATATCTTCTCGACAGTCTCCGCTTCTTGACCCCCGCTTTCATAAGTAAAGCCATGTTCCCCAAGTCGACTTTTCTGATCCAATAGCGTTTTGTAGGATCGTAACGACGGCATTGTGATCCCCCTCGCTGCAAGATTAGCGACCATCACTTGTCCAAACGAATCATCGACCCCAATTGGCTCGTATAATACGATTCCCAAGGAAGGGACCCTGTCTACGAACCACTTTACTACATCTCGGGAATTATCCACTTCTAGGTAACAAAGACAGCATTCGGAGATAATCAACGTTGGTATGTCGGTCTTTAGACTGTGGAACTCGTGCGGTGGTTGGGTATAGGGCAGCTGTCGGAGGTCGAGTGGATGGCAGCAGTATGTTGTCTCCGATCTTCCGTTCTTGGACTGGGTGAAGCCCCAGTCTGATACTTGATTTGGTGGTGGATGTCGCGGATCCGGGAAAAGAGCCTCGTCTTCGTTAAGCTTTGATAGCAATAGATTGCCCAATACCGTCCGCCGTTTCGTTTCCGAGACGGTAGGGAAATCAAATTCGTGGTATATCAGGTTATGGTGTTTACTTTGTGATCGCAGACGAAAATATCGAGTGTCTGTACCTGCGCCAAGAGAGATGATTTGTTTCGTTTGCGGCTGGTCGGGGTCGGAATGTGAGAGGAAGGCATTTATAAGGATATCGAGGGCTGTGGTTCGTGTATAGGTGCCTGGGAAACGGATATCAGCAGAATGGTTCCACTTGCAATTGAAGCAACGCACCTCGATTTATGATGGGCAACCTGCGAGTCCCGACACCAGCGACAAAGAGGGAGGCATAGGGATCATGCAGATAGCCCAGAGTCACTGCGCTGAGCCGCGATACTGCTGCATCTGTGTCTGTAGATTGGATGTCGAGATCTTTGCGATTCCGAGCACTCCCACCAGCATTTCCATGATCCGGGTCTCCTGCAGAGCGCCCTCGGCCTCTGCCTCGACCACCTCGAGATCGTGGACCGCCTGGTAGAGATAGAAGATTCGGGATTTTTGGTGCAGACATTGGGGTGTGATGTGGGGTGGAGGGGAAAGGCTGCGAAACTGAGGAGCCTAAATCGCAAGGCTGCAGCGTACACGTGATGCACCCAAATCGTACCTGTTGCGAATTTTGCTCTTATCCTCTTACCTGTTTGGTTCGCATGTTCATGTTGCCTCAGAACGGCCGTACAACCAATGCACTCGAGATAAACAAGTTGTACAATCTTTCAGCCTCATCGTGATACGAATGCACGACGAACCAACCTTATCTGATCTCACCGCTGAAGCGGACGGCGCAGGATGCAAAACATGCCCTGCAGACGGGCTGAGCGACTTTGACAGCTCGAGTGAGCCACGCAGACGAAGAGATGAAGATTTATTACAGTATTTCTTTTTGCCGGAAATCTTGATTGCAAGTGCATCGAATTGCTTTCCTCCTTTCACAGTCCATGCCCCTATTCGATAGAGCCGAGATTGAGCATTTCGGCGCAGATGCCCTGAAGATGCCCCCCCCCCCCCCATTTTACGCCACTGCTGCAGATCCAGAACTTTGCCATCTCGTCTCTTCCTCCGTAAAGTCAAGAGGCGGAAGAACGCCCGAAGAAGCACTCCAGGAATGCTGGGCGCTGGGCCAGCTGGCCGTTTTCTTGTTCCTTTCTTCTTCTTAACAATAACGCTGTGGGCGACAGAATGCGGCATTTGGAATAGGAAAACAATTCCACGACACTCAGCATTGCCAGCAAACATCAAATGAAGCCATCAGGGTAAAAGGCAAAGCGGAAGTCAAGAGCGAATCACCAGTTCCTCAACATCGGGTGCGGCGCATGTCACTTATTGACCAATTTCTGATAAACGCGTCTGTTCGCGTGGCTGTCCACGATGTTGGCACCATAGCGCCAAGCCCTTTGACAATGTTGAGTCAGCCAGCGCAGACGTCGACTGCACGTCTTTGCTGGCAGGCACAGTCGCAGTCGCGGTCACATGAGAAGTGATCACTGGATCTCGGCTGCAGCGCAACAGCGAGTGAAGCGTGGGAGCGTGGGAGGGCGGGAGTCTCGTCTCAATGTGCAGAGACAGGGGGGGAGATGAGCTGAGGGCCCTGTCTTTATGCGAACTCCTGATTCGCTCAAGGCTCGCCCCGACGGGTTGCGGTCCTTGCAGCCCCCCCCTTTCCGTACAAGCGTCAGGAACAGAGGCGCGGGCTTAGACGCCGCATGCACCCTTTCGGCCCAAGGCGCCCCTTATTGGCCCTCGGCTAAACAAGAAAACGCCGGACCGTGATTGACGACATGGGGCGAGATTGCCAGCAATTTCCCCAGCAGCCAGCACTGTTAGCACTGTTCGTGCGCGCCGCAGCTGGTTGGCTGTGCAAAATGCGCAATCATGTTTTGGACGCTGGTTCATGGAAAGGATCGGGGGCCTGGCCTGCGCACAGTGCTTGTAAACTTTGGGAAGACCTGGGCTGCTGGGCCGCAAAGCTTCTCCTCGGCCACCTGCCCCATCCTCCCATTCTCGTCCCATCCCCCCCCCCCCCATCATACTCGTTGGTCGCTGCATCTCTTCTTTCTTACACCTTTCACAACACACTCACTTGGCTGCTTACTGCCCTCACGCTCTTTACCCGCTACTCATCGCTCACCCGCAAGTCGTTCTTTTCGATGCTGGAGGAATAGCTGATCTACAAACGTTTTCTGTCGTTCGCAGCATTAATCCTCGAATCTTGACACTTTGCGCGGGCGGAAAACATAACAAACGTGGGAGGAACACACGCGACTCAGCATCTGCGAACACGGCACGATCAGGCCGCTAACAGATCATAACGATACCCACGATGAAGCTTTTGGATATTCAGGCCGCAATTGGCACGGCCATACTCCTTCTGTGCCTGCCTTGCGATGCAAAGCACACCCATCAACTCACGCACTTGGACGGGAAAAGACACGACCACAGACACCTACACAAGACGATACAGGCCTCACCCCGAGCTGAAGGGATTGAGAATGAGTTGGGCGCTCGTTCTGGGCAATGCGCTTTCCCGGGTGGTGATGGAATGGTTGCCGTCACACCTGGATCACAGAATGCTGGCTGGGCCATGAGTCCAGATCAGCCCTGTACTCCGGGGATGTATTGCCCGTATGCATGCGAACCGGGGATGGTAATGATGCAATGGGATCCGGCAGCAACATCCTATACCTACCCACTAAATATGGTATGTTGTTTGACGTTCTCAGGAACGAGTATGGCTGACAATTCCAGCACGGCGGGCTCTACTGCGACAACAGTGGCGTGGTGCACAAACCCTTCCCCGGGAAACCTTATTGTGCTGAAGGAACCGGCACTGTCGGCGCGCAGAATACATGTGGCAAGCCTGTTTCGTTCTGCCAGACGGTTCTGCCTGGTAATGAGGCCATGTTGATCGCAACCCAGGTGGGAGGCGATTCCTGGTCACAGTTAGCAGTCCCTGGACCAGATTACTGGATCGGGTCTTCCGCTCAGTAAGTGCTTTTCTTCGATACCGAGATGTGCTCTAACGTGTAACAGTTTCTACGTGAATACTCCTGGACTTACCACTGATGAGTGCTGTCTCTGGGGGGATGGGACCAAACCTCTTGGCAACTGGGCTCCTTATGCTATCGGAGGTCAGACAACTTCCAGCGGCCAAACCTTCTACAAGATCGGATGGAACCCAAAATACATGGACGACTTCTCCCACATTACGCCAAACTTTGGCCTGAAGATCGAGTGCGCAGGGTCTGGCTGTAATGGCACACCGTGCTCCATCGATCCCTCAGCCAACGGTATCGGCGGTGTCACGAGCGCTGATCAATCAAATGGAGCAGGCGGAGCCGCCTTTTGCGTCGTCACTATTCCCTCTGGAGGAACAGCTAATATTGTCGTTTTCGAGAGCGGTAACTCCGATGCTGGATCAGGAACCCATGATTCTTCTAGCGCCGCTGCTCCAGCTCCCGCCCCGTCAACATATACTCCCGCCCCAGCCCCAAGTACAACTGAAACACCAACTACGACGTCAACCGCTGCACCCACTACCACCACCACCACCACCAGCAAAGCTGGCCACACCATCTCTCTCCTCCCATCCAGCAGTGTGAACACCACCTCGCCCACCGCAACCCCCAACTTGGGCGCCATCCTCTTCCAAAACGATACTTCCACCTCAAGCGGCGTCGTCGCGCCCAGCGGAACCTCCTATTCAACAGCGGCCCTCACATCGCCAAGCCCAATCCCAAGCACGACGAAGAAATCCGGCGCCTCAGAATCGTTTGCCTCTGGCAGCATCCTGGGCTTCGTCATCTTATTCGCTGCTGCCGGGTACCTGCTCTGAGCTCACACTACCCATTTCCACTTGACTTCTCTGTGCATACCTTCCGGCTCGGCACCGTCTCTTCTCCTTCGCCCAAACGCATCATTTACGCAATTCTAATACGTCTGGACTTACGTAATTCCTTCCTCCCGACATACTTCTCCCTCCTATACGATACCTCGAGCCTACATATATATCATGGATATAGGAGGGCCGCACCGCTTCGCTCCCGCACATACAATATCGTTATCAATACCCCATCAATCACCAACCTGGCCCCAGAATTGGCGGGTCCCTTTATATTTCCGCATATACCTTTTTGCATGTGCGCAAGCTGACAGACTTGTTAACGATTCGTTGTTTGGCTTATACCCCTTTTTTGCCCTTGCCCGCCTTAGAGCTTTAAATTCGCGTTTCTCATTTTATTTTTTTATTTTGCATTGTTGGATATGATATTTTTGATATATATTGTTTATTTTTAGTTGGTGCGTTTACCCCTGGGAGTTTTCATGTCGGGGCTACATTGGTGGAGAGATTTAGGGTGGATGGAAGGAAGGGGGTGGATTGGAGGATGGATGGATGGATGGAAGGGAGGATAAAAGAAGGAAAGAAAGGCTCGCTTGGGCCGACTTCGTTATGACGATATGAGATGAGCTGCATTTTGTGTGTGTCTATACTTCTTGGTTGGACACGAGGGGAGGGGGTTTGGAGAGATTTGGTTGGGTGTTGATATTGAGGTAGTTGAGCTGATGTCGTTGAACATACAAGTTGATTTGACATGGTTTGCATCTTGTATTGCGTGTGAGAGTCAAGGCGAGTGCCATACAACTCCAGTAATAATTGTGCATTTCTGATATCGATGGTATTTTTTTCTTTTCGCAATCCTGGTTTGGCAAGAATCGTGGCTCAGATGTTCTTCGCTCTCGCAGGCTCGTTTCTCCCTTCGCTCACCCAGAAATCCAAGCGGCGCACAAGAGTCGAATATACATCGTAATAAAAGACCCGGTGGGCCTCAGAAATGGATACCTTTGTTCATCATAACCACAATGAAGTACAATGCAAGAAGAACAAGTATAAGGTATCTCTCGAGCCTCACTAGTAAAGGCGGTGTTGCTATCTTTAGCCCGGGACATTGCGGCTGAAAGCGCGACCAGCAAAAGAAATATGCCCCTCCGCCAGGCGCCAACCCCTCTCGCTGAAACCCTCCTCCTTCTTAGCCACACCCCGTGCCTAAAGATCACCAATCCCCACACTGCGCACTACCTCTGAGAATGGGCATGGCGCTGTTGTAGACGTCCAGTTCAGCTGCGGACGCTTGTACAGTACAAAATTGCAGTCTGGGAGCCCCCTCGCAGCTCCGCCAATATTGGTCGCTGGCATGCATGGTCATCTGGGCATAGCTTCCCCAGAGAATCTGGTCCGGGATTGTGGTATGCTCTGCCCTGGTCCGCAGCTGGAGCGCTGTGCTAGAAGCACTTGGTTGTCGACATTGGGGTGTGAAGATAGGATACCGGCAGTGCTGAAGGCAATGAGGTGAAGCGGCCCCGCCGATATCAGAGTGAGAGACTTGCTAAAGTTCCGTGAGGTGCGGGACCGTCAGGCCCACGCTATTCGCGCCAACGGCCAGAGAGTATCTATGTCAGATTTGTTGTTCCTTAGTACTGCTTGCTGCTGCTGATGCCACCCGTCTATGACCTGTCTCGTGGTGCATGTTTGGTGGGTAATAAAGCACATGATGCTCCAAGATTGCCACTGATGAGCTGGATGTGAAGTTACCTGTTATCGGTGATCAAGATCGAGCGTAGAAGGGTAATTGCTGGACAAAAAACCTGACACACGCAGACCTGAATGAATATCGCAAGGGCGGCAATGAGTATAACTCCATCCCAGTTACTAAGAGTAAGAGTGGATCCATACACACTTCTTTTAGCGTAATTTGTCCAAATCCGATATAGACGGGCGCGTTTGGCGACATCCTGTTAGCCTAACGTTTTTGACTTCATATCTTCAGTCAGCAAATGTCACATTAGCAGCTCCTCGACCGAAGTCCCAACTGACAGATATTCCCAAGAGGCATGCAATGTTACGATTGGAAAAGAGGTACACAGATCTGAAGGAAGCTTCAATTCAGCTCCAGGCAGTATGGGCAAAAACTACTCAAGCTACTCAAGCTACTCTAGAGTAGTCTTGAGTAGAGTAGAGTAGAGTTTGAGTAGCGTAATATGGTACTTGAGTAAAGTAGAGTAGAGTACTACTCTAGAGTAATTTAAGAGTAGTCACGTGCAATTTATATAAATATAATAAATAAATAAGGTATCTATTAAGTAGTACTATATAATTTAAGCTAGAGCTTATATAAGGCTATTTAAATACTACTTTTCTTTTATAAAAACAGATTTTTTTCTCTCGAAATCTTTTTCTAATTTGTTTTTAAATAATTCCTAGCTTTTTAAGTAAGATATTATCTTAATAATACTCTTATTAAATCTATTATATAATTTAGATAATAAGAGTATCTTAAGAGAAAAGTTTGCCTTGAATAGCCGAGAAAGCCTAAGAATATATTAAGGTTTTATCTTACTTACTAAGCCTTGCCATTACTTAATTAAATAATATAGTGGCGCTAAACTCGGGTTACCCCGGAGCCTTATCTAATTAGGCTAATATATTATATATAATATTATATGTGGTATTACGTGTATACTAATTAATTACTCTAGAATATTCTAGAGTAGTTGAGTAAAGTATTGAGTAGAGTATAAGTAGTGAGAAATTTATTTGAGTAGAATATGAGTAGGGCCTACTACTCTACTCTACTCTACTTATTTCCCACACTGGCTCCAGGGAAATAGACAGAACGAACGCAGATATCGAACGTCGAAGAGTCCACAGAGCTCGTACTTCATAGAGACACAGGATGCGCTGTGGACCGATACTTATAATGTATTACAAGAAGCTCAACATTTTCGGACTCATGTATCAAATTCTTGCACTAATATACGACTCTCTCTTAGATACTCTCCTTTGCATACCCGTGTTTGTGTAACTCGGCACTTAAACAATCAAGCACGACAATCGCAGCACATCGAAGCAAAACGATACCCTAAATCGATAACGCTATGGTTCTTGAGGGGCAGGCTAATAGGTGTATGGGTGGATAAAGAGGGATGCGACTGGTTTCTATGATCCGCGGTCTAATACCTAGTCCCCTGGGACCAACAAGTACTAAAAATACTGCAAAATACCCCAGATACTGTGGGAGGGAAACTGCGACAAGACAAAAACCCACATAAAGTACACCAGAGCGCAAAACGTGACTTAACAGCAAAACAACAAATCAAAAGTGTAAACAGTAAAGCATAAACAGTGTACAGTGTGCAAAAGCTCAATTGGTTGAATACTCAGGAGGGATTGTTCTCTAGGACTACAGAAAAACCAGCTTTCTTATGTGATTTCCGCAAGTCACGTGCAAAAGGCCGCGGCCTTTGCCATGTGACCAAAACCTCAAAACCGCCAAAACAACATGATTTTTGGAGAGTACGGCCTGCCGTACCACAATACTCAGGTACAGGTTGATTTAAGGACGCTACGGCAACTATTTTTTTTTCTTTCTCAAAATCAAAAAACCAAGAATCGCGATTTTTTTAATAGCCACATTTTATATGGAAAACACACCTAATTATGGCCAAATACGCAATTCCCATATATTATAGTCAAATGCGCCCAGTACTATTACTCTGTCCTCGCTTTTTTAAACTGCCCCCGATTATCTCTACATTTTGATTGCCTATTTCCCGGCCTATAATTACTATCTCCTGGTAATTCCTTCCCTCCATTATTAAGATCTGAATTGTTATTGTCATTGCTTAATATAACCACTTCCCGCTTCCTCTTTAATATAGACTTCAGAGAAGGTTGAGGGGATTTAGTAAGTGGAGCAGAAGCGAAGCCTAGTAAAAACATCAGATCTACTAGTATATGAGCCCGTATCAGGCGAGAATCTTGGCCTCTCTAAAGTCCATTTCCATTTTCCGGACCTGAGCACCCGCCGGTTTACCCTGGAACTTATTTGCCTCGGGCACAATAATTGCCTTGCCTATTCTACGCCCCAGAACTAGAGCTCTTATATATAAACTTATACACACAATTATTTAGACATTATTAAAACTCTAAAATCTGTTAATAATCCTATTTAATACACGGGATAATGGGGGCAGAGGGCGTTGGGGGAGGAGGGGGGCGTATGCGATTCTAAGGCTAAATCGGTTCCTTAGTAATAAACTCGGGAAATGCCAAGCGCTAAGCCAAAAAAAAAAAAAAGATTCTGCCATCGACACCCCTAATCGACACCGGGGGGGGGAGTCGTTTTACTTTTTCCCCGGCGGCGGGATGCATCTTGGGAGGTGCGCTGGCGTCGTGAGGGGTTGCGGCCTCTGCGGCCGTCTCCTCGTCAGAACGCATGCCCAAGGCTTCGGAGTGGAGGTGCTCGTGCTCCTGGACATGGGCAGCTGGAACTCGAGATTGTATATCGTCTTGTCCCGAATCTTGGTACGTTTTAGGAAGCCTTGAAAGGGCCATTCCTGATACTCCGCGTATAGTGCCAACTCCACCGTAACCGAGGGACTCCGAGAGGTTCGCGAAGGATGGTGGTCGTCGTTAGCGACGGGTGCCGGCTCATCAGGTAGTGTCGGAGCGTTATTGGTCGAGGGAAGCCTCCGCCGTTTCGCAGGTCGTGGATCCTCCTTCGTCGCCTGTGACATGGCGCTCCTTTGACGCCCCCTAAGGCCACCCGCTAAGCCCTTTTAGGTGACCGAAGGCCCCCCTTGGCGCGACACCGAAAGCTGATCTTGAACACATCGAACACATCGGGTACTTGCGACACCGATAATCAAGATGTGATTACTACATAAATGCCTCCTTGGATCGTTTTTTATGCTTATTTTCCATGAAGCATCTCATTCAATTCATTCCATCTTTTCTCCGAAAAATGGCAGACCCTGCTGCCAGCCAGAAGCCTGAATTCCAGGTGCCAACCTACACCATCAGCTATGCTTCCGATGGCACACTTCAATTCGATCCACCGCAAGGCTCCGGAGAGCTCGCGATTGCTCTAAGTATCCATTTTCCATTGCAGAAAACCCTCGAGGAGAAGCTACGAGCAGCACAACTCTCTTTCCTGCGCAGCCAGCAGCTGCAAATGCCTGCAGCATCGCAAGAGATTCTCACCGCAGGCCCAACTGCAACATTAATTCAGCCTCAAACTCAAGGAGAGACCTCAGCTACTCGGGTCGAACAAGTTCCGCAAGATGACGCACAATTTCACCAGTTTGACTCGACCACGCAAGAATCCACAACATCTTCGCAACCAGCCAATCAGTCCAACTCGAAAAAGCGACCTAGAAAGTCGCGCGCCAAAGCGGCAACACAAGCGAAAAGCTCATTCTCGCAGAATCAGCATGTTTGGGATCTCAATTCAGGAGAAACGACACAGAAGAGGACCAGAAGAACCCTCGCAGCAGAGGAAGCGATACAGGTTGCCGCGAATCGAGGAAATATCTGTGACCATCACAGGGCGACTAGAACGAAGGTGAGTGAACAATCGCCTTGTCAAGAGATAACTTTGAGAAGATGCTGATGGTGCCAGTGTGACCCGACGAAGTGTCCTGACAACAAAATCTTCCGGCAAAGCATGCTTCCACCTCCTTCGCCGCCTTCTGATGCTTCTATTCCGAGCTTTTTGAGTAGTTCAAGCAGCTGTCACCGGAAAGAATGCGCAGCTGCAGGAACCCCTTCGCACCCCCCTGATCTTGACCACCTGGCTCCTGGTATAAGACTAGTTGCCAACCAAAACGCTGGCCCTGTGACCACGGTTAACAGACCGGAAGACGCTCGTTGGAGGGATAACTTGGGAGCGGTCGATGCATCTATCTTTCTCACGGTCTTTGAAGCTTCACCTCCTGGGTATAGCCTCGATTCCAGCTCATATCAATCCTTTCCACATATCCCTTCGCCTTCTAAGTACAACCTCGATTCCGGCTCATATGAATCCTTTCCACCCCCGCCTCCGCAACCTCGGCGTTACAATCTGGAGATAAAGGCTGATGGAGATAAGAAGAAGCAGAAAGAGGAACCAGCAGCAGCTTATCCTGGCGGCATGCCTGAAGATGATAATGGTGGAGATGATAATGGTGGAGATGGTGGTGGTGGAGGAGGATTCAGCGGCAAGCACCACGGTGGAAAAGACAGCGAAGAAAACGGGGACGGTGGTGCTTCTGGAGGAACAACTGGAAGTGGAAGCAACGGGTCGTCCTGGAACGACCCATTTTTTGGTTTCAGTGGGGAAAATGGATGGTATTCCTCAATGGTTGCAGTCTTCATGCTGGTATGGCTTGCAATGCCTAACGGCATGCGGACTTCCTTAGCGAGATTACAGTCTTTGGTCATGGAGACTCCCTCTTCGCTGGCTATTGCTCCTTTGCAAGAGGACGCACATCTTGCGGTGCACGATGGACCTGCGGGTATACCACCTCAGGTACCCAAAGGCTGCGTCATCGGCACATCTTCATCAGCAGCCTCCATTTTACTGGACGCCATCTCTAACTGGTCTTACTTTTGTCTACTAAGTTCAGCTATACTTTGACGACAGTGAATCAACGACAGAACTATTTGGCATAGGGGTCGTTTCTACCTCGCACTTTCTTTACTGTTGGTACTGCTACGGCTTTCTAAAGTTGGTAATTATAGTAGGAATCTGCAATTGGAACTTTGAAGGCCCAGGTCCCTTCACATATCTTAGCATATCGTTCATATACATGGTCAGCACTTTCAAGCTTTCTGGAACTGCGGCAAGGCCAGATGTTAGGTGATCCCATTTGTCCAACAGCCGTTTGACCTTCTCTGTATCTCCATCCGCCGCAGCCCGTGCAAGGACAATCTCATCATCGATCAAGAAAATTGACTTGGGGCACGAAGGGCAGTTAGCCCGTCTCGAAAACGGACTTAACCAAACAGGGCCTCGTGTGCCATGGACGGACACACAGAGCGGAGCGTCACACCTCCTCCCCGCTAAATATAAGTAATGGAAGTTATTTGGAAGTCTATAAGCAAAGACCTTAGATTATTATAAAATGAATAGTTATTTGAGGAGTATTACTTGCCCCTCTTTTTATTTTATTACTTTAATATAATAAGGCTAACTTAAGACGGTTTAGCGACCTTAGTATAAAGACTTTTCCGTACCACCTATATTGCGATTAGTAAAGATAGCGTTAGAATCGTCACAAGCCTCGAAATTTCGATATCTAGAGGAGAAATGTGCTATTTTCTTTAGGCTTCTCATAGCGGAAGACAAGGGTTGACTACGACCCTCTTCCGAATCGGGGGAGAGGCGCGAGCAGTTTTTCCGCATCTTGGCAGCCACGGTGTTTTCGGTTGGCCAAACCTAGCCCTAAAAGTCAATCTTGATGTCGTGAATTTGCGTACTGCTTATAGCTATAAAATTGAAACTTGGATCACTCAATTGAGCTGCTGGCAACGTAACTCTATCCCAAGATTATCTCCTTCTACATCGCTCCGGGGTCAAGGCAAGTATTGACAGCTTCTTGCAGTATTTGCCCAATCCCGCGTCTCTCTGCACCTTGAAACTCTCGTCCCACTTCAGAAACATTACCCAGTAAAAGTCCCAGCCTTGCCCCATGGGCTCCTAATCTCTTCTAGTGCCGAACCACCCATCAGATCTTTGCACTCAGACAGGATAATGAATTCTGCTCTCCTCCCTTGGCCAATTGAAACAAGCTTATCATCCAGATGAACGGATCCGACAAACTTCTCGTCCCGATGAACCATTCTTCCTCGCAAGCATTTATATTCATATTTCGAAGGGTTCTTAGCGTCAAATGAGACAACTTTGTCCACTTCGCGAATTCTAAAGTGAAGTGACAATGTCCAAAACTGGGGTCGTATGTGGTTTTTGGACAACGGAGGAGGAAGGACGACATCAGGTGATGGAACTGCCGACTTCCCCTCAAGAAGACCTGGAGAGCTTCGGCATCAGAAGTGAACGCGAGCTCGATACTGTAGTTTCTGGTCTGCAGATTCTCGAACGGGATCCCACATAGGATCATTCTTACCCGACTGAGCTACTTTCCGCCAGCGTATCCAAGTTCATTCGTTGAGCCACCACTGACCCCCCATCTACCAAATGGGTGGAATTCAGTTCACAGAGCGGTACTGGTCCGATCTAGCCAGCTTACGACTAGCTTGGGAATTCCTTTCGCCGTTTCAACGCGGCGTAGTGGCCAGTGAACAGGCAGAAGAAATCGAAAGCGCAAGCGGGAACCCCTGCGAGAAACTGGTCATCCGATCGCATTTCGAGAATACGCTGCAGTCCAGCAAAAGCATTTCGCGCTTCTTATGCAACGCTCCACCGTGTTATTGAGATACTGTTTAGGGAACCTGCGCCTAACAGGCTTGGTGCTAAGTACCACACTCCAACGAGTTGAGTGACGGTCTTTGAACTATGTAGAATGGGAGTGGAGCGATGAGGGCATTTTTGGGGTAGTTCCGGTTTGGCTAGTCATGAACGCTTACTAGAGACCGAATGTGTAACCGATTTCCCAACTTAAATCCCGCCCCTATGGAAAATCCTACTTTAAGCGAAAACTACCCCGACTTTAAAAATTAATATTGAATCAACTATAAACTATGGCTATTAAGACTCTCTCACAAGAACTATAAGACATTCGCAGAAAGGTGGAACGAAGAAGAAAGGGGATCACCTGCCAGTAGCTATCAAAGATCACCATCTTCTCCAACAACAACAACAACAACAACAACAACAACAACAACAACAACAAATATTTCCAAAGCTCACTTTCTAAGATGGCTACTATTCAATTGAACTCTAGGAATCTTGGTCTATATAACTCTCCATGCAGCTTCATATCTACATAGCGTAAAAGGTCAATCCTCGACCAGAGACAAATGAAAGGTACCGCTAGCAAAGAGTTTCTTTTCCTCTCTCTCCGTACGACACAACATAACTAACATGAGCAACAGCTCCAGACCCTATTTGAAGTAATCAATCCCCAACTCGGGATCCTATCGTCCCATCCTCCGAATATCTCAGCGCTATCGATGCCGAAAATGCGGTGCAGGGCTGCAATTTGCTGCCTCCCAACCCCGTAATACAAGATTCCACGAAGTCTATCGAAAGCAATGACATTGACAACAAATTCGTCAATATAGACGAGCTCCTTTCAGACGTGTAGTAAAGGGGCATTTTCAACAAGTAGTACAGCTGGAAAGAACGACGTCGGGGCTCGAAGTGGCAGGTCTGCTGCTTCTAGCCACTCGACAGCAGAAAGCACTCAAGATGAGCAAACTTTAATTCCAAATTTAGTTACGTATTCTTGCTCATGAATTTAGATCTGGCTATATCGAGTAAGGACGTATGCGTAGGCGTCAATTTCGAAATAAACCTGGGTAGTCTTAATGCCGACCTCGAAGCCAGAAGTAAATCTAATTCTCAACGTGTTACGGGTGAAGAGCCAGCAGATGAGAATGGCTTTGGCGCAAGTACTACACGCACATCGAGTCTGTCCGACACCAGCCATACAGACAGCGGTATTAATAACTTCTAAGGTCACGGAGCACTATCGAATTCATGAGACGAAAAAACAGCAAGCTGAACGCACACAACTTCCCTGCTGTCAACCCAACGACCAGGACCTGGCAAGCAACCACCCTTGCGGAGAATACTGTTTGCGGGCCAGCCGAAAGTTGCACGAAGCCAACGAAGTTAACGCAAAGACCACCATTTAGTTGGACGCGGCTCGAAAACTCAACGACGCCGACAATGAAATCGAACGCGATCTTAAGCTCTGTTGCGGTCGAAACTTATTCCGTGTGAGAAGGACGGAAAATGGTTCTACGGGATGGAGAGTTGTTGTATGACAAACTTCTGTTCAATTCATCCTTCGCACGAACTACTGCGCAAAAAAAATAGCCAGGTGGACTGAAAGATAAATGTGATCCTGTGATGCTACGCCTACACAATATAACTTGTGATTTTTGTTTGTTTATTCAGGAAATGAAGGATCTGCTTAACTCCTTTCTTCGGATAGGAAATTCTCATGTAGCCCTCTCGCTTGAACACCAGTGAGAGTGGATCTACTCTCGACAAACCCAGCCCAACAATATCACCGTACTCCAGTTGTGCGAAGGGTAGAAAATAGCTCGGGTAATTGTCATCAGGACCTATGTCAGGTATCCAACAACCGTGGTCCAAACTGATGCTCGGGAGGACTTGGAATGTGCAATGTTTCCCCTGAACTCGTCCATATTCACTTTCAAAGTCGTACTCAACTTTACGGAGTTCCATTGGAGTGCCAGAAACTCGAAGGGCGATTGGTCTCCCACCAGACGAAACATTCCTATTTTTAAGACACTCCACGTCTCCATCTTCCACGTCAACCTCGACGAAACGCTTAAGGATTGGGACGGATAACCGCCATATTTTACATTCGACAGACGCCCATGACCAACTTGGTGAGATACCAGTTCGATAAGACCCGCTCGATAGCGGCGTTCTTTTCCAAAGAAGCTCCGTGAATAGAAATGGCACCCAGAGCCCACCGGAGTTCTGCCAGTTGGTTCGCGCTTGTATTGCCGAGATAACGGCAGATATCGCGGCGAGCCTGTCGGACTTGAATGTCAGATTTGTCTTGAGGTACTCGCTGAATATGCGACCCCAGGCTTCACGGATTTTGACCAGCTCATCATCAGTAGCTGCTAATTTTCCTTTTGACTCGATGATTGCATTGAAGAAGTCCGATTTGATTGTGCTAAGTGGAGTAGCATGTCCTGCCCCATTGAATTCGACCTGCCTAGTCTCTCGGCACTCCCAGGCTACAGTGCGCCCGAGAATAACCGTTCTGGGTGGGAGAATTCGCTCCTGCACCACCCAACCCCTCGTATATAACGGGGGTACTCTGTAGAGAGTAGGGTGAGGGCAACCCGAATAGATGACAATCGCCTGCTTTTTAGAGGTGCGGGCCAGTTCACATTTGGCGTACATCAACGGGTCCCTGCAAGCGTATAGCCCTTCGTCACTGTGCTTAGCATCCAAAGCAGCGATCGAGATGAAACAGTTCTGATAGATGCCGTACATTGATTGAACCTCGTGCGCCATATCCTCCGTTGAGTCCTGGACGATGCACAAGGAATCGACCCAGAGCCACCTTAGGCCTAATCCGGCGGTGAAGTGAACGGCATCCTGGATCGTCTTGGGGAGTGTACTGACTGACACTCCGACTTCGAGGGTCGAGGCATTGGACCTATTCAGCTGCAGCTTGGACTTGCCACCCCAACAGTAACTCAAGGTTGCATATTTCAGGTCGGGTGGAGATAGCACAAGGACTCGAACAATACGGACGAACTGAAGCTGTTGAACGTTCTCTAGGTCGATTAGCCTGGCTGGCAGGACTCCATCTGTTGGAGTCTTACACTTGGCATGTGAAGCGCCACAACGTTTGATCCAGTTCATGGTCTGTTGCAAGACCTTATGGGATAAGGTTTTGAGCGGTAGCGATGACGTTAGAACTGGAATAGGGGTAACCAAGCCTGCCACAGGGAGTGATCCGAATGCAGCATCGCAGCACGCCTTTCGACGCAGCCAGTCTCGTATCGCACCGCCCCCTGAGTCGTGAGTGAGTATTTCCCCGCCGACCCCATTCGCAGGAATCTTCGGTGTGGATTTTGATACCTTTTTTGCTGGCGGACCATTGGTAGATGAATGCAGGGACAGGTACAGGCGATCGCCCTTGTAATTTGGATTCTTCATAGAGGCGGTAAGATACAAGAAACAGCTGGACGAGGACTTGAGGACGACTGCTAGGTCTTTGGCCTTTCTTAACGAATCTGCCAAATAGGGAAGGTGCTGTGTTCCCTGATGGCGTAGAAAGACAGTCCACAAGAGAGTGCAGAGGTGACAGCCTTGTAGGTATGAATTCTCGAGCTCGCGGCCCGATACGTGGTGATTAAATTTACGTCTAGTTCGCAGAAATCGGTCTTGCTTCAAGCGATGGAAGTTCGATTCTAACCAGGTCCGGATCTGCTGACATTGTGTACATAAGAGCGAAGTCTGCACGCTCTCATCGATCAAGCCGAGTATGTTGGTCTTGGCGATTGAGCAAAACTCTGTACAGCCGTGCACTGGGCGGGCTAGCTGAGCTAAGGTCGGAGAGTCCATTTGCACGCCCCGTCGAACATTTACGTGTACATGTATGTGTTTGGCAATCACCTCTGTTGCGCACAGCAAAGGTTTCGGTGGATAGAGGTGAAGGGGTGTCCGCATTCTGGATCACAAGATGTGGGCGACAACTGCTCCGCCCTCGAAACGAGGCGCAGGTTTCGCGAGTGCTTGGCATCGAATCTAAGAGACGAAACAACCCTCGGCACTACTAATGAACGATTTGTTTGAACAATAATCTGACATAGAAATGAACCCAATTCACCAACTTCAATAGTCTCTCACAGCCTTTCTGCAGAGAAGAATCGCACGCATGGCATTATATTAGCGAGTTGGGAAGGGGGAACAAGTGCAAGGTGGCGTGTCAGCAGCAGGATGGTTTGGAGTCAATATTTCATATCGAGATGGGGTTTGGAAGAGAGGTGTAATTTGTTATTTTGATGTTTTTCTCGACGTTTCGCCCACCGCTATTCCCCCAATAATATCTTCGGCAACAATAGTCAAGTATATTCATAATCTTCAATCTCATAAACCTAGCTTTACCACATTCAAAGGCGGCAAGGAAGATAGGGTGAAGTCACGTGAATGTGTCTGTGCCCACGTGTTAAGTGATTCGCGCTTGACGCTCAATCTCGACGCGTCTTCCAACAACCTCAACTCTCACTCTCAACATAACCCAAGCACAACCATGGCGCCATTCGACTGTGCTGAGTACAATGAGTTTATTGCATATCTTTATCGGAATTCATTGCAGGCCCGAGGAATCGACAACTGCCTGAGTCTTCCACGAATGCTCTTCACATGCCAGTCTTTTGGTGGGAACGCTTTTGACCTTCGCCGGAGGAAGCTGATGGAGCAGCTGATTGATCGTTTGGTCAAAGTTAGTACTCAAAACCGTAGACTGTATCTGAGGCTCAATAAATATAGGACAGCATGATTACTGTTCATGCCGATCCTGCTAGGGAAGGAAGGACTCTGTATAAGTGGGAAACATCGTTCTACTCTCGTGTAAATGATATTCTAAAGCCACGAAATTCGGGGTCTAGAACTGGTTGGGTGCATTTGTTTTTGCATGAAGTTTCTGATACTCACCCATCCGTTCAAAATGCGATGGAACACCTCGAACTGTTCCTCAACACGCGATCACAGGTCGACAAATGGTCTCAAACACCCCATTCGACACGTGCACAACAACGCTCTCCACCACTCTTTTCCATATCTACAACCCCAGTTATAGACAAGGTGGGCCCGGGCTTGGACATTGCATTTAACTGCTTCCTCACTGACAATGTTTGCAGCAACAAGAGCGACCCTTCCTTGCAGCCAGCCCTGCTACACCTCGAAGCTCCTTGAAACGACCAAGATCACGCAGTGACGCAAGTAGCGCTCCATCATCTGCAACTCGTCCAGTCCCGCACGACGGTCAACTCCTTCGTCGAGCCCTCAATCATGCCAATCGCTCGTTCTCGAGAGCAGTGATCGATCGAAAAGACTTCGAATAGATGATACGATCGTGGTTGAAACCCACGAAAAGGAAAACGAGGGCGAACATCGATCTGAGAATTTGGACGATAGGGATAAGGGAGATGAGGACCAGGACCACACTTTACTGGATCATATCCTCAGCAGACTACAACCAATCCCAAAACTGCAGACGATCTCTGAGCTGCTTCAGGACGAAATGGACACCATGTCAAGAAACTACAGGTCTCAGGATACACGCATTAAATCTCTGGAAACGGACTTGCGGACAATCGATGAGAGACATGTGCTCGGATTAGACAACTTGCATGGAAACTACACTTCACAGAATGAACGCGTCAAGTCTTTGGAAAGAGCAAGGGAGACCCAGTCGGATGTACTCTCGAAGACTGAAGGATCCCTCGCCAAGGTAGAAGCCAAACTGATAGCCGTCGAAGAACGGGTTTCCAAGGAAATCTCTAACATGAGGATCGACAGGCAAAGCCAGAATCTGGATGCTTCAGCGGGGAAGTCAGGTTCGTACGACAAGATCAAAGCAAGATGCCGAAAAGTCGAGGAACGGCTGATGACCTTGGACCAACGTACAACGGCGGAACGAAGTCTATATCGGCTTCTCGACAGCAACACGAAATATACACGAGAGTTAAACGACGGGGTGAATACTTGGAAAAAACAGTGCGACAAGGAATACTCGGAGGCCAAGCTTCTCAAGGAGCAAGTGCAGACGCTGGAGGAGCGTTCATCAGCAATGGAGAAAATGATTCGAGATCAGCAGGGTCTGATTGTGGAATTGGCTTCTCAGCTTCGTGTTCAACGGACCAGCAAGATACCAGAAGCCTCAATTGGGGACTTCTGACAACGCTGATTCAACTTGTAGTACACCTTAATCTGGCAAACGAAGGGCAGTTTCCGATCTGCTCACGTCAAATCCGGACCTCTTCTTCTTTTGATACCCAGGGTTATGGCTATATGGATAAGATGTTGAGCGTGGCGTCACCGCCTTTTTGTCTGGACGTTGGGAACTTGGATGCATTGGGGTTTGGGTTCAAAGTGGATCAGAATTGTAGCAATATCCTAGTAGTAATGCTCTAAAAGGCACTCAATCTGTATATGAAATCTTGGCCGAAACTTCTGCGGTGTCTTGAATGTCGGTGAATGTTTCGTTCATGAAAAGGGGACAAGCTTCTATTTACATGCGGGGCCCGGGTAGATTTAGAAAAAGCAACGACCATGTCTCTTTCAAGAAGACTGCACCACAAATAAATAAAAGCGTCTTGACATTACTGACAGCATGGAAAAACACAAGACCTCTAACTAGAATTCGAATGCCTTCACGATTGTCGCGTTATCACGTGCACTTACGAGTAACATGATCCGCGTCGAGCTAGGCAATCCTTAACCGCGTTTGTTAATCTGCCTCATCTTCGTCTCAATCTCCCAGCCTCTTGGCCTCCAGCAAACGGCAGAAGAAGCACAATGGTTTGCGAGGAGTACCTCGACGTGATAAACGTCGTCGTTCGTGACGCATACTTCTACACCTACCCACGCACGATCTCAGCGGAGGCATATATAAAACCGTTAGGACGTCATGGAGCACCAGGTCCGTCCTACGATGAAGTCTGGAGGCAACAGGTAATGGAACGGGCATTCAAACGCATGGTGAACAAGGTAGCTATTTTCTGGCGTTTGAACGGGTTGGAATACTGATTTGTGGACTCAGGACAAGATATTGGTGTGTAATCAATCGAAGTGGGAGCTGCATCCGGATTTCGACGCCAAACGATTCTTCAAGGTCCGGGACAGTGTACAATGGGTCTCGCAGATCTACTCGACTGGTACACCGGATCAACATCGATCCAGGGTAGCTCTGCAGAGTCTCGAAAGTTTCCTGGACTCCGACCTTGGTCCCATCGGTGGCAAGCAGTTGATCAAGCTCTTTGGACGTTCTGCAGGTGAAGAATATGACTCTTTGCAGATTGAAGACAAGACGGTTGTCAAACTAGAGGTGAGGAATGATCGTCGTCTGGATATTTGAGACAATTTGCTGAAGATTTTAGCCGGCAACCGAACTCATGGATCTGACTCAGACAAACGCGACCTCTGGAACAAAACGAAAGAAAATAAATATTGGGGAAGCTGGCAGCGATGGACATAATTCGAGCGGACCGGAGCCCTCGAGCCCGATACCATTGATTACACCATTGTCAAGTCCTCCATCATTACGTCCTGCCCGGTCTTCGTTCGACACGAACAAGCCATCGAACACAACTGAGACAATAATAGAGAAATCGGGAGAGGAAAGACATACGGATGAACCAGAGATACAAGCAATCGAAAAACCGAGCGGAGAACCACGCGTGATGGCACAACCTGGCAGCACCACAGTCGAGACATTAAGACGCGCAGCGCATGTTGGTGGTACACAACCCAGGAAAACTGGAGTTGAGAACTCGAGACAAGAAGCATCTGGGGTTATACGAGCGGGGGCGTCAATACTGGAAAAGTCGACGCAAAATGTACGTGTGGAAGCACAGCCCGGACGTTCAATCAATCACCCGAGGCAAGAACCATGCATTGTTACACAATCGGCAAGCACATCTGGAGGGACGCAACCCGTGACTGGGAGAAGTGGACTAGAGAATTTGGTACTCCTTCCCGCTTTGCCCTCTCTCTAGAAGGGAATTCTAACTTCAAATAGCTATCAAAGTACCCGTGGCTTGTATCTGCCCCAAAAAGAATACAAGAAAAATTCCCCCAGGACAGCTTCGAACTTGTTGTCAGCGAAGGCACCCTGAAATTCAAATGTCACGATTGCCCTGCGAATCTCTACAAAGCAATCTACGCCGATCGAAAAATCTGTAACTTCGAGGCTCACCTCAGAACTCCACTCCATAGGCGAAATGTTGCAGCACGACTAGGCGGTGCGACTCCAGTGGCTGGACAAGCATCGCCGGCCACGAGCAGGCAGAGTATGAATTCACGAGCCAGCGGGTTGCCTCCAGTTGTCCAACAGCCTTCACCCGCGCTTCAAAGGCAGGATGCCATTACACGACCCAAGCAGAAATCCTCATTGGCTCAACAAGCATCAATGTATGACGACTACGAGGAGGACTTAGATGCGGAGAGCACAAACGAGAGCAGAAGCTTGATAATAATCTTCCCAACCGAACGTCTTCTCAACGCTGCCAACCCACGTTCACACGCTCGTCTTTCGGAGCCATCACGATCTCGACCTGACGTTTCGGGAATTGAAGACCGAACAAAAAGACGTCGACTGGAATACGAAGAGTATTCGTGTTCGACCAACCCACACACGGCCAAAGCCCGAGCCCGCGTTGCCAACCTGGAGCCCTGCAACAAGCAGTACCAGCCTGGTAAAGCAAACGACACGAAGATAGCAAGATGTCACGTCGAGAATATTGTTAAGCGCTCCGAAGCACATCAACGTGCTAGTTCGGCTGAGCAGCCTGCCTTGGTGGAGCAAGGTAGGAATGAATATGTTAATGCTCGTTATGCTCGCCGTTCGGAGGATGCTCGTGATTTGTCGGCAATTGGCAGGCGCAAGTCAGGGAAAGACGCGGAGACTAGTTCTCAGGGAGGCGACAACAGACTTACCAAGGAATGGGGGGTTTCAGCCACGTCCGCAACCAGAGGGAGTAATATGAGAACCTCAACACATACGGATATTGCAGCAGGGCGCAAAAGGCGCGCGACGGGAGAGACACAGGTTGATGGCGGAGCAGCTGATAAAGCTGATTTTGGCACGGTGTTGAGTAAATATCGGGTCTCGGGGGCATCAGAGGACCTGGCAGCATCTCGGGCTGAAGAGGGGGCTCTCAGAGCGCGCTTTGGCTACCAGAAGTCTCACGCCTCAGACGACAACACCGAGTCAAGAAAGCACGCCGGAATGGACCCCGAGGACCTTATCGATGCCTCAGAGGCATCAAGGCCTGGTGGTATGAGTGAGAAAGCTGCCTCACTCTCCAGCCTGCTGTCTCTTCTCGAGAAGCGCACAGATACCCAACGACAAAACTTCACAGCCGCCCACCAGCTCCAAGTCAGCACAAGTGAGGAAATCGCGCTCCTGCGAACGATTTCTAACCGCCACGACGAAGAGGTTGAGGCGTTCAAGCATTCCATTAAACGCGAAAAGGAGTGGCGAAAGTACCTGGATAAACTTACGAAGGAGCACAAAACGAGGATCGCGCAACTTGAGGCCAAGCTAAGCCGCGAGAGGGAGGATAAGCAGAACTTCAAGATGGCGACGGAAGGACGGGTTGATGCGCTGCTGAAGCATCATCAGGAAGGCTCAGAGAAGATATTGGGGAAGATGGGCGCGTTGGAAAAGATGGTGGAGAAGCAGAGTGCGCAGATTTCGTACCTGATGCGACCTGTTCCGGTGGAGAGTGAGGGGTGTGAGAAGCCTAAAAGTCAGGCGAAGAGTACGTGGGTGGATTTGGAGCCTGCATTTGTTGATGGGTGGAATACGCATTGAGATATGGAGCATCTGGCACAGGTTTTGCTTCGAGTGAGTTTTAGTGGACTGTTCGGCCAGCGACGTTGAAGTCTGCGCTCGGTACGACACCCTGGTAGGGCATGGGCACATATACTGTTAATAATAAGCATAGCAGCTAATGTAAATGGCCGGGCACTTTCAAGTCTCAGTTCGCGTAGTGGAAGATTCCATGGTATTTTCTTTCACTTCTCCATCGATTCTGTCTTCCATCGCCAGCGCCCTCCCAAGATCAGGGATGCGTCCAACGGTTACTTGGCGCGATTGCTGGAGGCAAACGAACATAAAGGGCTAAGTCGATATCAGTATCATAATAGGCCCAATCAACATGCAAGGGCGGGTCCCGTTTTTCGGAATATGAATATCTGTCTGTGTCCATTGTTGTCCTCGCAAAATACCACTTCTTGGAGCAACTAACTGCAAGTGATCGGATTTATGCTCCGCAAGCTCGGTAATCCATTTATAAGAGTGTGGATCCATCTCTTTTACAAACTGTCTCCGTCCAACCTTGTCAATTACCCCTTTATTCACAGAATAGAATATTCCAACATTAGAGCCGAAGTCGAGCTAAGACATGATCTGTTGCTATACATTTGAATGATCAACCGAGAAACCTACCTGCATTCTTTCCAGCGATCTTGGCAGCAGCTTGTACAATCCATCCCTTGGAATCCCAGACGGAAGTGAGGCAACAAAACACAACGCAGTTGCCGTGAGATATTTGAGCACCGCAAAACTACTTGGCTCTAGTCTTGTAGCATCATGATCCATCTATTTTTGACACCCGTGACTGATCTCCAGTTAGGTCAAACTCTGATTTGCAGGAGCCAAGATTGACGTAGGCAGTGCTGGAGAGGAAGGGCGTAAAATGCGCGAGTTGTCATGACTTGTCATTTTTATCCATTGGGTTTCTACTGGCATATTGATGAAGAGCTTTTTGAAAGACCCCTCACATAAGAGGAGGACCGCATCGAGCGCGGAAGGCGAGATGTATCGAAATCGTTCTAGAGATTGGAAAGTTATCCGTTCGTCGGGGCTTTCGTGAGGGAAAGCGTTCTCTGGAAACGTGAAATTCTTCGTGTCGAAGACGTTCAAGAAGCGGAGAAAAGGGTAATGATAGGAGACTAAGGAGCTCCAATGTTGTAGGCAGCCTCTCTTGGAGATCGAGATGCTGAAGTGTGTTCCGCAGAGGCAGGTGGCACGAAAGCGACTTCGGGGTAGATTAGGGACCCTCGCGGGCCGGCGTTAAACCAAGCATACGTAGGTTGGGGAGTCTTGAGAGAATCCGGCACACGCGGTACTTCGCCTCAAAAATGGCAGTGGTCAGTTTTCTTCAGGGAGAACAAAAGACTGTGGGGTCTTACCAGAATGACCGAAGAACATCCACTTGTAATATACGTCTTAAATCATGGATCTTGGTCGTAAACTCTTCTAGCAGTCTCTGGGGGATGCGGGAATTAAAAATTGCTAGAAGGTTCTGTAGATCTTCGTTTGATATGGTGTCGGCCCTCGTGCCATTCTTTGCCAGATCTCGGCATAGATCTAAGGCTTGATCACAGACGACACTAAAACCTCGTTCGATCTGAGTAAGGCAGCTAAGCGTATTTTGCTTCTCCATTTCCTTATAGAGCAGAGATAAGGCGGATTGAGGTCCACTAGGGCTGTTGCGAAGCATTCCCATTCCTGAATAAGTCTGAGGAATGCCATCAGGGTAAACGAAATGTGGAGAGACCAGACGAGAAGCCATGTTTGAGAACTCAATAATGTTAGCCGCCAGGCTCAAACTCCCTATAAGATCGAATGGAATAGTCCATCGCATTTCGGTGGCATCTGGGACTGTTGATTGCTCATCCCAGACAAACGCTTGCTGCGAAATAGAAACAGATATCTCAGAAGGGCGCTGCTGCTCCCAGTCAACAGTGTCATCGTCTGACCCTAACTTGACACTCGAATCAACTTTGCTAGCCTTGCCTGAGGCGTCCGAGCCAAGTCCCGAACCTTCTTGGTTATTTCCTCCCAAGACATACAATGAATGCCATCTGTTCTATGTGACGGGAAAGGTGACTTTTGAGTTTCTCTGAAGGCTTTGAACAAAGTGGGCAATTTTTCAGATCCTTTTGCGCTGGTCTTTGAAATTGTCGAATGATATCTTGTGATAGCGAAGAGGATTGGAGGTCGGGGTGATGTTCTTGAAGGTGTAACAAGAATTCCGATGGACTTGTGCATGGAGAGTGACCGTCAAGGTGGCAGCACCACTCAATCCGGTGATTTTGAAGCTCATGTTCATACCAATCATTATGGCCCTCAAATTGGTGATCCTCCATATCGCAATTGATGAATGTGCAGATATGGCTCCAGGACGATTCTATCGGCAGACTCTCACATACTTCCAAGCTTCGTCGCTCTTCATCTGGCAGGTTACAAAGCAATAGGGGCAGAGAAAGTCTTTGCCCCCAGCTAGCCCCTTCGAGCGTGGTGGAACATAAAGCTTCTGGTTCCCAGTCCAAAGTGATGGATTTGTAGATGGTAATGACTCGGCCACAGACACGTTGTCTAGAGACAACAAATTCGCATAAAAGGTGGGGAAATCCGCAGAGCTGAATGTTGTGGCTCTTGAAAACTGACTGGATTTGCTGCACTGCTTTTCGCTCACCGCTGGCCGTGTGGTTCCAGCTGCTCGACATCGGTTGCCGGAATGAGCGGTGCCAAAACTCATGTTGCCTCTAGGGCAGCCCGAGATAGGTTAAGTTTAATATTCTCATAGTGTCTAGCACGGTGGTGCAGGAGCCGCCGCCTGCGTATAATCATTCGTTGCAGTCTTTGTTTCAAAGCTGTACTTGCCGCTGGGCATCTATCGTCGATGTAAGAGTTATCAAAAGGTTCAAAATGCCCCCAAATCTATGGCAACGGGCTTTTTGTTTCTGTCAAAGGTGGCCGGACGGCGGATAAGTATCCTATAGAGGCAGGTGACTGTGAATCGAAGAGTTTCTACGAGTTGCGGAACCTCCAGAATAGGCGTTTGCGACTTATTCAAGCTTTGGGAGTCAATCGGCGGAGCACCCCGAAAAGCCTCGAGATCTGTATTAGCCACGGTATCTCTAATGCTGGTAAGTCGTCATTTAAAATCGACGTTTTCTCCCTGCGAACCACCTAGCTCATGTTCCGACGAATCATTCTCCTCTCCGGGAGCAGGATTCCGTATCCGAAAAGGATTTGGCTGCGGAATCAAACAATCTTCGGCTTTCGAACGGCTGAGGTTTGCCTTCCAACAGAGAAGCAGCTGACACGCGTTGAGTGATAATTGATATTCAAAGATGAAACCTACTCCCTTCAAGCTGGAAGTGACAAGGTAAATTAATATAAATACATTCCGGAAGAACCCTGGTTGAAGCTACTTGAGAAAATGCAAGGCGAGCTTACTGTATCAACCAGTCTGTTGAGAATATTACCGATCTGTTTCTTGTAGGAAGACGCTTCACGCAGTCTGTGGTCCAGGATAATCGGTAACTTGGACCATCATGAGCAGCTCCGACATTGCTGCACCATAGCTTATATCTACCAAATGTGTTTGAAACGTCTGTGAAGGAGATGTCCTGTTGAAAAAGATGGCGGGGTGGCATGAGAGAGGAGAGAACCCGTAGAAAGTCTTCGAAGCAGTGAAGCACCGATAATGACAAGTTGAGATTGAATCATCCATCAAGGAGATAGCTTCTTGATCCCTGTTATCAAGCCTTGTTATAGAGGCAATGTCGGATGGAGCAGGCGTCAGTGGTGAGCTCTGTCGTAAGCTTAATGAGCCGTGCCAAGCTAGAGTGCAACACTCAGGCGGCAATGTATCGTGTACACAAGTGCAGGGGATTCAAAAGAAAACGGTGGTGCGGATAGCTTGCCTAAGAAAAACCCGGCCCACCAGTCTTTCAATACCTGTCGCGAGCGGCTGACGTCCTGGTGGGCTGGCAAGGTGGAGCGAAGGCCATCAAAACGGGGGGTTCTCGGTAACCTTAAAGGAATTAGATGTGGCGAACCGCACTTCACTGGGGAATGACTATGGCATCAAAGATGTCGCCCTGTTGTCGCAGCAATAATCGAGAAAAGATGGCTCAGCAGCAGTTGAAGAAAGTGCGGGGCTGTCCGCAATGATGACCCCGGCCGCAGGCGTCCGCGCATCGAGACTTCGGGCGACCGTCAAGCTCTTTACCGAAGCTTTCGTCCGTCTGTTACATTACTGCTGTTTCTACTGCGTAACTCCCCCTTGCGAGGGGTCTTCCTACGTCAGCTAACTTCTTCATACAGTGTCACGCCGTCCCACTTCCAACTGAGCTTGGCTCGTCTCGTGCTGCCGGCCGGCGAACCTTACCACGTTGATTTACGACATGTCCGGCTTTGAGATCGCGGGCGTGGTGCTCGGAGTACTCCCGATCATTATAACTGCGCTCGACAGCTACGGAGAAGGGATCAAGGCCATAAAAAGCATGATAGGATATAAGGAGCTGATACGAAACCCCGTTCTCGACTTCCAAATCGAGACCCGCAGCTTTCAACGCGGCTGCAAGAGGCTCCTCTCGAGACTACGGATACCTTCCGAAGAAGTCGAAGGGCTTTTGAAGCTTCCAAAAGGGAAGCAGTGAAACGATGCCGCGCTGGATGCGAACATCCAGAAACTTCTCGGTCTTGAGGATTATGCCCAATATAAATAACTGGTGTTGCGACTGTTTTCTGAGACTGGATGATTTCTCGAGTGAAAAAAACTCCGATCGAACTCCGGTTTCGTTGTGAGTAGTCACCCAGACTCGTTATTCACTGTCAACACTGCCGTCTTGCAGCCTAGTTGGATGAGTGCTAGCCACCCCGAGAGGGCAAACGCTCTTGACAAATTTCTTGGGAAGACCAGTACATCCAGAAAAACATTCAAGGCAATAATGCTGGGCTTCGACCGCGGCGAGTATGCCGTTGCTCTCATGGACATACGAAACGACGTCAAAAAAATCAGCTCCCTCGTTGGCGATGCCATGGAGCTTGCAGCATTGAGGCGAGAACGGAGTCGCAGAGTCAACACGAAGTTCTGGTCCTCGATTCGTCAGTACGCTGACAGTCTTTTCCAATCGATAAGGTGGCAATGTGTTTGTGCCTCGGATCATACAGTCAACTTGCGCCTTCAGACCCGAGCAAAGAAGAAGCAAGATGCAGATGCTACATATCTCTTCGTAATTCTCTTTGCGTTTTCGGGGAACCTGGGCCCCAATAGCTCGCAGCCATGGATATGGAGGCAGGCTCAGGTGCAACTTTTAGATATTCCACAGGCGCAGCAAGTATCCTATTCAGAATAGTTGCTCAGATTTGAAGACTGATGCTTGATAATCCAGGGTTATTGGCTCCGTTCCCTTCGCCGGCATTGGGCCACCTCCTTCACCAACCCCCGGTTCAAAAATTGCTTCTCTATGTGAAGCGCTCAGGCGCGCCATGGTAACCATTCGTTTCATGTTCGTTTGTCGCCACGGAGCCTGAACCCTTGTTCTTTTAGTTTCTCGTCATCTTCCTGGCGCCTGGTTTTCATGATAGGTTGCGAAGCAACGCCAATCGAGCATAGCGCATGTCCTGTTCATTTCTACAACTAACCTTAAATGCTACAAAAGCTGTTGCAAACCTCGTTTCCTCCGCACCGGCGGGCCGCATCAAGCATCTTGACCCTCACGCGTCGTCCGACGGATGCACTTCGGCTCTCAGACCAAGGCAAACAGATTTCCCTTTAAGGCGCATCACCGAGTACCAAGTTTCATCCCTTACAATCGGGTTTTCATTTGTTCCACGTCTTCCACGTGTGAGGGGTTGGAACATGTAACATTCAGGCGGCGCGGGCCGAGTGCTTTTGATTTATGGTCAAATACTTCCCTTGTCTGATTCGTGGATTCCACTTGGTGGATGTTCTGGGCGCCGTCTCCTCACACTTCCCCACACTTCCCCACATAAACGAGATCATGCATCGGCACTCAATCCAAAACAACACCGGTTGTTCTTTCCCGAACGACTTCTCAGGAGCGCGTCCAGTACAAAGTCCAGTCCTACCATATGCCGCGCTTCAGTCGATTTTGTTTATCCAAAGTTTATCCATTAGCGGGTATGATTTAGGAATAGGGTCTGCTGTTTCTCCGCCTAGAACATGCATTGCACCGGAGGTTCATCCGAATAGCTTCATCTCGGAAGTAGCCGTGCAAGGTCACCGCAGTGTTTCTCCGAGACGATTCCGCAGTAGCAATGGGTATAAATGGTTTCATACTACCCTCATATATTTCTTTAGCCAAATATTCATGTTTCTCTTGGCAACAATGCACGTCTCAGCCTTACTTCCTCTTGCTGCTCTCGTCCCTGCTACCCTTTGCCAGCTCAATACCTTGGCCAAAGCAAAGGGATTGAAGTATTTCGGTTCTGCAACCGACAATGGCGAACTCTCTGATACTACATATGTTTCTATCCTATCAAATACCGGCCAATTTGGACAGATTACTCCTGGTAACACTCAGAAGTGGGTCTATACTGAGCCTACCCAGAATACCTTCAGTTGGACCCAAGGAGATGTCATCACTAGCTTCGCTGAAGGCAACGGCCAATTATTGCGATGTAAGCCTTCTCCTCTGCAATTGATTTGCTGGTTGGAAATTATTGCGGCTTCCAGTCCATCAACGGCTTCCGAAGCATCATACTAATATTTGCAGGTCACAACCTTGTCTGGCACAATGAGCTTCCAAGTTGGAGTAAGGCACCCTCCCCACCATAATGAAGCCAAGACCCTGAGCATTTCAAGTCACCTCTGGCACCTGGACAAATGCAACCCTCATTGCTGCTCTGAAGAACCACATCGCGAACGAAGTCACACACTACAAGGGGCAGTGCTACGCCTGGGATGTTGTAAATGAAGCCTTCAACGACGATGGGACATACCGTGTTGACGTCTTCTACACCACTGTTCATCTAACCACTACCCACTCCCTACCAAAGAAACAGATCTAACTATTCACAGATTGGGCCAGAATACATCCCCATCGCCTTCGAAACAGCCGCCCTCTACGACAGCACCGTAAAGCTCTACTACAATGACTACAACATCGAATCAGCCGGCGCCAAATCCACCGCTGCCCAAAACCTTGTCTCCTCTCTCAAAGCCCGCAGCATCAAAATTGACGGTGTAGGCCTCCAAGCCCATTTCATCGTCGGACCAACTCCTTCTCTCTCCTCCCAAATCTCAAATCTGAAATCCTTCACCGCTCTCGGCGTTGAAGTTGCCTACACAGAGCTTGATATCAGATTCACGAGTCTCCCGCCGACAGCAGCCGGACTTACGCAACAAGGGACAGATTATGCGAATACTGTTTCTGCTTGTGTAGAGACGACGGGCTGTGTGGGTGTCACGGTATGGGATTTTACGGATAAGTATTCCTGGGTTCCGTCCACGTTTTCCGGACAGGGGGAGGCTTGTCTTTGGTATTCGGACTTCACTCTGCACCCCGCGTATTATTCTGTTGTTTCTGCGCTTGGAGGTACGGCCGCAACAACCACACTAGTGACGAGCAGGACGACTTCAAGTGCGACTGCAACAACAACAACGGCGAGTGGAACAGTTGCGAAATGGGGACAGTGCGGAGGAATTGGATGGACTGGTGGAACTGTCTGTGTGGCGGGCACGACTTGTACCTACAGTAATGCTTGGTATAGCCAGTGTCTGTAGGCTCGAGGTATCGGAGAGAAGTCGTTGAGGAGGTGAATGTGGGAAGAGGTGATTTGGTTGAGGGATTGAAAATCGGTTGTATATATTCTCAAACCAAAAGTACATATTCTTTCACTCTCCTGTTCCACTCCTCCGATTTTTACCCTCACAATCACGAATGCCATTCAACTTCTACAGAGACTCCACCTGTATTCTTTTATAAAAACAATATTCTTCTTTCAGTTGACGTTCGGAAAAGGAATGTAGTCAGTCACGTGCCTCGCCTCTCGAGGAGTTTGACTCAAAGCTTCGAACCTAGTCTTCATGCAGATATACTGTCGACCGCCTCTGAAGGGAAGAGCTTGGAATATACTGGAAGGGGCATTGGGTTAGGGTTACTACTTTTTGTGAATTAGTTGTGCCATATATATCTGAAGGAAACTGAGATAAAGGTTCGACCTAGCTTAGAACCGGACAAATACAGCTACTTAACTACTAAAACGGCCTATAATTGGAAACACATATACGACCGCTATAAGAAGGGCCGAATCGTTAAGCATAGTTTCACTGAATTTTGTTTTCTCTGCTATAATTAGAAGAAACGAGGTGAAGGAGCCTAGGAAAACCGAGGAAGCGACGAGGAGGCCTGAAAGAAGCGATAGCATGTGAGTGTCTGGATCCTGAGAATTATGACTTTGCAATCATAACACCGCACTTCATGCAAAACGAAAACAGTGTAGTAAGAATACTGGAGAGTAGAAATCTAGTAGAATTGCTCTACACTTTGTCTTGCTGCCTCTTGCAGAGATTGAAGTACTTCTTTGGCGGAGCCTGCTTCAAGGTTCCAGCACCGCTTGATTATGTCCCCACACTCAATGCTTCCAACGTCTGGAAACTCATGGGCCTTGTAATTGGCTTCAACTTCGTCACTCTCCAGCTCATGAAACGGGTATTGGCCAGCCATAATGAAGTAGATGAGGGAGCCGAGACTGAATAGGTCGTCTTGTGCAACGGGTTGGCGCCGCCAATCGAAGTCTGGGTGTAAGAAACGACCATTGGCGCAGGCTGATGGTTGACAGCCGTTAAGGGAGGAGCCACTAAAATCCGCAATCTTCAAATTGAGATAGGTGTCGAGGAAGAAGTTCTTAGGTTCTATGTCGCAGTGAACCACATCTGCGGCATGGAGAAGCTGGAGTCCCTCGGCTGCCTCTCGTGCCCACTGGAGTCGTTGCGGCAGAGAAATCGAATCGTTTTTGGCAAGAATAAAATCCTTCAGACTGCCATTGCTCATATACTCCATAGTAAGGACGCACTCTTTTGGATCCCAATCGATGATCTCAACTAAGCGGGGATGAGCGCCTAGTGTTGTATATATTTGGAACTCGGTCGTGATGTCTCTGCGGCAGGCTTCGGCTCTAGGTCCAGGCCATGGTGACTTGACTATCTCACCCGTAGATAATCGTTCCACAATTCCCGATGCCCCCCCCGCAATAAGCTCGCCCTTCGATAGCCGTGAAGCTTCATATAAGCGACCAAGCGGAATATCTTTTCCTTGACTGGCAGCTGCGGTCTAAAAACAATGTTAGGTAAAAAACCATATTACAAAGAATATGGTCTGCTTACCTCTCTAGTAGTAGCTTCTCCCTGGTCGCAGTCCATGATAATGCTGAAAGGATCGTTTATGTGTTGGTGAGGGTTGATGGTTTGATAATGAGGTTTATTTGTTAAGGAGCTTTCTAATTGGCGCGCGACAATCGGCCTGCCAATCAACTGCCCGAAAAGTCTTAGTGTTGTGATGGGGCCGGAACCCGATTCTATGTTTAGCTTACCGAGCAGAAGGATATCTCCGCCAAACGCCCAACCTCCTCAAAATTGCTCACTTATCCCCTGCCTGGTGAGACATTCCAGACTAGCGGCCGCACGCGAATATCTCCAATAGTCTCTTCCAATCAAACCATTCGCATTTTAAGCGGCCGCTAGCACTGGAAAAGTCTCGGTGGACGAAGGGATAGTACAATCGATGGTGCTATGTGCGGGAACGGGGCTCTCATTTTTTAGATCATCTGCCATTTGGGCAAGACTAGATCTTCAGCTGTTTCCTTTTTGTATTTACTTCTGGCAGCCTACTCAGGCCATGGTAGCTATTAAAAGCTCCTCAAGGCCTGGGGGGTGTGTTGCATGGCACTGGGCCCCCCCTCAGTGCCCTGCGCGTGCCTATGTCACGTGCTCAGGGGCTTACAGCGATATTAGTAACAATCGTCTAAATCGCATTTTAAGCCGTGCGCAAAAAGGGTCAGGAACACCAAACCCACAACACAACCACATATCGACCGTATCACCATTTATTAATAAAACTCTATAATATTAATTAAGATAGATGGGGGCAGTGGTGCGATTAATTTAAGCTACTATGGTCCTCTTCTGGACTTATAATTATTAAGTTAATTGAGATCGGGCAAAAATGCGATTTTCTAGCCTCGCGCGCCAAGCCTCGCCAAGCCCAGCCCCTCGATTTTTGATTTTTGTACCCCTCTGACTACTTCTCTATATAACTTTTAAACTACGCTTCTAGGCTTAGTACTATAAGGCTTAAATAGCTTATATAAGTGCCCCCTTGCTCTCTTTAAGAGCTTTTACTAATCTAATAAGATTTGGGACTATAGCTAGAGAATTAATACTATTTTACACCAAAATTAAGAGTAAAATCCGCCCTTTACTAAACCACATAACTAATCCGCTTCTAGCTAAAGAGCCCTCTTATATAAAGAAAGCCCTAGATACCTCCTTACTCTCTCTAAGAGCTTAGACTATTTTAATAAGATTTAGGACCGTGGCCGGCGAATTAATACTATTTTACACCAAAATTAGGAGTAAAATCGCTTTTTACTAAACTATATAATTAATATGCTTCTAGCTAAAGAACCCTCTAGGCTATGGAAAGCCCCAAATGCCCCCATTAATTTAAGCCTATTAGCGTTTCAATTAAGGCTATTATTATTGAGAAATCGTAGAAAATAATTTCGTGATTTTGGTGTTCGCGACCCTTTTCGCGCCCTTCCTGGCCCTCGCTTAAAATGCGATTTAGACGATTGTTACTAATATCGCTGTAGCTCCTGGGCATGTTTCACCCCTATATAAGCTCCTCCGGAGCACCCAATTTATGCTCTTTAGAGAGCGCATTTTGCACTGCGTTAAAGTAGAAATCGGTGGACGCTACAAACCGACTAAGAGGATCCCCCCTCTGTGTCAAATTAGAGCTGGATAGGATAGAAGCTAACCAGATTGTTCATCGACACTAGAGTATTGGGGTGCTCCTCCACAAGCGTTTTCTTCCACGCCTCAAGCACCTTCTCTTCAAGCTTTATAGCGTCATGCAGTCCACCGAGGTCTCTATAGCTACCGGCAAGCGGGGAGATATTTAGAGAGGGGAGGCTGAGGTTGGTTGATGACTTGAAGACAAGTTGCCTTTATGAAAGTATTGAAAGTGTACATCTTGTCTGAAATTGTACTCTATCTAGTGAAGCAGCAAGAAAAGCATTTGAATAAAGCGAGTGCTCCTCACCAGTCCCCTGCCGAAGCGCCGCGATGATGTCGAAGACGACTGAAATTACGCCCCCCGTTGTTAAGGAAAACTCTGAGATCGACGTGGTAAGATGTGACGAACGTGTGCATTCTGTAAGAGGTTTTAGTTTTGAACCTCCAGAAGTATACGTCTTGGTAGCAGTGCTATGTGTTGTGTATCCCGGTGCGACATACCTGGTTGTCTCCAAGTCTAGCCCGAATCATTTGTGTTTCGCCCACTGCTCTTCTCTGAAACTGGCAATATCCCTCCCCTTCGACCGAGTGGTAAACAATCATTAAACCCAAGAGATATGCAGGAATCAAGTAGAAATTCCGCCCCCAGAAGCTCCCGTTGCTTGGCCACTTAAATTCAAAGCCGAAATCGACGCCGAGGAATCGTTTTCAGACTCGATGGCAGAATTCTTTAGTGGGGGGAGATTGACAGGCAAGGATGGTTGCCGTGTAATCGGAATGGCATTGCCTGGTATGAGTCCTGAAGATGTATGGTCCGACGCCAGTAGCTTTGCTACCTGAGTATGACCTTTATCCAAAGCAAACATCCTTGGTGTCATCTTTCTCTTGTTGCTCGATAAAGGATCCGTGCCCCATCTCAGTAGCAGCCGGACAGTCTCCAATCTACCCTCCTCTGCAGCCCAAGACAATGCCGTCCGGCCAGCATCATCTTTCCATTCGAGCATTTTGAGCGAGTTTTCTTTATTTTCTTCTTCAAGAAGTAGAAGATGTCTGAGAACAGTGGTCTGTCCTTTTTCCGCAGCATGCGAGAATGGTGTCCTTCCGTTCCTATCTTTGTGCTTGTGATCAGCGCCATGATCTTTGAGTAAGCTTATGATGACGCAGTAGCCCTTTTTACATGCCCATACGAGTGCAGTTTGATCTTGTCTATCTAGAGTGTCCACCTCGGCGAGACTGAGCTGCTCTAGTAGGTAATGAACCACGTCTTTGTGGCCAAATTCAGCAGCATAAGAAAGAGCCGTGCGACCATCTGTATCTCGATCATTTAGACTCAACTTGTATGAGTTCAGGAAAAGACGCAAAAGTGGCAGGTGGCCGTTTCTTGCTGCAATGATAACCATGGTAGCTCCGGTCTTGTCTTTGATCTTACAGGATGCGTTGGCTTCCAAAAGTCGTTGCACTGTGGCAAAATGGCCAGATATTACCGCCAGAGAGAGTGCCGTTGCATAGTTTTTATCTCGGGTGTCAACGACTGTACCACCAGCACCGCTTTCTAAAAGCAATGCCACCACTTCATTCCAGCCTAGGTGCGCAGCAAACATAAGTGGTGTACGGCCTTCCCCCAAGGTAACAGAGTTGACATCTGCTCCTCGATTAATAAGCATCCGAACCATTTGGCACCGAACGGCTTGAGATGAGGTTTTCAAATCCAAGAAAGTATCCGATTTCAAGACAGGGTGATCCTTTATCGAGTTGCCAGCGGCATAGGAAAGTGGTGTAGCATGATCCACATCTTTACAGTCGAAGGTGTCGTCTGACCCAGAAGCCTCTAGCAGCTCGTTTAGAATCAATGGAGTAGAGTTCAAGGCCGCACTGTGAAACGCAGAGAATCCGGTCACCCAGGATCGGTATCGGAGATCCGCTTTAAGCTCAAGGAGTCGCCTGAGTTTAAACCGCTTTTCTGCTCCCGAACAAGCCAAAAGATGAAGGGGCGTGATTCCTAAGAAATCAGCTTCATTGATAGACAAGTTCTCTTGGTGAAATTCCAAGACCATTTCAGTAATTGACGAGCGTTGATACTTGCTTGTTTCAGCCGAATCCCTATCATCTCCGCACATTAAAAACCAGGTACCAGATCTGTTGGCATCATTGCAGCATGTCAAATCGATTTTGGGGCTAAGCATCAGCTCTCGGACGGCTGCAGCGCTTCCTGAAATGGCGGCTTCCATCCAAGGTGTACGTTTCGAACGCCGACTTCTAGAGTTTGGATTCGCCTTCTTTTCCAGCAGTAATCTCACAATATTGCCCAGGTTCCTCTGGGCGGCAAGGGACAGAGCCGAGAACCCTTCGTTATCAGTTGCCTCGATATCAAGCTCTTTGGTTTCACACAGGAGTTTTACTATTGGCAAACTCCCACAAGCTGATGCGAGCATCAAAAGATTTCGGTTGTGGGGTGGGAATGTTTGGGCGATGGAAGCGTGGGAGTCGAGCAGTAATTTAACAATTGCGGCGTCAGCCCCTTGCCCCATGATCGCGTGTGAAAGCGCGTTTTGACCCTTATTATCGCTGGCGTCAATGAATATCGAAAATGATTCGCATTCCCTAAGAAGGTACTTGGCAATATTCATATAACCGTCTCTGCATGCCAACATTAATGCCGAACGGCCTTGGTGATCTTTGTGATTGACTTCTACACCTGGTACCTCTCCAAGGAGCCTGACCAAGTACTCATCGCCGGTGATGACTGCTGATAGAAATATTGAGCTGCCATCGCCGCTTACAGCGTTTAGTTCAATATCCTGCTCTTCAAGCAGAAGCTTAACAATCTCTGCAAGCCTAAAATGAACGGCTAAATGCAATGGTGACATCATGTAGATTCGGTCGGCAGCATTGAGCCACTGCTCCCTTGAAGCAGCGTGATGTGATTGATCTGCTAATAAAAGCTTCACAATATGACAATGTTTAGACCAAGTAGCGTACCACAAAGAATTGGCTCCCTGGCAGTCTTTTGCGTATCGATTCAGGTTGGTCTTCAGTTCTGGTTTCGTCAAAAGTAGACGGACTGTTTCCTCGTCACCATTTCGCGATGCCCACAGCAAAGGCCCCATATCTCTATTCATATCTCTTTCGTTTACATTTTCTGGGCGCAGGAGTTGGCGGAGTATTTCACCGTTGCACGATTCAGCCGCGCGAGTCATGGGTGTCCATCCATGGCGGTCTTTTGACTTCAGCATGTTGTCATGATCCGGAAACCGCTGGAGAATAGTCCTGACTACTGCTGCATTTCCTCCCATAACGGCAGCAGTAAGAATGGACACTGTGCCAGGGTCTTCCGCAACAAGATCTTTATTCGGGATCGCTTTTTTCCGGGCGTAATCTAGTAGCATAGTCGTAACCAGTTCGTGTCCACCAATGGCAGCAAGAATCAACGGCGTTTGGTGATCCAGATTTTTCCCTGTAAGGTAGTGCCCAGCATGCTCTAAAATTTGGTTTAACACAAGGAAGTGACCCTGTCTAGCGGCGGCGTGTAGCAAAGAATTCCCACTTCTTGAAGAGCTTGCATTTGAATCAAAGCCCGAATTCAGCAAGAACTTCACAATCTCATAGTGTCCTGTTTGCACAGCTAAGTGTATCGGGATTTTGTCATCAATTGTCTTTGCTTGTAGAACAGTATAGTCATGCTTGATGAGAATTTCAACAATATACCAGTGACCGAATTCGATAGCGATCAGCAGAGCTGTATAATTCGTAGCTGGCGTGGTAATATGGACATCAGCTCCCCGGCTAAGGAGAATATTGACAATCTCTTCATGGCCGTTCGTCGCAGCGAGTATCAAAGGTGTTTTGCCATCCGTTTTCTTGGGCGCGTTTGGATTATTTATCGCTGGGCTGTTATGGTCTAGCAAAAGCGTCATGATCTCGGTTCTGCCATTCTCAGCGGCTAGAGCAAGTAGTGGGTTCCCGCTGTTATCAAACATTTCCTCATCCTCGATTTTCCCGCTTTGTATTAAAGCTGAGAAAACTTTGCTGTGTCCTTCAGTGACAGCCCAAGTAATTGGTGACCCCAGAGTTAGACCCTTGATCGTAGGATCCGCTCCATAACTTAGTAGCGCTTTGACCACAACCTCATGCTCAGAGGCTGCTGCCCACGAGAGAGGGGTCCGGTTATCAAAATCTCCAGAGTTGACATTTGCCACGAGACCATTTCGCCTCTTTGGGTCAAGTAGTTGTGTAACTACGTCGGAATGACCGTTTCCAGCAGCCCATGACAGTGGTGTGCGATATGATCCATCCAGGGAGTCGACAATGATTTCAGGCATTTCTAGCAGTGACTTGAGGGCTTCTGTCATTCCATGACCAGCTACCCATGAGAGAAGATATCTGTCAGTCCCTCCTTTGCCTAGATCATAGGCCCCATGTTTGAGCAAAAGTAAAACGACGCTTTCGTGGCCTTTAGTAGCCGCGACCGAGAGCGGTGTCGCTCTATTTGAATCCCTTTCATCGATATCTATTTTTTTACCGCCTGGTATAACACCATCCTCACCCAAGATGTACCTGATGGCTAATTCGTTGCCGCACTGGGCTGCCTGGTGAAGTGGTGTTGAACCATTCAACTGTTTGTGAGACACTCTAGCTCCAATCTGTATGAGGAATCTGACAGTCTCCGCGTGACTTTTTGAGTTTCCACAAGCAGCCAAGGACAGCGGTGTACATCCTTTCCGATCTTCTTTACGAAGAGTGGTCTTGTCCTGGTTCAAGAGAGCTTTGACAGCGGCTAGATGTCCGTTTTTGGCGGCGATATGGACCGGAAGCTGTCCGTTGTCATCCTCTAGAAATCCGAGTTTGTTCGTCTTGGATTTCTGTTATACTTGTGGCTTCTAGAAGGAATCCCATGATAGCCGCAATTCCCCCTCTTGCCGCGCGATGCAGAGGCGTTGAGCCTCTGTTGTCCTTTGAGCTCAAAGAAGCACCACCTTCTACTAAGGTGCGGACAAGGCTTTCATCGCCATCTATGATAGCCCGGTCCAAGTCTGTGATGCCAGAGTCGAGCTGTTTCGAGTCAAGAGAATGGAAGATTGCTCCATGGCCTTTGTCGAAAGCTATTTTAGCAGCCGTTGACCAAGTCGAGTCAAGTATTTCGATATTTGCTCCATGATCAACGAGCAGCTCAACCATGGCCTGCAATCCACTCTCGGCAGCAAGATGAAGCACCGTTCGGCCAGGTTTCTCGCCGTCCGTTCTGATATCAACGTTGGCACCTCTGCCTAACAATGCCAAGACAGCGGGTTCTTCATTTGCAATTACAGCTTTGTGTAGAGCTGCGAGTCCAGAATTATTCCGTAAAGTGGAATCTGCTCTAAATTCAAGTAGCACATCAATCGTCTTCGAACTTCCGGAATCAACCCTGTAGTGAAGAGCTGTATTGCCAGCGGTATCTTTTTGGTCAATCTCACCCTGTCGTTTTAGCGGCCCAATGTTTTCCAAGAGCTGTCTCAGTGCACGGGAATGCCCATTGTAGGCGCACATTTGCAAAGGCGTAGTAGTGCTCCCACTGGCGACGCGCGACGAAAACCTCCAGTAAGCGCAAGTCCAATTTCGATACCTCTGTGACGGTATCTTATACATCCCAAGAACTCTGTCAAAAAGCTCTTTGTCCATTAAATCCTCTGATTCTCGGACGTGATGGGACCAATTAAGGCTCGCGTAACGAAGGAGAGGACGTTTGCTTAGTTGCAGGTCACCGTTTTCAGCCGCAGTTTGACTCAGAACTTCACCTAAACTATCAAGCCAGAGGTAGGATATGCATCCTTTCGCCAGCTCCAAGTGACACTCTGGTAGCTCCATAGCGTATTTTGACCTTGAAGATGGAAGAAGCAGATGTTTACGGGCGGTATCGTGGAACAGGCGAACATGCGAAACTCCTTCTGTGTCTGTCACTGGTCGTAAAAATGAGCCATATACTCTTTGTTCGACATTACGGCCAATATCATCCGCCTCTTTTTCTGCAAGAGATATTGTGTCTGGCTTGCTTTCCAGTGCCAACAACATGTTCAGTTCCGACACTGTAAAGCGGCCCTGGGCGGCAAGAACGAACTGGAGTAACTTTTTTGTTCTGGGCGGGAGTGAGTTGAAAAGAATTGCGTTAGGTGAATTATTGCTCATCGAAAGCTGAGACAACAATTTCTCATAGAGTCCTTCAAGGTCTGAAGGTATTGACTGGAGTACTAGGTCCCAAGTAGACCCGCTATACGGTTCTGGGTCATTCCTAATGGCCTGAAGAGTGAGTTGGGGCCAAATGAAAGTTCGATCGGCTCCCTTGCACAATAGAGCTTGCAACTTTTCAATGTCCTTCTTCTGTATCATGCTTTCTCCTGCCAGCATTTGCACTTCATTGCGAATGAAAGACCTGATATCATCCTCGATGGCTGGTTCATTTTCCAGAATTATTCTGCTCAAAAAGTGCGTTTCTTGTTCTGTGGAGGGCGGTAGTTCCCGCCAAATCTCGGGTCGACTTGTGAGAAGAATTCGAAAACACAAGTGACTATCTGTCAGGCGGTTCAATTTTGGAAGGATCGAAATAAGGCGTCTGAGCAGCTCGCCCCGCTTCAGAAGGTCGTTCAGTTCGTCTAATGCATCGATCACCCAGAATATCTGGCCAACTTTCAAGCCCTCGCAAATCTTGGTCCAGAAAGACCATAATGAATCCCATGAAATGGTCCCATTAGTCGCGTCCCAGTTTTCAATCGCGTAGTGGCACAACTCGAAATTATTCCCAGCCAATGCCTGGGAAACCATAGACCTCAGAAAATCGAATGGCGTTGATTTATCTCCCGTGAAAGAATATTTGCACACAATGGCATGGTCTTTGTTGAGAGTTTCAGCGATGAAATTGGATAGGAAAGTTTTCCCAGACCCCGGGCTACCAGTTACCCATAACAGGCTTGCTCTTTGCGCAGTACCGTTCCACTCGATGTAATTTGGAGTTGAACAGATCCATTGGCACGTGCCTTTGGTGGGTTGTGTGAAATCGCTTGACGGGCCGTCGAAATCGAAGGCGTTCTTTCCTCGAAGGGTATCTAGTATATCTCTCTGTTTTCTCTTCACTAAAATCAAAGTTGTTCAGCCCTAGATCAAATCTGCAGCACCATCTCGAAGATGTCTTACTTACTGTCTGCCAATGAGTCTTTTCTGATGAAATTCACCATATCCCGGATTGGTCGCCACACAGCACTAAACGCCTGGCTATTCTCATCAGAAAATCTACACATTGCCCTGTGATCTGCGTTTAGACCAATTTGTATCTCATTAGGCAAGCCTAACGTTGCAGTATCCTCGTCAACCACCTATAAAGCGTCAGAGATTTGCAGGTTGATCAAATAAGCGACAAAGGAATACAAACACGAGACATGAGGCCGTCAGTCGTGTACATTTCGTAGAAACTCAAAATTCGGAGAATTTTAGCGCCACGCTCAACAAAGTCGGAGTTAATTTGCACCAAAGTCCTCGACTGTCTCTTAAGGTCGGCAAGCAGCTGTGTGCTCGATCCTACCCCTACCGTATTGAATAGTTCTTTTAGCATGGATGCCCACTTGGCCTTGTCTGATCCGCGATGTGGCGCGCCCATGAATATCAGACCCGCTGTACGGTCCAAAATATCCGAGTATACGATCCGTTTGTTGTGAGCCAAGATCAAAGCCTGAAAAGAATCAGATAAAATCGCATAACTCCGAGGTCTTTCTAGAGACATACCTTTTTGATGATTAAGCCTCCAAGACTGTGCCCCAAGAAAATGATAGGACGAGAGCGTTTCTAGACAGTGTCAGCTGGTATAACGCTTTAGTATAATTGATTTTACCTGTTCGGTATCCACGTGATTCTTGACCTCTTGAAGCAACTGGGCCGAAAAGTGTTCCAGCTCGTGTTCCCAGCCTGAACTGGCGATGATTGAGTTGTATCCAAAAGACAATACATGGATTCTGTCTATTTTCTTTCCGAGGAAATCTCTAAGCCAGACCTTACCATCGGCCTCCCAGGTCTTTTCCCAATCACCTTGGAGGCCATGGACTGCAATGATGCTGAAGTAAACGCGTCAGTCTGCGAGACACCTCAAACCAACGAAGATACGATAGAAACTCACTAAACCGTGTCAGGTTCATTTTTGTCTTCCGCTGGCCATTCCCAGAGGCCAGCCTTCTCACGCTGGCCCGTTGTGGCTAGTTGTGTCGTGATCGGAAATGTGGCAAGAGAAGTCTGATTCTAAGAATATGTGTGAGCACGATACAATTCCCGGCTTCGTATTGGGTTGCGTACATTCGGTGTCGGCGAGACAGGCGGCGGAAATGACAGCCGTCGGGCGGATACCGGGGAGTTTCCGGTCCCCTCACTTGATTTCCTGAAGAATCTCGTAATGCCCTGCCCTGAGCGTGGCCGCTGAGGGTTTGGGGAGCCGCTAGGTGAGCTCATCTCGTGCTTTTCACCAGAAGTGCAAGGTGAATATCTCCGTTGCCGACAGCAGCTCGAGATTTTGCGTATACACTCAGGCAGCAGTCCAGCCAAAGGCAAACCACAAGGCAACCTACGAAAGAGAACTTTGGGGCTCCGAATAATGACACTAGCCTGATCCAATCTTGGTCATCGACTTAAGCAGGGAAAAAACGCCCTGGGGGCTTTACTGCTGCCGTCCGATTAGCTGCCTGCAGCTGAACGCCTGCAGCCTTCGATCAATCAACGCTATCCGACATAATCAGAAAAAGCAAAACACCAGAAAGGGTTGGCAGCACACACACCAGAATCCACACGCTACCCGATCGTACCTTCCACCCGGTTACCACTGGTGGTTCGTGAAAGCAACTGGGCTACTCGTGTGTAGGTTAAAAAAAACCCCTACCCTGAAGTGTGTTTCTAGCACGTTCGCCTCCACAAAACCTTGAATTCCAGCTGTCTTATTCGTTAGTACCCCGTCTTGCGGCGTCTGTGGATCCAGACAGGGCATGGGTTTATTTACCCAAGTCACCAAGTATAAGTGCATAGCCACGTGAATAAGTAAATCAAATATTTGTTGCGAGCCATCGCAGGAGTCTAGGACGTCTTATGAGCCAGGAGCACTATCCCAAGGAGGACTCCGGGCTGGGGCAACCTTCCTATGACTCTAGGAACCCCAGAGTTCTCCGGGTGCTGGTTCAAAGTCAAGCGCTTCAAATGTGTCAGTGTCAAGGGAGAGTCAGTCTAGTTTTCTATTCAGCAATGTTCTAGTGGCTCCTCGTACAAGCTATCTATATCTTCAGTCCCATCGCCCCTCGGAGCGCAAGCTCATCCGCCTTGCCCGCCTTTGCCCAATTCACACCCTTTCCCACACCTTTGAGAACGAAGCACCTATTATTAAGGGGTCAGTATACTTCTTTGGGAGTAGAACATTCCAGGACTTGTTGGACATTGGGCACTTACTCATCGATAGCAGCATTTCTGATTGTAGGGAACCTGTGGAGTGCAAGACGGGCCAATTGTTCCAGCGCATCTGGGTCATTCAGGCCAGCAAAGACCTTAATACAAGCTTCCAATCGGCGGATGCCAATCTTGCCCTTGCGCTGCATCGCATTCTTGACCAGTCGGTTCAGGTCGTCGAAGCTGCGGTTCATCTTCTGCAGGTACCCCCAATCGAAGAGGAAGCTCAAGGCTTCGAGACACGGAATGGCGACTCTGTCTTCGTTGGGCCGTGTCTCCAATATCCGACTAAGGGAGTCGTATACAATGGCTGTGTGTCCCATTTCACAGAACTCGGCAAGTGCGGCACGGCTTGCCCGTATCAGATCTTCGGATCCTGTGTCGGCTGAAGTGATATATCCTTCCATGAACTCCCTCGCCCATTCGACTGCGTCGTCCCGGAACAATGATCCATGAGCTAGCCAGTCGCTTGTCTGCAGCTCTAAAAGGAACAAGAAATACTCCTTAGATGAGGTGGAGAAGGACTCGAATTTTGAGTTTGTGTTTTGTACAATGTCAGTGCGCCTTTTTAGCGCACACGCAACGGCTTTCTGTCCTTCAACGCGGACACGATCAAGCTTCTCCGATGCTGCTCGGAGAACTTTGCCAAACAGCTTCTTGAACGCGTCCAACTTAATCTCATCCAAGGTAGGGGTTCCCCAGATAGCACGCGCAGCTTTAGTAGCTTCGATGCGGACCAAGGATCCAATGTCGCCACGCGCATTCGTCGTATAATTATCTAGACCCTCGCCGATCATGTTAACGAAATCAGCAGTATGTGTGTGGAGGGCGCTGCTGCTTGCCAAGCAGCTGAGGATCGTGGCTTGAATCTCGACCTCTTGAAATTCGGTCCATCGATGCCAAAAGGTCGATATGAGGTCAGCCGTTCGTGGGTGAGCGTAGGTGTCGCCATCGTCGTATTGCTCTAGGGATGATATGCCTGCCAACGGAAATATTTTGAAGAGAGCATGAATGTATGATTTTCCCTGATTCGTGCGACCACCTTTGACTGTCGTTGCTGCACGACGATTGAATTCCCATAAAGTATCCGAGCGTTGATGATCATGATTATCGATCAGCAGTACTAGATCCGCAGCAGCGACTGATGCCACCTATTTCCAAGGTGTTGGGGTCAGCGTTCGTCTTTCGAGGATTTTCGAGACTTGAATGTTCCACGCGCGGTTGGACATTGCGACAAAGATGAATTAACACGAGAAGTTGGGACTTACCTCTACTGCGCCAATGTCGTTGAGGTCGAGTATATTGTAGAGCAATGGACGTATGAGCTTCATCGTCTGCGGATCGGGAAGGAAATCCTTCATATGAGCCATCTGGATGAATTTGACGGCGAGGCCCATTTCCGAATGATCAATTTCCGTTAAAAAGGAAGTGTTGTGAAGGTATTCGAGGAGAGTGAGGTCAGCTTTTGAGGGTTCACAGCGAGATAATGAAAGGCGATTCCCAGAGTGTGTTCCGACGACTGCTAGTGATTCGTATTGCCGAAAGACGCAATCAGCGCGCAAAATTGGACAAACAGCTATGATGATCCGGCTGCACGACTCTGCCATCAAATCGAGTTTTCTAAAACTGCTCCAATACATGTTGACCTCTACCAAGGCCGAGCGTACCTGAGTCAGAGCGATGGAGACAATGTGGGCAAGGTCGCATCTTCCGAAATTTGGGCTCGTATGCACTTCGAGTTCTGCACCAGCAGGAACAACCAGTTGAAAAAGCCTGGGGTATTCTAGGCCAGAATCAATTAAAGATGCGATGCGTTCCGTAGTGCATTCGTAATTGAAATTCTCAATGATAGCCGCCAAGGCGAGTATCAGACCATGTCGTTCCTCGACCTCCCGAGCTGCAAGAGCTTTCAGACGCTCTCCGACGATGTCCATTGCATCATTCACCACTTTCCAGGTGTCGCCCGGCTTCGTAATACTCGTCATTTGTTTAGTCAAGACAAGTTTCCCAATAGCGTCGGCAGCCACACGTCGTGCAGTCGCATCCCCATCTCGGATTCCACGCCAGCCGAGCAATGCATTGAGGAGACCATGGTAGTAATGACCCGACAGTTCGCCAGCTTGCAATGCAACTTCCAGTACAGCCCTTGACCGAAGAGCCACAGCATGGTAGTCAACGACTTGGACAATTTTGATGCCTTCTACTATGATATTCGGATGGCGTCCGATAAGCTCCTGGAGTGCAGCAGATGATCCTCGCCGGATGTTCCCTGCTGGATCAAGTGATGCGGAGACGACCAATTCAGTTGCCAGTATCTGCAATGCCGAGGACTCATTGATTGGACCACCACGGATAAAGACATCATCTTTGAGCTTGAGCCTCTGTAAGTCAACTGTTGTGTATCTGCGGGCCATTGCCCAGATGCCGAAGCACGACGCATCACGAACATTAGTGCCAATTGAAGATCCGGAGGTAGACCGCTGTTCAAAAACCAAGCCCAGGCGAAGAGCATCGAGAATAGGAGGTAACTCGCCTGGGGGTATAGAGCGACGATACAGGAGATGTGCCATGGTGAGCATGAGGCCATGCCATTCCAGCGGATTCACACGAGACAAGTCCCGTGTCTTCCTCTTGTGGCCACCTTTTTGCACGTACAAAGTGTTTTTCTGGAGACTTTCAAGAACGGCGGTTGCAACCTGAACGGCCATTTCTTCAGGTAACTTCAACGTAATGACACTCAAAGCCTTGCTGGCCGCAAGTCGAACAGGAGTCGATGGGTCTGCAAGAGAATCCAACAGGTGATCAATTGTAGCTTCGATGGCCAGGTCGGGATCCGGAATGCTATCAGGGTTTTCAATGATAAGAACAGTAATGGTACGGAGCACCTTGAGCATCGTCTTTCGCGCGACCGCCGACGATCTAATAGTTTTGAAGACAGGCTCTTCGCCGGAAGATATATTTTGAATGCATCTGGAAATCTTCTCCAGATAAGGATTCATGTCTGTTGTACTCTGAGACGAAACAAGAATGCCTGCAAGGAATGAAAGAATGCCAATGTAGTAATAGGTTGAATGGCCTGATTGTGAAGAAATGAGAGAGCAAAAAGCCCATTGCACCAACGCTTTCAAGATGCCGAGTTCTTGCATGTCTTTTCGCATGGCAACGCGGACAAGAAGGATCTTGGCAGCATCTCTCTCCTTACCCGACGACGAGAGATACCGAAGAGCCATTGCAATGACGCGGATTGTAAGTCCAGGGGTATTTCGAGGCCATGGCAGTCCAGGAATCATCGGTTCAACAATATCATCGGTGTCTTCCGATGAAATGGACGCCAGGTCAAACGGAGCCAGCAGCAACTGGGAGAGCCATAGAAGGACAATATATCTCTCTTTCCATTCCCACGAATCCGCAGTCTCCAGGTTGGCAGACTGTCCATGCTCCTGCTCACTGCCTTTCTCGATTGCAGATAGCAGTAGTTCGAGATGCCTTGTCTCGGTGCTGAAGAATCTGACAATTACCTTCTCTCCTCTGACCTTGCAGAATGTGTACAGAAGCCTGCATATTGCTCTCGAGAGTGGTATCAGCAGCTGGGTATTTGTCTCTGGGAGTTTCGAGGGTGGGGATCGGAGGTATGCGAGGAGGGCGTCCGCGAGGGCAGGGACGAATTTGTCGAGGTGGGGGTCGAGAAGTTGAGGATCTTCTTGGAACGGCTCGAGCTGATACCGATTGTTAGCAGATGTGCCACATGAGGGGGGGATTCAAACCAAGTTGACCAGCCTGTCGGTATCCCGTATGCGCACTCGTCGCCTGGTGGCTGATCTGCCCGACTTGGTTGCTTTCCACAGGAACGGTCCCAATGACTTCGAAAGATCTGCGATGAGGTCCGCCGCCTTTCTCTGCAGCTTCACATCCTGCTCGTCCTCGGGTGCGTCCATCTTGAACTGTTTCGCCCGCAGTGTTGGCGTCCTAGGAGGTCATCGTCGAGCTGTAGTGCTGATGTCCCGCGTGAGTGTAGTACAGTACAATCCACGAGCCAGGCTGGTGGTACCTCCAAGGACGTCGCGTGTTCGAGGTAGGTTTCCACGCGTCAGCACTCTAAGTTTAGGCTGTGGCTGTCCCCGCGCTCGCCAATCATCGCCTCCGCGAGCAAAGTCTGGCCAAAAAAGCGGCACTGGATTTTGAATGTCCCGAGTTCAGTTAAGTTAACTTGGGACGGTACAGACACTTCCGGTTAAGAAAGCTCCCTCGGTCTATGGTCTATTTCAAGCCCATTCGCTCGGATTGTCTACGAGGTTTTGGAATATCCAATATCCCCCTCCGCCCCAACGTCCAAACTGAGCGCGGACAATGGTGTCCGGTGCCGCTTTTGCGATGCACAGCGGCCTCCGCCTCCGCCACCGCCACCGCCACGATCAGCCTGCAAGGAACGACGGACGGAACGTTGCACTTGCACTTCCCCCGCTGAACGCGTTCATGCCATGTGCGCTGCGCTGCGTTGCGCTGTCAGGCGGCCCCCAAATTGCAAAAGCTTAAACTTTATGCTTATTTGAAGGCGTGCAACAAAACCGCGACGGAATGCAATACATCCGAGGTATATCTGCACATATCTGCACATATCCGCACATATCACGCTACATCTGCAATGTACTGTACCGTGCCAGGAACATCGAGGGGACTTCGAGTATTCCCACCACCACGCCACATGCGCCATCAACCCCGTGTCTAGTCGGTGACATTTCCCGCGGTTATAAATCGCTCCGTCTCCACCTCCGCCGAGGTGGTGTTGTCATTGACTGATTCCTTGCACAAATGCCCTCTTTATCGCCGATGCTCCGCGCGGACGTTCACATCGCCTTGAACAGGCCGCGGAGGTCTGGAGCAAGTCTCCTAGATATGATTCTACCCAATTCCCTCCAGACCTTATTTCCCCCTTGATCATTGTTCGCGTTCTACATCGGTCACCAAACCGGAACAATGGGCAATACAATCAGCCAAGTATTCCCTCCCGAAGCCAAGTTCACCGAGAAGAATCTCCCCGACCAAACCGGCAAGGTACATCTCCACTTCTCCCAGCTTTGCTCCAACTTATCCTCTAATAGCTACCAACAGGTATTCATCGTCACGGGCTCCTCCTCCGGTGTTGGCAAAGAGCTGGCGCAGATACTCTACTCCCACAACGCAAAAGTCTACTTCGCAGCCCGCTCAGCAGAGAAGACGGCCGCCACCATCGAATCCGTAAAGACCGCTTTCCCGAACTCGAAAGGCCAAGCAGTCTACCTCCACCTCGACCTCGATGACCTGACCACCATCAAAGCCTCTGCCAACGAGTTCCTAAGCAAGGAAGACAAGCTCAACGTGCTGTGGAACAATGCCGGCGTGATGGTGCCCCCACAAGGTAGCAAGACGAAGCAGGGTTATGAACTGCAATTGGGGACGAACAACGTCGCGCCCTTCCTCTTCACGAAGCTATTGACGCCAATTCTGATCAAGACTGCGAAGTCGGAGCCCCCGGGAACGGTCAGGGTGGTTTGGACGAGCAGTAGTGCCGCCGAGGGCATCAGCCCGAAGAATGGAGTCGATATGAATAATCTCAATTACAAGGTCGACAAGTCTGCTTGGCACAAGTATGGTATTAGCAAGGCGGGCAATGTTTTTCATTCGAAGGAGTTTGCGAAGAGGTATGCTGGGGATGGGTTGATCTCTGTGGTATGTGGTCCCTCTCCGGCCCACAATCTACGACTAGTGCTGACAGCGACAGTCTCTCAACCCCGGGAACCTCAAGACTCCCCTCCAACGCAATGTACCTGGTTGGCAGATGACGATGATCAACACCATGTTACATACTCCCATCCATGGTGCATACACAGAGTTGTTCGCGGGTTTGTCGCCGGACGTTACGCCCGATCATAATGGAGCTTGGATCATACCATGGGGACGCATAGCTCCTATCCGAAAGGACCTTGAAGCTGCAGGCAAGTCAGAGAAGGAAGGTGGCACGGGCATCGCAACCGAGTTCTGGGAGTGGAGCGAGGAGCAAGTTAAAGCCTATCTTTGAGCTATTGACCTTGGTATTGAGGTTTGAAGGGATTTTATGGGCTAGCTATGGTTGCCACTGAGCGCTCTTGGATATTTGGCTGTTCATAGGTTTGGGGCTTTGCTGGGATGCGCGTTTTGTGTCCTTGTATTTACGTTTTGCGATGAAAAATCCTTTTAAGACCCCTCTGTTTCGCCCTCAGATTCCACCTAGCACCTTGGATTAGCTTCGTCTTCTGTTCTCATCTCATTTCGTTCCTTAAAATCATGCTCTTAAAGTCTCCACTCGGGTTAAGCAAAGTGCTTGACCGAGGCGAGTAAGCTATCTACCTTATGAGGTTCGCACGTGACTAGTGGTTCTGCCTTGCCTATTCTGGTGATTGTTAGGATGTTGTGATGTTTCCTACTTCTTAAACATTGGGCAGCAGGAATTCAAGCCCTCGGTTCCAAGTGCCACCTGCACCATCCTGGTCAAGCTCTCGTGGGCTGCTGCTTCCATGAGGCTGCAAGAGCCAGATGGCACCAATCCAATCGCCTGACATGCCTCACCGGCGCCCTCGCTTCCTGCCTTCAAGACACAAACCTGCGCCCTCGCAAATTTTGCACTCATCCTCGCGGCTGCAAGAGCCAGGTCACACCCGGTGCACCTTTCCAGCGCCCTCGGCTCTTGTTTATTCGACGGAGTCTCATCAATTTCGGCGCCTTCGGTTCCTATCCTGCAACAAACAAATCCGTGAGGCCCCCTTCTTTCCCATTTCCTCACACTCTTTCGCAACTTCACTCTTCTTCACAACTCCACGGATCGCAAAAGCTCAGCGACTACGACATCCAATCTCGCATTCAAAACAAGTTCCACTATTCAGTATCCAAATTTCAAGATGCCTTTCGACTGGGAATCCACCCTCCAGGCCTCTCAGGGAGACGAATTCTTCGATTTCGCCGCTGCCAGTGGAGAATCCTCCGAGACTGGACCCTCCAGCGCGGCTCAAACCTGGGCGACGAGCAGCTCCCCATTCAACGAGGAGCTGCACAATTTCCCAACGCCAGACAACAATCACGGAGCTCCCTCGTACTCTTCATCCCAGCCATATGACAATCTCGCTGGCGATACTACCGCATGGGCCGAAATGATACCAGCTCCACACCAGCACCAGCCTGTCAACATGGCCGCAGCCACATTCAATCTACCAGAAGAATCCAACGTCTGGGCTCATGACTCCAGCATTTCCACGACCAAGGCCTTCCAACTCCATTCGAGCGCACCGACAGAGACCCAAGATCACCTTCACTGTGACCCTCTCACGCAGACCGTTTTGGGCTCTGCCCAGTGGCGCATGGACAACCAGCAGCTCCAAGACAGCACCATGATGGACTGGGCGTTGCCTTCAGAAGGCAACCAATCTGAGTGAGTTTTTTTTTTTTAGCACCACGCTAAGCGGGCGCAGGTTGATGCAACCTCAGCACACATCCCACCCACGACGAATGATTCGTTGCCCCTGGCCGAGCTGCGTCATCAACTCTTCTTTTCAAACCGAGGCTGAGGCCAGTGGTCATTTGGACACCCATCAAAATGCAATGCTGGAGTCTTGGAATGGTCCAACCAAATGTAGCTGGCCCAACTGTTCCTCAACACTTTTCAAGGAGAAACACCTCCTCAATAGGCACCTCAGAAACATCCACATCACTCCTCTCCGTTGCTCCGTTGTCGGATGCTCTCGCCTCCAGCCGTTTGGCAAGGAATCCGACCTCAAGCGCCATGTCAAAGAAATCCACGAAAACTTGCGCATCCTTTGCCCTGTTGAGTCTTGCGAATCAAACTCCATTGGGTTCGCGAGGAAGTACAATCTCGACAAGCATATGAGAGAGGAGCATGTCAATGTCAGGTGCACGCTGAATCACTGCGGCGCATCAATTCTTGATGGAGAACAGGAGTCACATATCAAGGATGCTCATGGTGACTACGAATGCGCTCTCTCGGCTTGTGGAGATGGTTTGCCCTCCCGTTTCACGATGGAAGCAGCACGACTTCATCTTATCAGCGTGCATAAGATGGATAAAAACACCGCTTACAGTCCATTTAATCCCTACTACAGCCTCCGGAAGAATCACATTATTGATCGAAAGGCTTTTGTGCGTTTTTATTTGATAAAGAAGTTCGAAGACTGTCAAGCTTGCTTGGACTCCCTCCCTGGAGCAAATTAAACTTCCAAGAATACAACTTCTTCTCGTTCGACCGTAGATTTTGATCATGGGGGTGTTGTCTTGGCCTCTATTCTTCCAACTTGAACTCTTCCCAGGTGAGAGTTGGGCAGGCGATGTTATCGAGGAGTCTTAGGATTGGCGAGAGCTGGAAGGACGTTCTTTCGAAGTGGCACTGGATTTTTCTTTCGTTTGGCTTGAGTGATTTGCGACTAGACGCTTGACAGGGATATTGATCCAGGATTGGACTTGTGAAGGGCAAAGGACATTCTTCAAAGCTGCAATAGATATTCATACAGAAAATTGTTTTGTCATGCTCGACTTCTGCTTCAAAAACACTTGTGAACTCCTATCTATTTATTTCACTGATGCTCCCCACATACGCACACAGCCCGCCATCGAATCAGTGCCTGTTCATCATAGTCCCTCCCCCAACCGCAGCTCCTCGTAAAGCCTGCACGAAACCGGTTAGATATGGATCGCCTTCGAATTACTCTTGCCTCCACTTGAACATATACGCCATCAAAAGGCTATTCAACACAGCGATAATCCAGCAAGCGAACCCAAACGCTCCCTGAAAATCATGCTCGAACAAGCTCCACAGCCCCGCCGCCATTCCACTCAAGAGCACGACAACAAAATTCGCCTTGAACAACGCTGCAAAATCCGGGCCTTCGTCAATATGAATGCCCCAGCCAAAGCTCGCCGGAGCCGCCGATTTGAGAAGGCTCGTCTCGAGCTTGCGAGGAAATCGCAGCATCCAGAACAGTGTGCCAGGCCCCTCGCTGCACTGAAGGTAGTGCAGAAACAGATCTTCCGCGATGGGCGGATCTCCATCTAGAGGACACGGGTCGTAGATCCAGTTCTTCGCGTCGACTTCGCTCTTTGGGGGCAGGGCTAAGGGCTTTTGTAGAATCCCTACGCGGTGGCGATTCTCAAGTGAGAACTATGCAGTGTTACTGTATTAGCGCTCGCCTCGATGTGGAATACTTTGACTTACGCGGGCAAAAGATATAGCTGCGGGTTTCAACAACCAAAACCTGGAACGGAATCCCCGCAGCCGGAGGTACTGTTTTCTGAGGGTCTGGAAGAGTGTACCGTCCGTCGAAATATTTGCCGTGTCGATCTCTGCCAAACTTTTCAGGTGGGGTCCAGTGTTGACGCACAATTCCAAGAATGAGAGATCGAGGCCGTTGTTAGCAGCCATAGGAGGCGTCTGCGAGGTGCAAGCAGGCGTGGGATTGCTTAGGCCATGAGCAATCTGCCTCGAACTATTGGAAACATTTGGGTGTTGAAGGTGTGCAGTTGGTGTAGAAGCCAGAATAGTCGTCGATGGGCGCGATGTGCTACTTTGTGAATTTCCGCCCGGTGTGCACTTCAGTATGCCGGAATATTTGTTCAGAACGTCTTGGGATTTGGTGTTGAAGTCCGCATACAGATCATGTCCACAAGCCTGTCAATAGTCAAAACTGCCCCTACTTAGCTAGCAATTCTCTGAACTTACACATGTCCATTCAATCCGCGAGTGATCTTTAGCTATTGGCTTTCTCCTCAACCTTGCCCACCAATTCCGAAGTGAAAGTAATTTGCGTGACGTGAATTGTGTACTCGTAGCAATCCACGGTCTCATTGATAACACAGCTTCCTCAAGCCACCCATGTTTGGGCTCCCAACTTTCCAGATGAACCTCTTCCTTAGGGAGCCTCGGTAGCTGCACGTGGTATTTAGTTGATTCTTGGGGGCAATCTATCTTGCTTATTTTTTCTAAGGAGTATTGTTCCTTTGATGTCTCTTGTAAGCCTAGTTCCGGCAGTGTACTAGGGTCGCATTCTTGCAGACTCCATGACCTCCCATTCAGAGGCATATTAAATGCCGAATTCCATGCAAATTCCGAAGCACGAATCGATGACGATCCAAATTGAGGGTAGTCTTCTTCTGGCTTCGGGGCTGGTATGCCGTATTCTTCTGTGACACAATTTTCCACCCTCACTTCGGCTTCATCGTGCCCATTGTCCAATCCGACGGGTAGGGATTCGTCAACTCCTAGAACGGTCGTTTTATTGGATGGCCTCACAAACTCAGTGAGTTGCTGTTTTAGCTCAGAGAACGCCATCGAAGAAAGTAGGTATAGTTTGACCTTTTCCAAATTCCGAAGGTTTGGCTAATCAGAATCGCTAAGATCGCTATCAATATCGCTTCCACACTCGCTTCCTTCAACTCGATCTTCTTCGCCATCTTCTTCTGCACATGGAATAAGCCCCAAAAACCTCTCGAGCGCAAGTTTTGACTGTTTCTGCTTTTGAAGCTCGTCCAAAGAAGCTGCACGCCCATCTTCAGCAAGCTCGAGACGCTTTCTGATGAGAATAATTACATACGCCCTGTAATTATGCACAAGGTGTATTGCGCTTTTTTCCAACTCGTTCCGTGCTTCCCTCCGGAGACTCAATGCAAATTTCTTGAGGATACGACCTAAATTCCGCTCAAAGCGTTCCGATCCGAAGTTCTTGTAGCCGTCCACAATTAACCCGGAAATCAAATCGTCCTTAACCAGCATTTCAGCCAGCTCATCTACGGCTCCTCCGGCCGCAGCGGGATTGACAGAAGACATTGTATCTCTGGTGGCCCAACTTTGAACAGATGCGACGGAGCCGGTCTCCCACTTCGCAGAGTCGCCAATTCCTTGGCCATCACCTGGAATCGGTCTCTGAGCTCTTGATACCATGCTATAATACCCGCTGTCTTTTGAAAAGCATGTTTTGGTGTCTGTATCATCAACAGTTTCCTGTGGAGCGCTGGAAGTTTTTATATAGTTTCGTGAGTCTGAGTACCGTTCGTTGCTCCAAGCCATGGGAAGGTCAAGCAAATGCTCGTCTCGCATGCACGCATTTTCTAGCATTTCCCTCCATTTGCCACTTGTGGCAAAATGGCTATTCTTCAAATGCTGCCCAAAGTGATCTCTTCTCCAGAACTTCTTGTCGTGATTGCACTCTCCAAACCGGTGAATTTCCTGTAGATGTCTTATCCGCACTTCCCAGTCTTCATCTGTTGCCATCGGCACTCCGAGTCCGGACCCAGAGCGTGGAAAATCCTCGCCACAATATCCACATGTGTCTGTCTCGTTTGACTTTTTAGGATAATTCTGAAATGCATCAGAGTAACCAGGAAGTGCTGAACATGACCAAGAATACCAGCGAAGATGGACGCCATTGAGATGTGGTTCCACTTCATTTTCGTTCTTAAAACGGTTCTTACAGTAAGCACATTCGTACGGCTTTTCTTGTTCATGTGCGCTTGAATAATTTGTTAGCTATGGCTGTGGAAATCTGATAGGAGGGTCATACTTCAGCTCTGCTTGAGTCTCGAACTCTTTAGGCTTTATTGGACAACACTGGCATAAGTAGTAGAAACGCGGAATGTTACGTCCGCCACAGCCATTTGAAGTGCTAGGGCTGTAATTCAAAATAGAATGCCTTGAAATGTCTGTCGATTCTCGGAAGGCTCGAGTGGTTGTCTCTCCAATGATGGTTGGTAACGATTTTTCAAGGAGGTTGAACCCGCAGGACTAGGATTGAAAGGGTCGAAAGCTGAAGGCTCAAATTTTGGCTCATTCTCTGGAGGGAGCCACGGCGAGTCGACAATAGCTGATAGTGGCGGCGGAGAAGAGGCTCGTCGTTTCTGACCAGCCACATTATCAAGAGGCTCAGTTAAGTCGTCGTTGTTTTGAAATGAAAGAGGACCTATCTCGGCCCACCAACTGAATGGATCCCTTGGGTATGGATTATCAGTTTCTGGCCTGAAAAAAGACGGACGCGAAAGGGGCGGAAAAGAAGATCTCGGCGGAGCGTAGTCCGGATCCCTCCCAGCACTCAGTTTCTCCAACACCGACTTATCATGTGCTTGCGCATTTGTTCGGAACCGTTCGTGGACTGAATTCTGGAAACCAATCCCAGCAGATGATGCTTCTTCGGATTTTGATCTGTTTAAACGCAACAGTCAATTCATGGTTCTAGAGTCTGAACTTGACAAGCGAGTGCCCCATCATTCTGAAGGGGAGGAGGTTGATTTATCAACCCGGAGCGTAGTAGTTGGCAAACTAACCTATCTGACGCAATGCCTTTGGGGACCAAGCTCGTATAGCTCGCATTTAGTGGATGCAGGTTTGTTCCTATTTCCGGATCCGTGCTTGCCCCGGCATTGTCGTATTCGATGGTTGATGTAAATCTTCTTCGATGCGGTAATTCTGGCTGCTCGTCCAGGCGGCTCCTTCTACTTCCAAACCTCCAGTGGAGGCTTGATCCAGGTTGAAAAGCCCGTGTATTAAAGCTCGGCCCGCTGATCTCATTTGGTTCGCCCCATTCCCATGCAAGATCAGGAGAGGGGAGGGGAGGAGGCACATGGTCGGCGCTGCGGGCCGGGATGTCGGTTGGAGGGGGCAGTGGAGGGAGTATACAATCCGCTCTGCGGTCCGGGACATCCATTGAGATGGAAGACAATGGGAAACAAAGCCGAATTTGGGTCAAACTGGTCGGTGGGACCGGCCTCGTGTATATACAGTTAAGGTGCTGCACAGCCTTGCCCTTTGCTACCGAGGCCGATAGCGATGCTCCTGCCAAAACCCCGAAATGATATTGTATAATGCATTTGTATATATTACACTCGATACTAGAAAATCAAAATTTAATAATTAATGATTCTATTACTCATACGTAATATCCAAGCCTTATTAGATATATTTAAGTCATTTTGAGCTAATTAGATAAAGCAGATAATATTGATTCTAAGAATAATTCAAGTTAATAGATTATAGAAATATAAAGCCTATTATTTATATAACTTATTCCTCTTCTCTAATACTTTGCAGTACTAGAAACCTGATAGATTTATCTAATATTAAATTAATAATAAAGATATATATAATAGTAAATAATTCGTTTCATTTATATATCTTTTTAAGTTTTAGAAATATATATATTTTTAGGCTATAGATATTCGAATAGAAATACTAGTTTATTTACTATTAATAAATATTTACTATTAAATCTAATTAGTTAAAATATATTAAGAATAAAATACTACTAATCTAGTTTTATAATACTAATATATATAGAAAATTAGTATAGAAAATTAAGGTAATAATTAACTCTTTATTTACTATTAATTTTATTATTCCCAGCTTTCCTATAGGTTTTTTATTCTTATACTAGAATATAAATAAAAAGAAAAGAAAAGGAGAAAGAGAAAAAGATATATATATATATATAAATTTAAAGAAGTAATTACTACATATTAGAAGTATTAATTTTCGGTAATTTTCAAGCGATTTTCGGGCATTTCTTATTCTATTCTATTATATTTTACTCTATTATACTCTATTCTATAGACTTTCTATTTATATATCGAAATATAAATAAAGAAAATAAAAGAAAAAGGAAAAAAGAGAGAAATATTTATTTTTAAAAGAAGTAGTTATTATATATTATAATTTTTAGTATTTCTTATTTTATTTTAATTAATATAAAAATACTATTAATTACTAGAAACTTGAAATCTCTATAATATTTATTAACTAGCTATATAGTAAAAGTATTAGAGTTAATATATAATATAGATTATATATAGTCTAGAAATCAAGTTTATTTATATTAATTAGTCTCGTTTTTCTAATACTAAAATACTAATCTTTAATACTTTATAATAATATAAATTTAGGAACTAAATTTTTAAAAAATATTAATAGTAAAAATATATATAATAGTAAAAAATTATTTTATTTTTTGGCTTATTTAAATAAAAATATATATATATTTCTATATTTAAATATTTAGATAAAAGAATTATTTTATTTACTATTATATAGCCTATTATTATTATATTCGAATTTTTTATAGAAATTAAGAATATAATACTATTAATTCTATTTAATAATATAAAAGTATATATAAAATTAATATAAAAAATAAAGATTTTTGCTATATTTATACTAATAAAAATAATTAATAGTAGTTTTCTTATTATAGGGCCTCTAGTTTAGTATTTTATATATTAAGAAAAGAAATAAGAAAAGAGAAAAAGAGGAATATATATATATAAGTAAGTAAGTAATTATAATAATAGAAAAGTTATAAAAATATAGAATAAATTATATAATATTTACTTTATATTAACTATTTCTTTATTTCGATTATTTAAAGACTTTTTTATATTACCTAACTCTTTTTTCTTATAACTATTTTCTTATTATTATATAATCTCTATATAAGCTTTTAATATATTTTAAATAGAAATAATTTATTAAAAAATAATTCAGATTTAAGGCCTATACTAATTGCTTTTATTTTCTATTTCTTTAATATTTTAATATCCTCTTTTAATATATAGCCGTTTATATAAATTAAAACAATTTCCCAGTTAATAATAAAAGCAAACTTTAAGTTACTATTACCTGAATAAGCTATTTCTTTTACTAGATAATATATAGAACTAATATAATTAGCTCTAGTCTTATAAAATAATAGTAAAATAGAATGAGATTATTAGTATTAATTAAGGATTTAAAAGACTTTCTAAGTTTTGAACCTATAATATAAACTATATAAATACTCTTTTAATTAGTAAAGTATTATATAATTATCGAGTTTTTAAAGCTATTCTAATTTAATACTAGTAAGTTATTTAACTAGCCTAGCTATAGAACTTTTCTAATTAGGTTTAATAAAGTTTTATAAATTATTAATTTATATAAAAAGTATATAAATAAATAAGAAATCTTTATAGGCTATATTAAGCTAAAGAATTATTATAATAGTATATATAATAATTATAAAAGGTAAAATAAGAAAGCTAATTACGAAATAAAAGATATAAATAAATATAAGTTTAAATATATAGAGGAACTATTAAAGAAAAAATATAAAATAATAAAAAAAGAATTATAAAGCTAATTAATTATAAACTAGCTAATAGAAAAAAGACTTAATAAATAAAGCCTGGTTATATAGTAAATAAAGAGATTTTATATATTTAAAAATATTTAAAAATATGGCTTTTATATATAGAAAAATATATAGAATTCAATTATCTAGTTTTAATTCATAAAATAAACTAAAACTCTAGAAATAGCTAATTAAATCCTAACTAAATAAATAAATTCTAACTAAATATAGCTTGGATTTAATTATAATAAAAGATTTAATTATTTCTTATAATTAATAGGCTTAGTAATATGTTTTATATAAGTTATATAATAGAATTATTTAAGAGAAATAAGCTTAACTATTTTCAGATACTAGTAAAAAGCAGGTATTTTCTGATATTTAATATTAGTAATAGAAATAGAAATAGGTAATTAGATTAAAAATAATAGATAGTTATTAGGCTTTAGAAAGGAATTAGAAGATCTAGAAAATAGCTCTTTTAATATAAGTATATTAGATTCTAATAAAGATATAGAAATTAGGTAATTAAATAAATTTATAATAGGCTTTTTCGAGGCAAATTAATTTATAGTTAGATTAGAGTTTACTAATAGATCGGAATTCTAGATAAATATATATTAGAAAAAAAGAATAAAAAAGAAAGTAGATTTATATAATTATTTCAAACTCTGCCCGAGAATTAATAATAGTAAAAGAACTAGAAGTTTTATATTTTAGTTTATTTATTTTAAAAGTTATTTTAAAAGTTTTACTTTCCGAAATAATTAATTATATTCTAAAGTTTATAATAAAGGAATTATTAGAATTAAGAATATAATTAAACCAAATTAGCTTTTTATATTTAGTATAATTAAATATTCTAAAAGTATTATAATCGGATATATTATTATTAGTATAGCTATTTCTTTGGGAATCACGTATATAGTTACGGGATACGGGATACGGGATATGAGTAATAGGATATGGGATACGGGATATAGTTATATGACCTTGCGTCCCATTAGTAACTCGACTAGTAGACTAGATTTCTTTAGGCTTAGCAGATTTAGGGATCGCATATTAATACTATAATACTATAATCCCTACTTCTAAATAATAATAATAACTTTACTAACTAATATAACTAGTATTTCTATACCTATATAATAGTATTATATATTACTAGTAAACTAATAATTATTTAATATTTATATAGTAATACCTATTTCAAGTTTCTAGATATTAGTAAATAATAGCTTAAGGCTATAAATATATTTCTTAACTAATTAAATTATTAATAAAATAATATTATAGAACTTGAAATTCCTTTTATTACTAAAATAAAGCTTAAATTACTTCTTTTAAAACTAGAAAGTAATATAATTATAGAACTAGTATTCTTTAAATATTAGCTAAATATATTTTAATATAAACTTTTTAATAGAAGAAATAGTATAGTTTTAGAAATAATAAATATATTTAGTTATAAATATTAGTAATTATATAATAAAAAAAAGGGAAATATATTTACTAGCTTTTTTATATTTTAATTATATCTTAATATTCTTTTAATAAATATCTAGTAATATATATTCGAATTTATATATAATTTAATATATTAGAAACTTCTCTAGTATTAAGTATATTTTACTCTTTTTTCTTTTTTTATTAGAATTATTTATTAGCTATATTAAAATTATAAAAATAGTAGAAAATAGCTTTATAAGATTATTTATATATTAAGAAATAGGAAGTTATTTAGTATAAAGAGAATTATATATTATAATAGTTAGATTATTTTGGTATTTAGTATTTTGAATTACTTGAAGTTTTATTATATTAAAAGAGCTATTATTAGCAGAATTAGCTCTATTTCTAAAAGTATAAAATTTAAAGAAAAAGAAATAAAATAAAAGAAATATTAAAATTTACTAAGGGCTATTTATTAAAATAGATTTAGAAAGCAACTATTAAGAGATATAGGTATTAGAAATAAACTAGCTAAAAAGAGAAAAAGAAGCTAAAATACTATTAGATATTATAGAAAGCTAGCTAATACTAGGTTATATAAGGGCAATAAAATAAGTAATAGAAATAGAGGCTTATAGATTAAATTCAATACTATTAGATCTATAAATATAGTACTAATTATAGAATTTAATAGTAAACTTATAAAAGTATTCTTTAGAATCTCGGGCTATATTTAAACAGGTATTTTATTATAGAATTATATACTTTGAAAAATTAATTAAAGTTAATTCGAATATTATAATTAAAATTTTAAGAAAAATTAAGGAATTTAAAATACAGAATTAGTTATATAAATAGCTAAAAAAGTAATTTCTATAAATAAATAATAAAGAAGCTAAAGAAAAAAATATATATCTTATATATTTAAGCTAATTAATTCTTTCTGAAATTACTTGTAATTTAAGTTATTATTTCTAATATAAAGAAAGCTTTCCGGGAGAATTAGTAATATTATAAATTAAAAAGTCTAATTACTTTATAATATTTGAATTCAGAAATCAAGATTAAACTAGAAGATTTTATTTAAGATATTTCCTTTTATAATAGCTGCTTTATATTTCCTATATAAAATAACTAATTTAACTAAAACTAGAAATATTATGATATATATATATATAATTATAAATTATAGCTTAAAATATATAATATATATAAATATATAAAGAAATATTATTATTTATTCTAATATTTAAAAGCTTTAAAATATTGAAATTAATATTCTAGAAAAATAGAGTTTAATAATATTAATTAAATATTACTAGTAAAAGATATTTATTAAGATTTATGAAAATTAGTATATGAAATAAACTAAATAACTTAAAAAAATATGAATTTTATTCTAATATTTATAATTTTTAAGAATTCTATTATAGAGTTTTATATTTATAGATTAACTATATTATTTAATTCCCTATCCCAAATACTAGTAAAGAAAAAAAAGCTTTTCTAAAACGTGATTTTAGTATATAAAATCTATTTTAATTATATATATATTCTATAAATTAGTATATTTAAAAACCTTATTTCTAATTTTAGATATATAAAATACTAATAATATAATTCAATTCTATAGATTCTAAGAATTATATTACTTTTTATTTACTAGTTCTATAAAATAATTCTATAAATAGATATTAGCTAAATTATATATATATATACTAGAATAAGATTTCAAATAGCTTTAATTAAAAAAAGTAATATAATAAATAATATAGAAAAGCCTAATTTATATATTACTAAAATAATTAGGAAATCTTTAGCTTTTATTATTAGAATTTAATATATTAATTCTTAATACTTTTTCTAAAATAGAAATAGTTTTAAATATAAAAAATAAAAGTATATTTTTATAATAAAAGAAAGCTTATTACTTTTATTAGCTCGAAAGAATATAGAAATATAGCCTAATTAAATATAAGTTATAAAATACTATTATATTATTAAATAAGATATATAATTTAATATACTAATATAAATCCAAATAATAACCCGAGAATAGATATTAATATTAAATAGAAATAGCTTATTATATCTATTAATTAACTAAATATAATTCGAGCCAGATATAATATTTATTTATTTATTTAATTATATTCTTTTTATTTATTAAATAATAGCTTCGAAATTAAGAATATATAATATTATAAATAAGATATCTTTATATAGAATTTAATTAATTAGCTATTTTTTCAGAAATAGTTATATAAAAGCCTTTATTTATAGTTTTTAATTTGGCTATTATTAAGCTCTTTTTATAGAACTTTAAATAGCTAAATATTTTTTTTTTTTTTCTTTTAAATATATCTATTTACTATAAAAGCCTAATCTTTTTCTATAAATATATTACTTGAAATTTATTAATATTATATTTATAATACTAAAATTTAATAACTATTTTATTATTAATATAGCTTATCCTAAATAATATAATAATCTGAATATATAGATTTAGTATATTTTAAATAATTATATATTTATAAATGCCCTAGAAATATAGTTATTAATAAATTATTCTTTCTAAAACTATCTAGCTAAAGGTAATTTTAATATTTTGGGCGATTTTTTCAGTTATATAATAGGCCCGTATCCAGTTAATAATATAAGCTTGAATTAGATCTAGATCTATTCTTAAATAAGGTATTTTAATAGATTTATAAAGGGTTATAATTATTTTAATAGTTTTAATGATTTTTATAGTATTATTAATAAGGGAAATATAAAATCGCAATTTCTGAAAGTAATTAAAATTAAATAAGACTTATTAAAAAGTACTAAATTACTATAGTAACCGAGCGATTTTTGGTATATTAATTCTTTTAAACTTTATAAATAATAAATAGTTAATATTAAAGTATATTTATTACTAATAATAATAGTAAGTAATATATATAATTAATTCTTGATTTATAATTAAACCTTAATACTATTAGTTCCAGGGTCTAGCCCTAATTAAATACAGTATTTCTAATGCCTAAAGTAATACTAAAAGTCAAGTGCAATATTCAAAAGCACTACAAAGTGCGAATATGCTATATGCAAAGTGCTAATATCGAATGCAATTAAAAATCGGGGTTTTGGCAGTACAGGGGTTAGAGGCCTCGGTATTTGCAGGGGAAAAACTGAAACGACCCCCCCTCAACCCCCCCCCCCCCCCGGGTGTCGATTAGGGGTGTCAATTACCAGGATTAGGGGTGTCGATTGGGAGCAGACTATCTACTAAACCAAAGCAGAGGCGCTCGGACAGGAATACCAAAACTCTGGCTTTTTCTTTAATTTAATTTAATTTTATAAAGAATTAATATAATCTAATACTTGCTTTATATCTTTATAGCGCTAATAAAAGGCATTCAAATATAAACTTTTTATAAAATTTGGATTAGTAATTATTCTTTAAATTAAAGAAGTTAAAAAATCACATATTTTAAAGCTTAAAAGTAAGCTTAAAAAAACCTAGAAGTTTAGTAGTAATAAGTCCCTAAAACCAGATACAAGAGCCTTATAAGCCTATAATTTATAAGGCCTTATTCCTTTGTCCGGCGAGACATTGCTATATTAGCGGCCGCATATAAATATCCTTAATTCGGATTATATTCTGGGATAGGGCTCAAAAACTTGAACTTAATTAGTTAGTATATAAACTCCCTTATATTAAAAAATCTAACTTAAATTTTTTAAAGAGCTTAAGTAGCCAAATACAAGTGGTTGACACCCCTAATAAATACCAGGAGGGGTCGTTTCAGTTTTCCCCCTTTGCAGGCACAGCCACCTGAGATTTCCGTAATTAGAAGGTGTCACTCACTAGTTCTAATCGCTCACACCCCCTTCCCGCTCAACTTGGATTTTGGAGACCTTAATACAGGGAAACCCGGTTATAAGGGTAATCTCTTTATAAGGGTAGTAAATCGGGAACCAAATTTTTTTTCCTACCAAAATTAGTCTGGATATAAGGGTAACTCCTTTATAAGAGTAATTATTCTGGAACCGGCCGTACCCTTATAACCAGGTTTCCCTGTACTACAATTCGAAGAATTAATACGATATTCACAATATTTGGAGTATTGTCAACTTGAAAGGTTTTAGAATCTTCCAAAGGCTTTGAAAAATCGAAAAAAAATTGGTAGGGTAGGTGTGGGCGGGAAGGGGGTTTGGGCGGTTGGTGGGTGACCCCTTCTACAGGGGTATTTTGTGCATCAGCCTCCTTCCAGGCTTAATCTGTGTGCAGCATGGTAACACAGGACCTCGTCAGATGGATTCCTGGAACAATTTCCTGTGTTATATATCAGCTCTTTCTTCAATCTGCTTCGTATCACCAGGTGGCACTTATCAACGAGATAGTCAAAGCTGGAAGAAACTTGCACACAGAGGAGAGATGGAGACCTCATATACGAATATTTGCATCCGCCCTCTAGAAATAATGCTTCAATAATCAGATTTTGTATAAGGCTTTGGTAATCTAATAGATGCAACCCTCCTATTTTCCCCCTTTCTAGATAGAGCTCGATTATTTATAAATTATCAAATACAACTGTTAATTTTTTCAATGTAGCTGCAGCAAGAATATATTGTTCTTATAACGATCCTAATTAATTACACTTAACTCTCGTATTGCATCTCAAAGTGAATTGCAATGTTGGATTAGCTCCCAGGCTGGTTATTTCAGTGATCAATAACCGTCTTAATTTGAGCAGCATTATTTCGTAACCAGTACTCACCTTCTCGTAAATACTCACACCGCGATCGACACAACGAAAAGAAGGTGAGATCCCATTTTTTCTGGCAGCCCGGCACCAACCAGCTTGATGATGCCAGTTCTAGGCTCAGGAATTAAGGTGCACTTACAGCGGCAAGGACTGCAATCGGAAAACAAAATGCTGATGCCCACTTGGATCAGATTCAAACTGTTACGTTTCTAGCGGACGATGATCGATGGTTAAAGCCAAGATCAATCCAGAGAGCTTGGGCGAAGTCTTGAAAGTAATTTGAGTGTGAGAGGGTAGAGCTGAGATGGCTGACGTTGGGCGGTGGGGTGGGCACCGTGGGACGACGACACATAGGTCGAGTAATCGCATGACCAAAGGAAACTAGATAACCTGTGTAGAGGTCCGGATAGACTTGGAAGGAGAGGACTCTGTTCAAGAGAAAAAACTCCAGTAGATAGCTAGAAGTAGCATCCTGAAAGAGTGACTTACTGGGAGAGACGAGTCCCTTATTCCTTTTCTGAGTGCTTGTCCCAATCCGGCTCCGGCACTCAGGGGCTTGCCTCGCTTATTTGAGCCAGAAAACGTCCGTAACACACGTCAATCGTTTGATGTTTTGACTTAGATAGAACATATATAGTTGCACAAATGCATCCAACTCGAAATTTCAGAGTCGCAACCGATATAAGTTTTGTAGAAAAATTGGTATTTTGAAGTGTTGGGGGCGGAAGAAGCGAGTTACTTGCTTGGAGCCCAACATTGTGGTTGTCCGCAGGTCTTCATACCATCCATCTACTTTCCCTGAAAGAAGTCTAGCATTGCGCTCCAATACGTCATTAAAACAACAAGAGTGTTTATTGCCCCGATTTAATCACACTCTTGAAGCCTCATTTTCGTGATCTCTAAAACAAAACCATGGTGTTCTCATTTGTCATTCCCACGGCAAGTAGCGATTCCGCTCCCTGAATTTGGAATACCATCACCCCACTGTCCAATGAGTCCAAACTACCCCGCAGTACCAGACCCGTAACTGGCAGCCACAACGGCAAGGCGCCGGGGCCAAGACCAAAACGTACAATGGTGAAAAAGAATGAAGGCATATTCCGGAATTCCGACCAAAGCAATTACACATGGCTGTCCTGCTCTCTTTTCGTTCGTGCCTTCCCTGAGAAAGCTCCCCTGCCCAGCTGAGCTCTGCGTGAGGCTTACATGGAGAGCTCCGAGCTATAGCTTATAATCGGGAAGTTCTCCAGCCTCAAAATTTTCTCAAACCCTCACACCACTGTCGTTCCTGGCTTCAAGTCTTTGATCAAAAATTCTTCCAATTACTTTCAGAGAACGCCAATCAGCTCGAAAACAACAATGTATGCATCAATCGGCTTTCTTGCAGGCCTAGCAGCCACTGTGGTTGCAAAAACCATCGTCATCACCGCCGGCACTGGCGGATTGGCGTTCTCTCCCGACACCATGACCGCTGCTGTAGGCGATGTACTGGAATTCCACTTCGTGGGCAGCATCCACACTGCCGTGCAAGGCGACTTCAGTTCTCCATGTGTCCAGTCCAGCGGGGGTTTTGACTCTGGAAAAATCAGCAGCGTAGGTCATCTCCCGCCTCCTACTAGATATCAAGTGGCTGACATTGTCATGATTTGCTAGGCCAGCGTCTTCCAAGTCACAGTGAAAAACACCGATCCGATGTGGTTCTTCTGCGCAACACCCACTCATTGCCAAGGCGGTATGGCCGGCGTCGTGAACCCACCTTCAACTGGCGATTCCCTGGCTGCTTATAAATCCGCGGCGGGAAATGCACCTTCTTCGTCATCATCTGGGAAGGTATCAGGTGGCGTCGTTTTGCCAGTAGGAAGCTCTGGCTCAAGCTCCAGCGCGACTCCCGCCCCGCCATCCACTTTCTCAGGTGCTAGCGCAGCAACCTCCACTGTATCGGGTGTAGCTACTGCTTCTCCTTCGAGTATGACACCGGCAGGAGCCGGGAGTCCAACCAGTAGCTCTTCGGGAACGACGTCCCCGACGCCTAATTCTACTGGGGCAGGAAACTCGCTGATCGCGACGAGTGGAAATATCGTGCCTCTCGGTCTTGTGTTCGGGTTAGGGGCTTTCGTTGTTTTGATGGCTTGAGGAAGAAGATACGAGAGCAAAGTTAGGGAATTCGTGGCTTGGAAATGTTGGCTCCATTTCAAAGTTACGGTGGGAATAATATGCGTTACATGTTCTTTCATACATCTGGCAAAGAAGGTCGAAACTCTCTCGTTGCATTCTTCCCTTTCGTCGAGTATTAGGAACTACCCACCCCACACCTCGAGAGCAGCAAGGAAAGCTTCTGTTCCATTTGATCTCTTCTCTTAGCAAAATCGAAAGTTATTAAAATTGAACTACCTGGCAAGAAAAGAAGAAAGTCAGAAATAGCATCACTGAGTTCAGTTAACGAATGGTAAAATGAATGCAGCAGAAAACTTCCTGTAGGTTGCAATCCCAAAGAGTAGCAGGGCGATGCGTGTCATAACAATGGCTCAGAATCATCCTTTCAGCCGATCTTCAAACATTAGAGAAACCCCAAGGATCTAACCAGAACTCTTCACCAAGCAAACGAACATTACAGGAGTCACTACCGAAAAAGAAAAAGCCAAAGTAATTAGATATCATGAGATGTTAGCATGTCTAGCACGAAGCATATTACTTGGAGAATATGAGAGGATCAAGGAATAATTTGCACTTGCGACAGATAAAATTGGCTCGGGGCATGGCAATACTTATGTAGAAAAGGCTGTTTGTAGAGGAAGTACCACTCCTGGAAGTGTGCCCTTTTCTTTTTGCTAGGTCAGCGAATCGGCGGTGAGCCTGCACGGAAACACAACACGATGATCGAAAAAATAATCAAACATCCTCCTATTTGTCAGCTTTCCTCTCTCACTGTCAATCGTGGGGGTTTTGCAGTGTGCAACGGACGTGCTGGTTCAAACTCCGGAGCGTGTGCCTACAGGTAACGTTTAAGGTGTCTTAGTTTAGTAGGACGTCCTGTAAGTTGCTGAGTTGATTACTTGCAATTGTCGGCGTTGACTTCAGCCAACGCGGCAACGCCACCGTAACGGGAATGGAGCCGCGAGTGATTCGAACAGAAGAAATTGGGAAGAGGACGCAATACCTTGCCGAAGGTATAGACTCTCGAACATCTGCCATGCAAAGTTGTATCGAGGACATTGAACAAGGACTAGACGGATTGAGGGCGGATATAAGAAGACAATTGGAGTACATAATTAGGCTAAACGCGCAGATGGAAGCCAGCATCGGGGCGACGAAAAACTTGGCAAGTATTCTACAAGGGATCTTAGATTTTGCCGAACGTAAGTACTCCCCTACAATGGCTCCCTGCAGCGGCTCATTACATGCAGGGAAGACAAAACAAATGGAGGCTCGGGTCCAAATATTTGCGGCAATTTTCTCAATCTCGTATCCCACTCCCACTCCCACTCGGCGACGGGAAAGAAAGGCTCATATAAATGCTCGGTGCAGATGAATAAACGGCTATTCATGATCTCACATTCATGTTACGAGAAGCCGGAAGCATTAGTATTCAAGCACAAGGCCAAGGACGGTGGCTTCTTCGATTACCCCGATTTCCAGACTGGCTTTGATCGGATAGAAGTGATATCATATTAGCCAATGGACTTCGGAACAGGATGGCATGGCAAGATACTCACCAATGACGCTGATGTGCGCCGTGCTTGCCCAAGGACTTGCAAAGCGAGATGGGTTGATTTTTTCTCTGGTGTCCATAACATCAACGACGACAATCTCAGCGAGGGACCTGAATTGCGAAATGTTGCTGTTGCCAGCGGCTCGCTCGACTGGGAGTCATTGATGATAAATATAAATAGGAAGGCTTTCGATGACCTGAGCTTCATTAGGTAGTTGTTAAATCCAATAATGATAATACCATTATAGTGTGTTCAAATATTTGCAGTTATTGGGTCTTGAAATTTTGATGGGGTGCTCCCCGCTTTAAAGCTTGGAAAAGGGGAGAGGCTGACCAATCAGAGCTTGAGCACTTGGCGGAAAGGAGCTCCAAAGCTCAGACTAGTATGTAATAAAATAAGGAAAAATTGTGCTAATTATTCCAAGTCTTCGTAAGTTGCCAGGACGCATCTGCATTAACGTTTACTAACAACTTCTAGGTGGCTCAGTTGGTTAGAGCGTTGGTCTCATACTCAGTATGATTAAGCTGATCACAGTTTGGCCATCCAAAGGGTATGCATCACCAGTTCTTACCACAAAACAAACCACTAATCATCATTGCAGTCGAGAGTTCGAGTCTCTCCGAGGACAGCATACCCCTAGGGAGTCTATTTTTTGCATTTTGGGACTGTTTCCGAAGCAGATGCACAATTCTGATTGTGTCGGAAGCCGTCCCAGAAGTTACCTTTGGATTTTTTTTGGTGTTATTTATTACTATTTTAGCGAGTTTAACCGAGAAACAGAGCGCAATCCAGCGTGTTCATTTAGGAGGGCTTCAGCGTGCTGCGACTTTGCGTATCTTTTTTTTTTGCTCCTTTAGAGTATCTTTTTGATTTATTATTGATGTTTTTTGGGGCCGTTTTGCAAAGTACCGTAAGCTAGCTGAGCCGAGAGGGTGAGCCGAGGGCGATTGGCACCTGATGTTACGTGGCACCAGTCACGTGGTGCCACTACACATGACTTAGCGTGTAGCCAGTGCTTTTAGCCCGGCAGACAGCCTTCAGCTCAATTCAAGCTCTTTACCACCACTGCAATATCACCTTATCGTGACACCTGAACAGCAACACAGCAAGCTCACTAACCAAAAGTGATGCATAAGAGGAAGAATTGATTCATAATACGAAGGCCGCGGTTAGAATTCAGGGTGATTTAGCAGTCAGGTGCTATAATTCCCCGAGAAGATTCTGCTTTAGCGCTAGAAGTCCCTATAATTATAGGCTTCGAGCTCATAAAGTTTTAAAACTAAATCTCGCACATTTTTGCGTGAACTAGCCACGGCGTAAAATTCGCTAGAGTAGCTTATAAATCCCTATTGTTCTATAGGGGTTTATTAGTCGGTCCCCTGTATTACCCAGACTTTTGACCGCGGCCTTACTTGAGTCTGTCCGAGTAGAAGGGTGGGTGTGACGGCGGGGCTAGAGCAATGGTCAAGGCTCAAAGATCTCTATTTCCTGTCTTATAGAATACAAAGCTAAAGAGAAGAAGAGAGAGAGGATAAGAGAGAAGAAGTACTAGCTAAAACGACTGAAACGCCGGCGCCTGACAGGTGAAACTAGTCAGGTGATAGCCACCCCATGTGACCCTAGCCAGCGCCGTCACAGCGGGCAATCGTGCTCAAAATTACTCAGCATAATGTACTTCTCAGCATCGAGAGTTGAGCGTTGAGCCCAGCACCGTTTGGCGGACAAATCGGCTTGATGAGGCTTGGTTCTTCGAGGTGCGAGGTGGGCGAATAACAGCCAAATAGAAGAGCCGAGAGAATTCGCACATTTGGCCATTATACATGACCCGATTCTGTAAAACAAATACCAAGTGGCTAAGGTGTTATTAGAAATCTATTGAAACATTGCCCCTAGTTTACAACGCCGTGATATATACAAAACCTATGCAGCCGCCTCAGCATTCTCAGCTTTCTTGCTCTCTAGAAATTTTTCCCACATTGTCTTATATATGCCCGTCTTCCTAGCCTCAACGAAGCCTGGATCACCATCATAAAATCGACACATATTCATCCAATCCCGATCCCACAGATCCGTCAAATCCGTCAGATTGTTCCACTCTCCCCAAGCCTTATTCCAAAGCTTCGCATGTAACACCCTTACCGGACCCTCCTTCAGCTCAAGACCCCTAGAAACGTCATGATCTGGGACCCGATGCTCGATGAAGTTCTCGGGCAGCGTATTCCACACCGACGGCAATTTGTGAACTGGGAATGAACCTTCTTGGGAGAAGGCATTCTTCGAGCTCAAAACTCCCTGCTCCATGAACCGGATATCGTAGTCGCCGGTCATCCTCGCGGCCCGCATGAGCTTCGCATGCATATCCAAATTTGGTTTCAAGACTAGGAATCCGGCATTGATATTGTACGCCATAAACTGGCTGACCCCCGAGTAAACGTAATCGCAGAATTCCTCTCCACTCTTCCCACCACTCGCCACGACCGCCTTGTCCTCCGGCCCTAACGTTTCCCGATTACAGTGCTGCACCGGCGCAACCTCAAATATATCATCGATATTCCTGACCGGGAAGGCGTCGGAATCGAGAAACACGATCCGCTTCCATTCTACCTCTTTCCATATGTTGAGTTTGGACAAGACGTCGATCCAGCGTTTCGTGCTGATGATTTCGTCGGGTATGATATCATCCAACAGCTCAATCTCCTTGACAATCGCGCCTTGCCCCCTGAAAATCCTCCTATTCTCCTCTGGTATAAACGGACACACAAATATAATAACAGGGTATTTCGAGCGGTATGGGGACCACAGGAGACGCCATATGATCTGCTGCGCAGCTTCGAAGTACGGCCCGCGGGTGTCGGGTTGGCGCGTGCAGTAGAAGGTCGAGAAGGCGAATTTCGAGGGCTCGTTGATGTTGTGCGGTGGGTACTTGGAGAGGAATGCGAAGTCTATTCGGGGGATGGGGTCGTAGGGGAAGACGAGGCCTAGGTCGTCTGTGTCTGCGAGAGGGTGTTTGTGGCCGATTAGGCCTGCGCGTGCGGCGTAGGGGAGATTATTCCCATAGGAGAGGTAGAAAACAGAGAGAACGAGGAAAATTAATCCTGCTGTGAAGATCGGCTTGACTGTTCGTGGAACCGCCATTGAAGAAAAGAGGCAGGCGATCTGCGGCGGAGGCGCTGAGACATAGATTGTGTTTGAAGAAAAAAAGAAAGCGGGATTGAGATTGAGATTGAGGTTACATTTGGAACCTGGGGTTGAAGCTAACCTCGGAGGTCTTTGCCTTGTGATTCATGGCGTTACTCCTTGCCGGACTGGGTTAACTTATTCTTGAATGCCCCTTGTCTAACTGAACGTGGATGCTGCCGGGTCATTAAACGCTGTGGCGTAGTCACCAAGCCAGCCGCCAGGTGTTCATTATTCCCGAGGGTTGAGTACTTCGCTTAGTAATTTTACCCCTATTCCTGCGAACCCAAACACGACTGGACTTGAGCAGATTTCAGCTTTTCCCTGAGCTGAAGGATTACAAGGTGAGATCCTAAAGCCGCCTGAGATGATTGGGTTATTTGAGGTTAGTATTGATGGTTACTCAAGGGGCCAATTGCTAACAATCATTCTGCGCGGCCATCTGGATTTGAAATGTCCAGCCCTCCCTTTCACCTCAACTGCGACATGCAGAGCGAACTCAACCTTGACATTGTTGCACAAACATCCGACCCGACAATTTAGATACAATATGAGTGAGAAAAATGCTTTTAACTTTTATCAATTAAAGCTTGCAAAAGTCGAGGGGAGCCACCCTCTTCGCTTGATAGAAAGCCGTTTCATGAAAGCACTTCAAAGTCGTCGCATCCTTTCCCAAAAGGTCGTGGGTTTTGATGGTATTCTCAGAGGATTTCAGCATCCGAAATTTGTTTTGGGATGCTGTTTATTATAAGGATATTGATGGCAGAAGTGTTTTAAGTGCTCGAGGGAGAAGCTCTGCTATAAATGAGTGGGCGAGGTGTCATGGGCATTGGTCGCTTGAAGGAGAAAAAGTTAAAGTAATGCCGTGATGTATCGTCTTGAAACCGATTAGCTTTCAACATCATTAACTCGAAACTTGCACTCACGCAAAAGCATTAATAGCCACATTCTAGCCCATCACGGGCTGATGATTCGGTTAATCTTCAATGAAGAACACCACCTTCTGAAACTGTGTCCGTCGATTGTGCCTGTGATTAGTGTTGCCATAGAAGAAGTTTCTCGTGGCTCTAACTCCTTTATTGTCTGCTCGCTGAATCCGAGCAAGTAGGGGGATGTCGTACCCCCATCCCAATCTCCCAGGAACCCATGAGGGGAATAAGCAATGCTGGTACATCTAGCCCAGTAGGCCTCGTCTAGGGCTTATTGATTGCTTGACTTTATCTTGTGTCACTGGAGGTGGAACGAAGCGGAGTATGAATCCGTAGATAGGGCGGAGATAGCTTGGGAGGCTGCCGCCTGATTGCAGTGAGATTGAACAAGCTCAAAGATAGGCGTAAACTATGATTGGAAAGACTGACTCAAAACACGAATCCCTCCAAAGAAGCATTTCTGCTCAAAATTACCTCGCGTCACACCACTAAGTCGTGCCTATTCCTTAAATGCCTTTTCCATCCATCTTTCCGCGTAAACCCCACTGAACCAGGCATTGTCTCGGAATATTTGCAACCATCAACTGTACAGTAATATCTCTTTGTAAAATCATTGGGGTGAACAGAGTCTGTGTGCCGTTTGAGGTCTTTAGTAGTGTTGAAGGCTTTGTCGCATGTTATACACCACTCGTCACGGGCGTGGTAACGGACGTGGTGACTTGAAATATTGTTAGCATTTAGTATGTCGAGGTATAAGTTAGGGTCAGAAATCGACTAACTTGAGTTCATATTGCCGGGAGAATGTTTTGGAGCACGGTGGATAGGGGCAGGCTAATCGAGAAGGTTGGAGCTGGGCGGGTGTTGCGGCCGGCGATAGAACATGTTCGGGGGGGTTAACGTGCGATTGATCCCGAGTTAGCATACTCGGACCACCATTGTCTTGAGATTGTGCTAGGGGGGTGCTAGCTTGCGTATCTGCTAGCAGAATTTTATTGCCTACCAAGTGGTTAGGAGTGCGATTCTGAGCTAGAAAGCCGAAACTTGCTTACCTTGTGGGGTGATGTTTAGGGGAGAATCTCGTGGCTGTATCCCAAGGTCATCTTGAGCACCTGGCAGTGTGGAAGCCGAGAATTTTGATTCTGGACGATCCAGCTGTATATTTCTTGACGCCATGTCTCGTTCCAGTTCTGTAGGGTTCCAAAGCTCCCTTGGGAGGAAAATGGTTGGCGGTGTTGCCGGTGGTGGTGGTAGTAGTGATGATGGCGGTGGTGGCGGTCCCTGTGCTGCATAACCGCTACCAGAAGAGCTCCACCTACTTCTCCACCTGCGCCTTTTCCTCTTGCTTTTTCTCCTTAAACTCCACTGAATGATTTTTTTGGTCTTCCGCACAAATACCCGGTTGCGCCGGTAGCACCTATAGCGCCAATAGCAGAATATTAAGGTACCGAGAGCTACTAATCCAACAACAGTTCCAATAAGAATGCCTGTTACAGAGCTTGGGCTGCTGGAGTCCATTGAACGAGGGAATATATTCTTTCCATACTGAAGGGAGTGTGAAGTAGATCGCTGAACACTGTATTGATCGATCAACGACTTCAAATGAATCAGATCCCACCAAAGGAAGACAGAAAACAGTGAAGCAGCGAGCCATCCAGTGTGTCAAAAAAGTATTCAAGGTATTCAAGGTATTCAAGGTATTCATGAATATTCATGAAAATCTTGAATAGAATATGAGTAGCGTAATTCTCAAAAATTTAGAGTAGAGTAGAATATATATTCATGAATATTAAAGAAAAAGAATTATTTATTATATTTCTCTTATTTATAAGAATTAGATTAAGGCTATATTAGAATACTGTATTAATAATTCAGGAAATTACTAGAAAACCAAGTTCTTTAAGGCTTTATTAAAGGAATTCCGAGAATATAACTAGGAAATACCTAAAATTAGCTATAACTTTCTTAATTGGATTATTATATAAGTCTAGAATAAAAGAATTTCTTCTAAGTTTTATATTAATATATTTAATAAAATATTAAAGAAATTACTAAAAAGAAAAGAAATAAAAGAAATAATTTAATACCGAGAATTTATAAGGAAATTATCTATTTTAGTAAGAAATTATATTCTTAAAAATATAAATTTCAAGCCTATAGATATTTCTATTTATAAATATAATAAGATATATAAAAAGGTAATAATATCCTATTAATATAAAAAGAAGAAATACTATTTTAATATTACTAATAACCCAGATATATCTAAACTTAGATAAGAATATTTAGATATAGTAGTCTATAATATAGTTCCTAAACCAGAAAATAATTATTCTTTACTAGTTTCTTTTATTATACTTTCTAATATTACTATAAATATAAATAAGAAAAAAACCCAGCTTATAACTAATTATATAAAACCTATTAAAAGTAGTAAACCTAAAAGAAATAATATTAACTAGCTAGTAAGAAATCTAGAAAAACTATTTATTATTACTATAACTCAAGAGAATTTATAGAAATAATTTAATATAGCTATTATTATAATTCGGAAAGATATCTATAGCCTATTTATATAATCTAGCTAACTATAATAGATATAATAGTATTAATAGTCTAGTAAATATAATTCGGGTTTTTAGAAAAAATATATTAGAAGTTATAATAGAAAATATAAAGAATATTATAATAGCTATAGTAATTAAACTAAAATAAGTAAAAAGTCTAGATAATTATATTCTAAAAAAAGTTAGTCTTAAATATAATTAGAAAATACTATTTAAGTTAATATAGCCTATAGTATAGACCTAAAACCGAGAGAATAAATTTATTATAAATACTATAATAAAGATAAGAATAATAATATTAATCTAGAATATATCTATATTTCTTAGTTCTATTACTTATTAATGGAAGAGCTTATAAATTATAGATATATTTACTAATTTAATAGAAAATAATATAAAGGGCTATTTAAGTCTAAATAAAAAAGTATTTCCTTTTTCCTTACTAGTAAATACTAGTAATTTAACTAAATTATTTCCTAAGTCTAAAAAGAAGAATTTAATTATAACTTGAATACTTAATTTAAAAATATCTAGAGATTAATAAGAAATATCTAGTTTACTAGATAAGAAAGAGAAAAGGAAACTAGCTAACCGGGATTTATATATAGATATAAATAAGTTATATTTAGGGAATCTAAATAGCTACTTTATTTTAGAGGAAATTATATTGGAATTACTAATATTTTAGGTTCTAGAATTAATAAATAGTATTAAAATTTGGCTATAAATCGTATTTCTATTAATATTATAATAGGTTTCTTATTAAAAAAAAAAAAGAAATAGAAATAGCTAAAAAGGTTTTCTAAAGAAAAGCTAGAATAAAAGAAAAGCTATTTTATATAAGAGGCCAGAAGAATACTACTCTAAGAAATAATAAATAAAAAAATAGTCTAGCTAAGAATATAGATATTAATACTTCTGAAAATAAATAAAACGAATTAGAAATCTAGTATATTTTTAACTATAATAAATATAAGACTCCTAAAATTAATAATATTTTAATAAAGGTATTAAAGAAAATAACTATTTTATTTCTAAAAACTTAGAAGAAAATAAGAATATTTATTAATACTTTAAAAATATTAGATCTAGCTATTATACTTTAGAACTAATAAATTAAGGATAATATTTTCTATTTTACTATTTTATAAATAGAAAATACTATTATAGTAAGTATAGTTAAATATACTAGGAGATTTATAAAGCTAGTAGCTATGGCTTATATAATAAATAAAATATTTAAAGAATTAGAAATACTAGCTCAAGTACCTAATACTAATAGAATTATTTAATTTAAAGGTAATAGTATAATATTCGAATATTACTAGCTTATAAATATATTATATAATCTCTATATTTCTAATTTGTATTTCGAGAACCTTAAGAAAGTATTAAATATAAAGAAATAATTAATACTAGGGCTAAAGTTAATATTTTCTCCGAAAAGATCTCTAGAAATATTAGTAAAGTAATATATAATATTATAGATTATTAAATATTTACTATTACTAGAGCAGAATTTAAATTTATAAAAATAGTAAAGTTTAGAGCTAAGATTATAAATAAAGTAAAATATGAAAATGTATTTTTTCTAATTAAAAGAACTTTAAAAATCCTATTTAATTAATTATTCTTAATAAAGATAAAAATAAATATTATATATAGAAGTAATAGTTTATAGGATAGAAGATTTACTAATTCTAAAAATAACTAGAATATTTATACTATTATAATTATTTCACCTTTAAAAAATACCAGGAAATAGAAAAAAGTAATAGTTTAAGAGTATTAAGCTTCTAGAATTAAGGAATTAAATAATATAAAGCGAGAAACTAAAAGTAAAGAAGAAAAATAAAGCCTAGTATTATAACTAGTAGTAATATTAGGGGAAATAGGAAGATGCCGGAATTTCTTATAAATTCTTTTATTTTAGATTTAAGAATTTAGGAAATTAATAATATTTTTAGAGAAACTAAAGCAAAAAAAGCTCTAATTAGAATATTATTAAGAATAGTTCCGGATTTAATAGAAAAAGAAGTAAAAAGAGTATTAAGTAAAAATATTTCTAAAAAAGAAATAAAGTAATATCTTCTAATAATAAAGAAATATATTTCTAAAGCTAAGAAATATAAAACCTAAGACTAAAAAGAATTCTGGAATATATAGGAGTTTAAAGAAGATATATTAAAATACCGGATAAAAAGGTATTTTTTATATCTAACTAGAAAGAAGCTAAATAAAAAGGTTATAAATTCCGGAGATTAGATAAAAAGAGTACTAAAGAAAATAGCTAAAATACTTAAAGAAAAGAATAATAATTATAGTTTATTTCTAGTTATAAGAATATATAAAATAAAAAATAAGAAGATTTAACTAGTAAATACTAATAATAGAACTAGAAAAGGCTCTAGTAAATATCTGAACTAGTTTAAGAAATTTAAAGCTAGAGAATACTTATAGAAATATACTAGGAAATATAAGAACTATTTTTTACTAAAAATATTAGCTATTTTAAAAATTTTATAACTTATTTCGAAATGCTTTAAATAATTAGATATTAGTAATTAGCTCTAGGAAAAAGAACTAGTTATATTCCAAGAATTAATAATTAATTAAGAAAATATAATTATATTTAATTAGAAAGAAGTAGGAAAAGTTTATAAGAATATTAAATATAAGGCCTAGTAAGAGAAGAATTTCCTATATTTTAAAGCTCTAGTACTAGTAATAGTAAAAATACTATTAGAATACCTAAATTATAAAGTTTTTAAGAAATATAATAGATCTTACTGAAATTCATAATTCTTAGTTATAAAAAAGATTATTAGAACTTATAGATTAATTAATACTACTATAAAAATGAATTTAGTAACCTTATAAAATACTAACCTATTTCTGTTTACTAATAAGATTTTAGAGAAATTTACTAGATATATTTATATTTCTCTAATTAATTTCATTTTCAAATATAATTAACTTATACTAGATACTTATAATAGAAATTTAACTATATTTATAATATCTCTAAAGCTATTAAGAATAACTATACTACTTTAGGAAGCTACTAATTCTATTATATAGTTTATATAGGTTATTATAACTATTCTAGAGAATCTATTTCCCAAAATCGCTATATTATTTATTAATAATATTAGAATTAAGAGACCTTATATAGACTATAATAAATAGCTTATTTTATCTAGAATTTAGTATTTTATATTTAAATACTTTTAAAACCTAAATATAATCTTAAATAGAATTAAATAAGCCAGAGCTAGTATTAAAGAAAAATTATAGTTCTATTATAATAGTATAGTTATTATTAGCTTTATTTATAAAGTATTTGGAAGAAGCCTTTTAAGTTCAGAAATTACTAAAATCTTGAGATAAAAATATTATAATAATATAACTAAAGGTAAAGTATTTATTAGAATTATTATTTACTATTATATTTGAATTAAAGATTTTATAATTATTACTAAACCTATTTACTATTTAATAAGGAAAGATATAATATAGGACTAGAATAATAAATAAAAGCAAGCTATATAAATTCTTTAAGAAAAGCTTATTATTACTTTAATACTTTATAAATTATATTATAATTTATTAGAAAGTTAAGAAATAATTATATTAGTAATAGATATTAGCCTAAATAGCTAGAATAAAACTTTTAGTTAATATAATAATAAAGGGAAAAAGAAAGTAATATAATACGAGTCTAAAATCTAAAATAATATTAAATAGAAATATAATACTATTAAAAGAAAATACTAAAAGCTAGTAAAGTATTTATAAAAAGTATAATTCTGGCTATATAAAGTTTACTTTATTCTTAAACTAAATACTAATACACTTATTATATAGCTAAGTAAAGCGGCTATAGATCTTTCTAGAACTCTAGTTATTTACTAGCTAGTATGAATTTAACTATTTAATTTTAAAGTTAAG